ACACACACACACACACACACACAGACGTCTGGTTCGCTATTTTCAATTCAATTCAATTCAATTCAAACAACTTTATTTATCCCCGTAGGGCAATTCAGTTTTAGCCTACCAGTCGTATCAAACAAGACAAGACGACACACTCAATTCGAGCATTCAGAAACACTGTCAATGACATCATATTGCATTTGGGCACCAGAACAGAGCAGCAAATACACAGATCACAATACATGGACTAAGCAGGGAACCAATTTCAAGTAATAAATAAATAAATAAATAGATAGATAATAATAATACAGATGTTTACGATGTCTGGCACATATCTAGTTGCCGCTGTCGACAGTATTTAAAAACCTGATGGCAGAGGGAATAAAAGAATTTGCATATCTATTAGTTTTCCTTGGGGGGGGGGGGGCAAGGTAGCGCCGTCCTGAGGGCATTAGACAGAATTCCTGACTAAGAACATGGTCAGGATGACTCATGACCCGTCTAGCCTTCTGGAGCACCCGTTTTTTACAGAGGGAGCTCAGGTCAATAAGCTGAACTCCAATAATCTTGGAGCAGATTTTAACAATGCTGCCGAGACTATTCTTGTCCCTCACAGACAATCTATCAAACCAGCAGACAAAAGAAAATGTTAAAAGGCTTTCAATAAATGAATAGTAAAAGTTATATAAGATCCTCTGAGATACATTGAATGAGTTTAGCTTCCGCATCAAGTGGATTCTTTGTTGTCCACGCTTAATGATTGACTCTGTGTTTTTGTCAAACTTAAGATTGGAGTTTGACAAAAACACAGAGTCAATCATTAAGCGTGGACAACAAAGAATCCACTTGATGCGGAAGCTAAACTCATTTTTGTGGGGACTCTCCATAGACGTTATGGTTTTTATACTGTACAAACTGTATATTCTGTCCCCTTACACCAACCCTACCCCTAAACCTACCCATCAAACTAAACTTTCTGCATTTTTACATTTTCCACACAAAAAAAACAACATTCTGTATGATTTATAAGCGTGTTTCCTCAGGGGCACCTCAATTTAGGTCCCCACAGTGACAAGTCTCCATGAGTCTGTGAGCATTCAGGTTGAAGTCCCTGATGGGATAGAAAAACATGAACACAGACACAGACAGACACACACACACACACGTAACTACAAGCAGTCTTGCATGACTCATTTTCTGTTACATGTACGACGTTTAAGAATGTGTCACTGGTTCGTATTTTTGAACATTTCACTGACCTTAATAGTTTAATAATCATTGTGAATTTACTTCATAGGAGTGAACTATGTGCTGATGGGCCAGGTGAATGACGAAGGCCTTGGCGTTCTGACCCCGTCCAGCTTTGCCCTTCAGCATAAGACAGTGCATGACAAAGCACTGGCCAACCTCGCAAAGAAAACATGCTGACCTCACAAACACTGACTACAATCCCACTCTGGTTTATTTTAATCATAACATCAAAGTCAGGCAGGTAAAATACAAATTGAATCAACTAATTCCTTATATGGATTTAGCATTTTTTTATATATAACTGGAGGCGCAATATATGAGTTAGAGTCAATATTCTAATGCCAAGAGAACAGAAGACTCCGAAATCTGTGGTGTTTTATGCGTCATACCAGAATCTTTCAGTCATATTCAGGGTATAAAGTACAAGGTGAAATTTGCCAGTTTATGATTATTGTGTTTGTATTATTAGATTATTAGGTCTGTTAAATGTACTATGCAAACATTTTGATATGACACAATGTATTCACTATAAATTATAATGCTCCTTTAATTAAAGATGGTGAAATATATCTGAATTATGCTTTGAATCAAAATTTCTTGTTTTAAACATAAATAAAATAAACTAATTATAAATAACTTTTTTTCTTCTTGTAATAGTCTTTGATAAGTGTTATTTGCAGAATAATACTAAACAATAAATGTTATTAATAACTACACTATATTTCAAAAGTTTGTTGTTAGTCTCTTATTCTCAACATTTGATAAAAATACAGAAAATAACTTTTTTTATATTTTAATAAAATGTAATTTTATTCTTGTGATGCAAAGCTGAATTTTCAGCATCATTACTCCAGTCTTCAGTCACATGATCCTTCTGAAATCATTCTAATATGCGGATTTGCTGCTCAAGAAACATTTCCTATCACTATCAATGCTGAACACAGTTGCATTTTAATATATTTGTGGAAGGAATTATACTTTTTTTTAAATCAGGATTCTTTGATGAATAGAAATTTCAAAAGAACAGCATTTATTTGAAATAGAAAACTATACGTGTCTGTCACTTTTGATCAATTTAATGTGTCCTTGCTGAATAAAAATATTAATTTCTTTACAAAAAAATAAAACCTTACGGAACAAAAAGCTGATGCACTATTGAAGGGCAGTGTATGTCATTTTTTTTATTACACTACCATTGACTACTTGCAGTATCTGTAAAAACAAACATGTCATGGCATGTATGTTTTGACAACAAGGTGCAAAAAGCCACAGAGGATTTCCTCCTTGAACTAAGTGTTCCAGGCCAAGAGAAAACAAACAGCTGTATGTCTCCATCAAGTGGACACATCTCGAATGAGGTGCTGTGTTTAGTGTCCGCAGTGAGCTGGAAAAGAGCCAAAACAGAGAGCAACGGAAAATGTATTCCTCAGTTCCTTTCGCTTTTACATTCGAGGTATCTGCCCCACACTATTGTCTACCTGGCAGTCTGAGGTCACTGCTGAATATCCTGGATAAATTCATGTTGTTGTGATGTTGCATTTTGTAAAGCATATACAATAGAAGCAGACAGACACAGGTAGAGGGTGGGGTGGGGGTTTTGTGTAATAAGAGTCCCAGCCACTCCTGTAACTTAGCATTCGTCAATCACACACACACACACACACACACACACACGGATATGCAAATACAGGCAAATACACCTGCAAACCTGGAAATGTTGACATGACATCCTGCTCTCAAAGGATTTCTCAGCTCAATGTTGAACTCAAACCACTTCTTTGCAAGTTCAATTATTTAAACGTATATATTATTTGAATAAAAAACATTTACAGAGCTGATTTACCATTTAAATTTATTGATCTCTAGTTTTCATCTCTTGATACAGTTTGAAGTTGAAACGGAACAAAAACCCATATATATATATTAATATACACATTCTCAAGTTTCGTGTTCAAGCCTATATTAGCATGATCTACAGAAGTAAACCATGGTTATATTCACACTCCAGCAGTGGGCAGACAGCATACAGTAGTTTCCAGTGCATTAAGAATATAATCTATCTTCTTCTCCCCTGAGAACTACAACTGTTCTAGACAAACTCTTCTAGAACTAGAATCTCTAAACAACCTGTTTTAAACACACACTTATTGAATATTCATATTTTGGTGTTTTCTCCAGAGCAAATATATTTGATAAGGTCTAGTCTATACATTTGATCTGCTGAGTATACCTCATTACAGATGTGAGGTGTTCGCAAAAGGACAGCAATATGTCAGAACTGCATGATGTGGACGGTCCAACAACGCTCTCAAAATTGTTGTAACTTTCCGATTTTAAAAAGTTGTCCAATTTTGTAGACAGCCCTGCTCAATGTTAAACCATGATAGAAATGTACATTGGTTCCCTTTCAAGATCACAGATTAGCCCAGAAACGTTTGTGCAAATCATATAATCTGTCTAGATTTGAATTCTACGCTTGTGCAACAAAGTGCAATGTAATAAATGGTCTATCTCATCAGAAAATACAAACAGTATGAAGTATGAGGCTTTACAAAGTTATTAATGAATAATGAACGACAAAATACATCGAAGATTGAAGAAATGCTAGAATATGTCCTCACACCTATTGCAACTATTCGGCCTGCCTGACTTTGAAATATGAGGACAGAACAACAAAGACATGACATCGTTTTTGACAGCCACAACATCTGATTCATCACCGACCTCAACTTGTCATTCACAGACACAGAAAGACATGTTCACACGGAAATTCACAAATATTGTTAGACCACACCATACTCTCAGACTAAATAACCAGTGCGTTTCACACACTCTCATAAGAGCACCACTTACTCGAAGCGTCTGATTGGTTGAAGGAAAATTCAACCAGTGACAACTCGAGGCTGTATAACTGAAGTTAATAATGATAATATCTACCACAGACAATTTTGTCTCTTCAAAACTGGCCTCCAGTAAAAACAGTACTTGCTGATATGTTTTTCAACAATGATATGGCTTAATTTTTCACCTTTCAGTCCTCCCGCCAAGGCCTTCAACCAAATGTCAAGTCATTGAGAAGTGTATACAATCAATAGCAATGCATAGTTACAGTATACAGTATTTCAACTGAAATATTGTGTTATTACCTATGCTGTCACATCTTAATTAAGGTCTATAACTGATAGTAATGATAATATAAAGTAAAAAATAAAGTGTAAAGGGTTGTGCCGTTTGTGGTGTAAAGCAACGTGAAACCCCACCCCTCACATTTCCCTTAGCCTCAAACACTTTGGCTGAAGCTATGCGTGTTTGTCTGCATTTCCTGTTTAAAGGGTTTGTTAAAAAGAGGGAGGAAATGTAAGTGGGCGGATGAGAGAAAAAGCGAGATAGACAAACACAGACATAGAGAATTTCAATTGTGAAGACTGTTACAATATAAGGTGTCCTAGTAAAAGCTCGATAATGCGTCGTTTTAAATCCCTCTTGAGTTAGACTTGTGAGAACATTCTGGAACCCAAAACATAGTCCCTGGGGAGCAAATGTGGCAGAGTCAGCTGATTACAGAGGGGCAAGGACTTAGACCACCCGACAACAAAAAACAGCCTCCCTCGAAAAGTCTTTACAATGAAACCTGGTAAAAGTGTCACAGTTTTCATCAAATAGTCCCTATTGAGAACTTTAACTTAAAAGTGTTCACCCAAAAATTTAAATTCTGTCATCATTAACTCCTTTCGTTGTTCTGCGGAACACAGAGATATTTTGAAGAATGTTTTAAAATATGTTGGACCACTGGCCAATGACTTTTGATTTACAGGCTTACAATTTGATCTGTTCATCATACAAAGAGAAGAAGACTTGGAATAGACTAGTAATCATATGCATACATTTCATGCTAACTTTATGCCCTTTTTGCAGTTTGAAAGTTCATAAAAATGTTACATTTATTGTGCTTTGCAAAGGAAAGAAAACTATGTGAGTTTTGGAACAACATGAGGGTCAGTAAATTATGACACAATTTTCATGAATGGGTGAGCTATCCCTTTTAAAGGGCTAGTTCACCCAAAAATGAAAATTCTACCATTAGTTACTCACCCTCATGTCGTTCCAAACCCGTAAGACCTTAAGATCTTTTTAATCTGAGAGCTTTCTGTCACTTCATTGACATTTCAAGCCCCAGAAAGGTAGTAAAGACATCATTGAAGTAACAACGTCTGCTCTCGCATCAACACAACACACATGGTGCTCTCGTGAACGTGTGATAGATAAATATTTTGTAAATAAAGTGGTCAATTATGGGGGGGTTTTGCGCAATAAAAGCACTTGCGTGGCTTCATAAAACTGAGGTTAAACCACTGGATTACTTCTATGTCTTTACTACCTTTCCGGGTCTTGAAAGTGGTAGTTGCGTACTCTGTCAATGGAGGGACAGAAAGCGCTCAGAATTCATAAAAAAAATCTTCATTTGTGTTCTGAAGATGAACGAAAGTCTTACGGGTTAGGAGTGACATGAGGGTGAGTAATTAACGACAGAATTTTCGTTTTTGGGTGAGCTAACCCTTTAAAATGATTGAAATGACAGCAGGTTACACAGCAGAAATCAACATTGTAATAACATTGTTTAAAAAAAAGTCCAAACGCTTAAAGAGAGCTTTAAACCCGACCAGAACGTCATGGTGCCTTCTAATGTCCCTTAAGCTTTTTTTGCTCTGGTGCGAAGATCTGATATGCCTGCCAGCCAAACAAGGCTATGATGCTCGCTATGCACCCCTGCAGGAGCACCATGACCCCATAGGTGGACCAGAGTGTGGGGCCAGGGAGTCTAGGTGGCATTACAGATGATAGTACCAACGCTGGGTTGAGAAGCAGGGCCCGCACCTCCACTTTGATCATCTGCAGCTCATCCAAAATCGAGAGGAAAGTGCAGCAATGGAACCACTGATGACTGTGACCCCAGATATCAAAGTTCCCCGGAGACAAACGTTCTGGGATTTTACTGATATTGAAGATGGCAGATACCACCAGCCAAAAGCAGTGGCGGTAGAAGAAGGCAGCCATGGTAGAAAACACATGAGGGGAGGAGGATGATGCAGAGTTTGCGGAGGGACTCAGGAGACGGTAGAAGACGGGAGCGGAGGAGATGAAAAACGGAAGGAGGAAGACGAGGGTGCGGACAGCATAGCGGTACTTCCGCCAGCGCTGTCTGGTGTTGCAGCAGGTGACAACGCATATGATAGCAACCAGACAGGTGGATGGGATGTACAGGCTTTCAAAGAATAGCTGGAACAGAGTGGGAGAAGATGCAGAGTTCCAAGCCTCTTCATCAGTGTTCAATCTCTCCCTTTGGGAATTGTTCTGGACCCCGAATCCAATCTCTGGTATTCCTGCTTGAGGATGGATGTAGTAGTAATATGCCAGCGAGGAACCCACCGTATACGCACTGATAGTTCCGTAGTCTACAAAGAAACAGATTTCACGAATGATGAGTGACATGGAGTTGAGAAGATGAGCCAGACTGCTGGCTAGCAGCAGGTACAACACCCCCAGGAAGTAGTTCCAGAAGGGGTAGAAAAAAGGACTGCTAGGTTCTGGCGCTCCTTCCCACGTGAACACCTCCAAAAAGTGGAAGGCGAACACAAAGATGGGGAGGAAGTGTGTCCAGAAGTTTCCAGTCTCATTGGTGGGACAAAAAGCGGAGGCTAGGCACTGCCAGAGGCTGTAGTTAGGGAAGCGATAACCAGACAAAATGAAGTTCTCAGTCACTCTCTGTGGAACGTCAGTGTGACGTACTAATGGCAATGACCACATGATTGGACCGAAAAATAAATTCACTAATTAAAAATAAAAATATCTCCTGAGCTTACATGTAGCCTATAGCTAGCACTACACTATTGCAGGTAGTCATTAAATAACTAGTATTGCTTACACAACGCTTAGCTATCAAACTGTATGACATCACAGAGACACAATTGTCATTGTAATGCTTCCTTTAGAAGCATTTGTCGAGTACATGTGCAGATCTTAGCTTGGCTAAGAAAAAATCCCAAGGCTCAATATAAATCCAAACAGCATGTTTTGAAATGATCTGTGGTCTCAGCAGAAATAAATAATCCGATGCTGTTTCAAGTGCAAAGGTCAATGGCTCCAGGGTCCCTTTTTTCCATTATTTCAAGTCTTGAATGTTATCAGCGTGGTAGAATCATTTAAAAACAACAAAAAGACAACAATAACTGAGGTGATGGCTCTCGATCAAGTCTTCCAAGTGAACGATCCGGCAGTGACGTTCATGTCACCTGAGGTCCACACAACTTCGGTCACACATGTGAGCAAGCAGCGAGCTTGTTTTTCAGTGCTGACGGTCTCGTTTGTTACTCACTGCGGCTGCATCTCTCCTGCATTAAAGCTTTTTGAAAGTAGGTCATGTGGGACACGGTCGCGCACCGGCCGGTCTCTGAAACCGAGCGTCACCACTCGGTATAATTCATGCTCCGTCGTGCATAATTCATCGGTTAGATTATCGCGTGCTGTCTCATAGATGCACCGCTTGTATATTATTAGATGGTCTCGAAAACATCCATATCGCGCTGTCTCACGGCGGTGCTTTACTTCAGAAGGGGAACAGAGAACATTTCTCGCGATTCAGCTGTCTGTGTGGCGGTTAATTCCTCTATTTTCGCCCATGTTAAGTGCAGTTGTGCTGGTTTAAGCGGCTCTTCGCTCGACATTCGCATTGCGGTGCTGTGTGATTCAGCACGAGCTCTTTTCCAGGAAGGAGATATTTCGTTTCTGCTCGACAGCACTTCTAAATAAACAGTCAGTCAGCCGGCGTCCTGTCCCTTTATCGTTAGATTGCCCTTGACTTCTTGCTCAATGCCGGCTAAGGTGCTGTAGGGCTGTCTGTCGTTTGCCCGGCCGTTACTTAATCAGGATAAAAGCGTCCGTGCTGCCAGCTAAAGCAAATCCACCGCGCAGCACTCCAACGTGATGTGGTCCGTGGTCATCATAGGAGCTGAACATTCTCTAGAAGTGTACAACGGTCCCGCAGCGAGTCTCACACTCTCTCTCTCTCTCTCTCTCTCTCTCTCTCTCTCTCTCTCTCTCTCTCTCTCTCTCTCTCTCTCTCTCTCTCTCTCTCTCTCTCTCTCTCTCTCTCTCTCTCTCTCTCTCTCTCTCTCTCTCTCTCTCTCTCTCTCTCTCTCTCTCTCTCTCTCTCTCATGCGCTAAGCAAAACACCTCCCGGAGGCTATGGAATTATTTTTGTGCCGATAAAAATGAACGTAACTTTTCAAGAAATCAATGGAGGCTATGACATTTAACTTCTGACAAGACTGATTTCTGTCTTACAGGCAGCTTTTTATAGGCTATAGGTAGGCTATAGGTCTGTATATTACATTTATTTTAGGCAGAGCATCTTTCCCCATTCACTTTTCCCCATTTTGTGTTTAAAAACATAGCGAGCTAAGCTGTAGCCTATATAGGCTATACTTTAAGAATCTGAAAAAAATAATTCAAAATTTTCACTCCAAAGTGAAAAGTCAAAGTTCAGAAAAAAAAAAACTACAATTAAGTTACAGAGAAAATGCTGTGCTTAAACGACTTCAAAATTTGTATTAAATATGATAAATTGTAAATAGTCAGCTGTAATTTCTAATAGCCTACAGGGAGGCCTACATAAACCATATATTTCTAGCTGCCTTTTGTGTATTAAAAGTTGTTCAGATCACATGAAAAAAAGAAAAGTAATCTATATATGTGGAACAAATCTGATCGGCCAGATGTGACGTGAGAAAAATCAGGGGGTTTTTTTGTTTGTTTTTTACAGTGTAAATTAAACCTGATTTATACAGCACTGTGAAGGCGGAATTATTTTTTCTTTATTTTTTTCTTTCTTCCCTTTAATAGACAGGACAGTAGATCCTTCATCCTAGATCCAAATATTGGAAAAGGAAAGAGGTGAACAGGACCAGGAAAGGATCTTAAGCCGAGACTCAAACTCATTTTTTTCAAGCAATAAAACACCCTTTGAATCACCCAATACACATTCTTACCCATATATTATTTCTAGGTAGTTTGAATTCTTCATTATGGCAATACAACATTACATGAAACCACTCTGTCAGCTTTACATCTGCTAAATTATGCACAGCACGCATCCAGCCTATATTATTTATTTATTTTAAAGATTTTTTTTTTTTTTTACTTTTCTATATTTAAAGCCTTTCTCATTCAATTGGGCACCTCTAGTAACCAAATAAAAGATAATATTTTGATATTTTGGACATTTTGATAAAAACAAATTAATATTTTTCTGTCATTCTAGTCGGCATGAAACGGAAGTTGCAATAGTCTGTTTTTTCCCTATTGTGGCATATATCCCAGTGTTCTAGAACAAGAACAAATGTAGGGCGGGGCTTGATTTTGTTCACTGAGATTTGATTGAATCGTTGTTTGCTATTTCTGTGATCTCATGTGAGTGACATGGCTCATTGTCCCGCCCTCATGCCATGCAGTAAACAAATCATCAGAGAAGAGATGTCGTTGCAAGAGGGAGGGGAAGTTATCGTGAATAAATATTATGAGAAAACAAGAATAAAAAAAATCTGAATTAAGTTGAAATGACTCGTCATAATACATAATAAATACTGCAATATTCCATAAATAAAATACTTTAAATGTGAATAGTTTAGCTGGGTTTATAATCTGTGTGGGCATATTCACATAAAGCTTTCTATACTGTGCTACATGACATGCAGATTATTGCCATTTTGGGAGCATCATAGAAATGATATAATTGTATGCCATTTATGAATGCACTGTAAAAAAAAGTTGCTGTCTGACATTAAGTACAATCAACTTGGATGTTTAAGTCATTTCAACTTAAATGACATTAAACTGACTTGAAAAAAAAAAGTTGAATCTTGTATAACTTGCTTAACTTATTTTGACGAGTTAAAGCAATGTAAAAAAAAATTGCCATAACTTATTGATCATTATTTTTTACAGTGTGCGTATGTGTATATGCATGTGTGAACCCAAATGTATATGTTTTCAATTGTGTCTGTTTTCTAGTTTTGCAGCTTATCTTTGGCTGGTTTTGGTCGATGATTGACTGGCTGCTGCTGTGTGTTTGGTGACCACCTGCCTGAGGATTAGTCAGTGAAGGGCGCTGTGGGCACTGAAGTATACTGGTTTATAGATGAGATGGAAGATTAATTCATTAGAGCACCTGTGGAGGTGAAAAGGGAATAGGGTTTAGCAATGAAGAAGATCAGCTGTGACGCCATAGCCATCAGATGAAAACCATAGACTTCACCCTTCAGCAGAGTATGTGCTTCACATTCAGCACAGTACACAAACCAAAACTACGATCAAATTCGAAGCCCCCAGCGTTCTAAAACCTCAAACAAGTTGAGACTGGATTTCATTAGCAAGACTCAAGTTGTCATGAACTTTAAGGCATGTTCACATACAAGTCACAAAACACCTACATTATTATGAGCATTTAAAGGTGCAATAGTTGATCTGGGAAATGCTAACTTTAGCCTGCTAGCATTGAAAGCATACATTCGCACCCTCACAGCAAATTGCCTTCCAAAGCCACGACTCCACCAAAACACATGAACACGCACAGATCAGAAGCAAGACGACCAGAGACAACGTTATTGGATTACATCGTCTATCATGTCTATCATTCACCGGTGAGAAACGTTTACGGTACAGTGAGTAACAGTACTACAATAAAGAATGTAAACAACTGTTTGCCTGCCATTCTCGCTCTGCCTGCACAGCGTACATGAACACCCTGATGACATACTGAACGATGTCTGTGTGAACAGGCTGCGCAGTGGTATGCAAACACAAGCTTTCGTTTCATTCGGACGGAATGCAATGATTGAACAACCATTTTATCGTCCTACACCTTCCACAGACGATATATATTTATAAAAATACATTTAGACCGCTTAACATAATGATTGCTATCAGGATATGAGGAGACTTTCAACCAGCATAACAAAAATTGTTTCTGTGGAGAATCACCTATAATTGCACCTTTAAATATTACAAATTCGCCAATTTTCTGTATCTGTGACAGTGTGCGCAACATATTTCACAAACACAGTTTGTAACTGAAAATGTCTTCTATAAAAAATACCTCCACAAATTTATGCCATGGTAAGGATTTAATCAATTAAATCCTGCATTGACATCACTAATAACAGATAAATAGCTTAACAGGAAACACAATTGTTCCCTCAGATCCTGAAGGACATTAAAGGGTTAATCTGCAAAAAGGATAGTGCCCCCTGTGGCAGTACACAGAATTACACGGCTCTGAGTGACTACACTACACCAACAACATATTATGAGACAGTCAAATGCATTGTTAAATGAATGCAGTGCTAAGGCATAAGATAACAACAGATGTGTGTTTGTCACCTGATGCCTGGAGGGTGCTGATCCATGTGACATGCAAGGGAACGCCGGTCTGAATCCTACATGACAACACGCAAGTTCTGAATGCTCTATTCAACAAGCTTTTGTGAGTGAGGCATAGTGGATTTTAGGCCCATTCAAAAAGATCAGGCAGCCTTGATTCACAAACAAGTAAGTTCTTTCTTTCCCAGTTTATCATCAGACAACAACACTCTAAAAGTTGCTGAAATGCAAACACACACTGATATCAAACATTAGGACTCACCAAGCATCAGGTCTGGTTCTGGATCACGGTTCATGTAAAAAATGGGCTCAACAATAAGGTGTTTTTCCCCCCTGCTGGCTCAGTCGGAGAACTAGAGTTGAAATTTCCATTGGCCTTGCCAACATGTGTCTTGGCACAAATAAGATAAATATTTTAAGCCACAATTTTTTTTTTTTAAAGAAAAGTAATGAAACTAAGGCAAATAATTTATTTATCATTTTCATCCAATTCTAACTCTAACTGATGCTTCCAAGACCATCACAATTCCTTCTTGCAATTTCGACAACACAATCTTAGTCCGCTTGTTAACTTTACCTTGGTGACATTCAGTTTACCACAGAAAATTGAATATTTATGTTTGCAAGACAAAAAAACACGTACATGATCATCAAACGTAACAAAACAGCACTGACCCAATAGGGCAAGTGTCAGTTCTGTCAACAAAAGTTCAAAGGTCACGTGAACGAAGGACATCTATCAGAAAGATAATGTTGTAAACAGGAACTTGTCTTACAGATAACACAATAGACAAAGCAGAGAAATGAGGAAATGATGAAATGAGAGGTCAAAGTGTATAATCAGTATCTTTATAATAGCAAAACAGCATGTGACGAGGAGCGCTTGGCACTTTCTACACCTCCTTACAGCTGCTATAAATTCAGTACAGCATTTCATTACAGTTCAGGTGTTTCTCAGGACTTTTATAAGGGTACTAGCAATATGGTTTTTGATTTTAAGAGTATATAATGTCTGTGGTTAGCATAATATGCTTTCACATTTTATTCTACAACACAAACCAGTAGATTTATTGGTAATTTGTTAATATTAGTTAATGCATTAACTAACATGTAATAACAATGAGCAATATATTTTCACAGAAATTATTCATCTTTGTTAATGCAAGTTAAAATATATATTCATGTTAGTTCACAATGCATTAACTAAGGGTTAATTAACATGGGTTTTTTTACACTAAAGAAAAGTAAGATAAATATATAACTACTTTCTGCATTGTCAGAACGTCTAGCACCATGGGTGAACCGTTTTAGGTCAGGCTGACAAAAGGAGCACTTTTTTTTTCTTTCTTTCATATGACCCACTCAACTATAGTTATGATATATCATAATAATAGCAGTATTGGGTGAACAAATCTTTCTCATGCCTCCTACAAGAGACTAAAGAGTATGTATCTTGTGGTGCATGTTGGCAGTTTAAGGGTTAATAAAGTTCAATTGTACATTTTTTTATAATACTTTTATTCAACAAAGATTCATGAAATTGGCCACTAATGACAATAAAGCCATTTATAATGTTACAAAAGATTTTCAATTTACAGTCATCAAAGAATCCTGCATTTTTTAAATCAGTTTTCTCAAACAGCTCAAAGGTTTTCAACATTGATAATAATAAGAAATGTTTCTTGAGCAGCAAATCAGTATTAGAATGATTTATGAAGGACTATGCGACTGAAGACTGAAGTAATGATGCTGAAAATTCAGCTTGGTCATCACAGGAATAAATAACATTTTAAAATACATTACAAAATGAAAAGGTTATTTAATTCATAATAATAATTCACAGTATTCCTGTTTTTACTGCATTTCTTTGTAAAATAAAGGTTAGACTTATTTTAAAAATCCATACGGATCTCAACCGTTTGAATAGTAGTGTACATGTACATGTAAAGCAAAGAATCTGCAGTGATCTATGCTATGGTCAAGTGTGTCTTCCTTCAGTTTGCAAAGTTGCAAATGGCAACTACAATCAGTACAAAGAGTGACTGGCTAGCTGACAATGTTGTTATCCTGCAGGCTATGTTGGTCATTGAATGGATGTGAACATGTTCTCCATATATCTGTCACTTAATCCGAAATCAATGAAACAAGGAATTCTGCAATAGAACACGAGACAGCCTTTTCCACTACTATCAACTATCAAGTGATTTACAGAACAATCATAGTAAAGCACTCAGCTTTTACAGAGCAAATATTGCAAATGATATGTACTTATAAATTAAAGCATTTTACTGCTCCCAGATGGCAATCATCCATCAGAGAGAACATACAAATGCATTTAATGCGGATATCCACCATGTTTCTCAAACACGCACGCACACACTCCTTCTGTAGACATAATGGTTTCTATACTGTACATTCTATCTCCTTACACTAACCCTACCCATCACACAAAAACTTTCAGCATTTTTACATTTTCAAAGAAACAAAAACAAACAAACAAAAACACTTAGTATGATTTATAAGCCGTTTTCTTAATGAGGACCACAAAATGTCCCCACAAGGACAAGGATTTTGGATATTGCCGTCTTAACGGAGTAGGGTTACACTTTATTTGAAGGTGTCATTGTTACAGTGTAATTATATATTTAAGTACTGAGTAATATTAAGTAACTACATGTATTATAGGGTTAGGGTAGGATTTGGTTGAGGGTTAGTTGCATGTAATTATGCATAATTTACTGTTACTGTTTACCCAGGAGCCTTGTCTCGCTAAGGGGAGCAATATCCACATTATAGCGCTTCAGTTCCTCAAAAATCAGTGCAATCCTCTTATGAGGTCTATTACCCTCACTAGTCCTGACATTCCATGTTGCCAATTTGAAAGATACATTTTTTTTTTTTACTTCCACCACAAGATGGAATTCCCAGTAGGTTGTGGTAACCTACCCAGGAGATAATAGAGTGGCCAATTGTTAGGCCACCTTTTCTAGGCCCTTCCCCTAAATAGAGGTCTACCGAAAAGCATTCAGAAGCCACTCATCCAAAGTTAGCCTGGAGCCGTAAACAAAGCACCCAGTTTCAGTGTGTGGCCACGAGGAACCATGGTGGGGGTCTTGGCAATGGACAGGCAGTATACAGTATATAGAAGCTGCTTCACTGTTAACCATAAAGGCTAGCCAGCAGAAAGGCTGAAAGAAAGAGCAAAGATTAGCGTGCAGCTACTTTCTGAACTGCTGCACTAGTCACATCACATCGCCCTGTGATGTCACACACACACACACACACACACACACACACACACACACACACACACACACACACACACACACACACACACACACCTGTTATTTTTCTCATAGTGAGGACCATCCATTGGGACATTATTTATTACGTTTTTCAGGCTGTGGCTGGTCCCAGAAAGATAATCCCCAAAAGGAGGAACTTGCTTTATTAAATCTATTAAATGTAATGGAAAGAAACGTATAGTCTTAGCATTACTTTAAATGTTGTAGTACAGTCTTTGGTTGTTGCTACATATTTGGTTTTACATTGAACTGAGGAGAACTGAAGCTGAGGTGGTTGTGGCATGTGACAGCAAAACAACTGCATTCCCACATGCAGTCTCAGAGCAGAATATAGGAGGAAGTGTCATTTTAAAAGTGTGCTCTGGAGAAGTAAAGTAATACAATCTTGCAACTTCAATAATCTTGCTATGCCAAGCCACAAAATATTTTGTTAGGAGGAAATAAGTTTTTTTTATTATTATTATTATTATTATCCTTATCCAGTAAATCACGCATCACTTTTGTTACAGTTGAAAAACCTACACAGAAAACATTGATGTTTGCCTGTGACGCAGACCTATTGCTGTGGATTATGCCGTTATGTAAGCTTCTTATGAGTTTTTAATCTTACAGCACATCTCTCACCATCCTTTTCTCTTTCCACATTTGTGTTGGATTTTGTGGGTCAGCGCATGCTAAATGGTTGTTGTGGTTTCTCTCCCTGAGTGATGCCACCACTGCCGAAATCCCAGCATCCTTTTAAATGGTTTCAACCACCCCCCTTCTTCCCCTCCTAAAACCAATCTAATCTACCCAACAAACATCCGGATGAGTCACTCAGCATCAATACACTCTTTCCATCAAAATGGCATGAAGGGAGAGAGGAAGGAGAAAGTGTGTGTCTGGATATGACCATGTGTTAGTAGACTTATAATAGCTACAATGAGTGTGTTTGTGTGTTACCAAAATGTTCAGGTCTGCTGTGGGCACCAGGGGGCGATGTGGTGCAATTACGCAAACGTAAGCTGTTGTTCAGTTTGCGACCCTAAAGCCCAAAGAACATTAACATTAGAGTGATGGCTTCTCACAGGACTTTCAAATGGATTTCCAAGAAAAAACTTTAATTGTAATAATCTGCTTTAGTGACATTTATTCTATAATTAGATATGCACTGAATCATTACATTATATATTCTTCGTGTGTCAACATTTATGTCCAAAATTCATAGTAAATGTTCATGTTGGGTGTCACTTTATTTCAATAGTTTTAGACATTCTACTAGGTAACTTTGCTTCATGTCAACTATTAGTATTAGTAGATTGTCTGCTTAATATCTGCTAACACTGTATATTGATCATCTCCCAACAGACATTCTACTGACTATAAGTGTAAGTATGTCAACTTATTCTACTAACCCTAACCTAACAGTCTACTAATACTCTAATGAGAGTTAGTTGACATGTAATTGAAAAGTTACTTATAGTTAGTAGAATGTCTAAAGTGGACTATTGAAAGAAAGTGCATACTCGTCATGCGGTTACACATATTTATTTGTACTATAGCAAAAATTAAAATGTTAAGAGATGCTGTTTGGACAAATTTGCTTAACTCCCAACAACAATTTATAAAACTGATTGTTCTGGTCCTTGATTATGATTGGCTGAGACATGTCCTATAAACACACACACACACCTGTGACCTCATTAAATCAGTATTACTGAGCTAAATGTTGCTGAAGATCTACACGTTTGGTGGAAGAATTATTACATTTCTGTTGCTATGTGTGGTTTACAGTGATTTTAGAACAGCACAGAGCCTAACTAATATCTGTAGGCGTTTTTAAATTACTGAAAACCACTGCTAATCACAACGCTTTATTCATTTTAGTCCATATTTAGCTTCATATTATCTTAACGCTGGCTAAATGTTTCTCAGAACAACACAAAGTGCGAAAGCATATTATGATGAGAAAAAAAGTATTTCTGTTTATTTGAACAAACAGAAAAATCCTTTTTAACTTACCAGATCATTTGTACACAAACAGAACAGTGTTAACTGCCCTTTGACAAACTGTCATCTGTGCACAGAAAGGAAATTCCTGATGGACATTTATTAGTTTATGTAACATTTTACAGACAATTACCTTAAAACAATATTCTATATAACAATGTAAATCAAACAAATGAATCATAGATATGTAAATAAGCATATGTAGTGTCTGGTCTATTGCCATACTTCCACAACAAAGACTTCATATACAGAAAAAAATAAAGGTGATAGAAAAGAAAGATAAGCAAATACTATGATGAAATCATCATGCCTGATCTAACCTACAACTGTAATCTAATGTTGTCTACATCACCATTGAGATATTACAAGTGTATATGTCAACTGTCAACTGGTCGTGTTCAGTGATCATGGGAAAATCTGTGAGAAATGGGTTTACATCACTTGGGGTGTATTTAAGAAACATTTTCCCCCATTAACATCTGAACCTTTACCTTTCAGTCTTCCTTCATAGCGCAGCCATCATCATGTGGACGCCTCCACTCGACCTCACCTGTGAGAATGACAAGATCGTTTCTAAACTTCACATTAGACCTAATCTTGTACTATGAGGAACCTTCAGTGTACCTTCAGAGTCCACTCAAACCTCCCTTTACTGGTCATGTCCCGGGATATAACACAATCTGGCCCTCAGTGGACCAACTCCAGCTGACTCGCAGAAAAGGGCAGTACGCCACTAACATAGTAAGCAATGCCCAGAGACAGAAGAGCGATGACCACCAGCAGCAGTAGGACCCTCCAGAAGCCCAAATCCTCCACAAACTCCTGCCAGGTGGAGCGGAAGCTGGACAGCACACCCTCGCTGTTCTGTAGGTTTGGATTGAGCAGCGAATGGCTCTCCATCGCACTAGGAACAAGAGTGTTGAGTCAGTATTGGTAATCAATTGAAACATGTCAAATAACTAAAAGATGTTCATAAAAGGTGGCATCTGAGGCGAATCCAACCTCTCGCTCTCAGCCATCTGCATGGCTTCTAGTTTGGAGTGAGCTCCTCTGTTGAAGCCCTTGACCTCTTGCTCTTCCAGGCCTTCCAGCAGCCGAATGGCATCTTTATTTACCCCTCTCCTCTTAGCCAGCACCAGGGGGGTCGACCCGTTGTGGTTACTGTTCGAATGCAAGAGCACAATCGAGAATTGTTACATAGAGTCAGATGAAAACTTACCATTGTTACAATAGTGTTCTGCCAAGTTATTACATCATTACAAGCACTACTGCTACAGTAAAATAATAATAAATTAATATGATATGTCTTGATTTAAAACATTTTATGAAAGTGGTGACTAACTTGGTTAGTTACCATGGACAATGGTTGTTCACACTATTCACATACTATCTGTCCTAAATAGTATCTAAAGGCACAATAATTAACATGATAATAAATAGCTGGCTGACTTTTTCATTTTTTGACATGACATGGCTAGATTTCAAATGGTCAATATTTATTAAGTTGAATGACCATCCTAGAGATAATAATCATATTTCTAACGAAACCATCATATTTTGAAAATATTATATTAATCATAAAATAAAAATATAATTTATTGTTACTGTAAAGCCATTTTAAATTATTACAGGATCTCCCTCAACAGTGTAAGCTTTCAGAATCTCTTTTTTTTTATCTCTATTAACAGGCTTTTTTTTTCTTTTTTTACAATGAACACATTTTAATGATTGTACTTATTGAATAAAAGTAAATTCAATTATTTTATTTGTCAACATAAATAACAAACTTTGCTGAAGTTATTGTTTTGAACAAGTACAAGTACAAGAGGTTACACAAAACTTCAATACTGGGTGCTGGTTACTCCGAGTGTGGGGTAAAAAGCCCTTCTCACCACCTCATACATTTACAGGTGAAACTCGAAAAATTTGAATATCCTGCAAAAGTTTATTTATTTCAGTAATTCAACTTAAAAGGTGAAACTAATATAAAATATAGACTCATAACATGCAAAGTGAGATATTTCAAACCTTTGTTTGTTATAATTTTGATGATTATGGCTTAGAGCTTATGAAAACCCCAAATTCAAAATTAGAATATTGTGAAAAGGTTTGCATAAGCTGTAAGCCATAATAATCATCAAAATTATAACAAATAAAGGCTTGAAATATCTCACTTTGCATGTGATGAGTCTATATTTGTCACGGGTTGGTTCAGAGAAGACAGACGAAGAACGTAGTAAACACTTTCTTTAAATCGTAGAGACTCAGGATACACGGGAACAGCTGGGACAGTGTGTCAAACACGAACAATACCGGACAATGAACTGAATGCAGATAGGAACTTAAATACACAGTGATGATGATTACATTAACGACAGGCAGCTGTGAGGAAGGTGCTTAGTGTCCATGGAAACAGATTGTGGCGGGAAACACTGAAAGGGAAAAACACATGAGAAATCAAAAAAAACCTGAAATTCAAAAGAGCCTAATGGTGACAATATTATATATTAGTTTCACCTTTTAAGTTGAATTACTGACATATTTAAATGAACTTTTGCACGATATTCTAATTTTTCGAGTTTCACCTGTATATGATTTTTAAGCATGCCAAACTACTTTTGTGATTTCTCTTCTCACAAATGCACTGCTACATCAGTGTTCAACGTAAAGCTATATTTTCTCTGCAATCATACACACTGTGGGAGTAGTGAAAAGCACGTTCCTAAAGGTATGCTGCAGTCAGAGCTGGGCAGATTACTTACAAATTGTAGTCCATTACTGAACAGAAATTACGTGATTTAAATTGTTGTTAGTAATGTAATTATTACGTTACCCATTTTAGGTACTATACTCTGACTAATTTTTTGATTACTTTTAGATTTTTTTTTTTTTTACCTAACTTGTTCATAACATGAATAATATAATCTTGTAACATTTTGATACAAAATGTACCAAAAATACAAAGAGAAAGAAAAAGTAATCCATTTTGTTTTGTTATGGTTATCAACAACATTAATTGGATTACAAATTACATTGCGTCAGGGTTTCCCAAACTAGTTTTTAGGAAGTAACTGCAGGGGGTACTTAAATTAATGAAAAGCAAATAATCATAATTATTGTTAATAAATCTTAAAAATGTTATGTTAAAAGAAATGAGTAATTAAAAAAAAAACTAACTAACAAAAAGATGAAATATTTTATTTGTTCATACTGTGTGGTCTCTCAATTTTCCATGTAATTATAGTCGCCTGACTAGTGGCCGGTCTGTGTATGAAATTGCACAAAACTGGAAGACTTTATGAATATATATAAGAAATACGTTGTTGTTGTTGTTGTTGTTTTTCAAGGAAAATTTTAAAGATATAAAATAATAATTAGGGACAATCAATGAATTCTAATTAATTTACTGCCATTTTGCAAATTATTAATTAATCATGTAATCAATAAAAAGTAACTGAAGTCTGATTATGAGTATTTTAAAAACATAATATAATCTAATTACAAGTATTTAATTTTTAGATTCTGATTACGTAATCCGTTACTAGTCTACCCAGCACTAGCTACAGTATTAGCCCCGTTGTAGTACACTACATAATAAACACAATAGTAGTCACAAGCACTTACCAAAATTCGTCTAGTTACCTAAATGAATAAAACTATTGGCATATCTCACCAAATGTCAATTTTGAGACCATTGGACACCAGGAACTGAATGGTGTCCACATGTCCACACAGGTGCAGTGCAGTGTTGCCCTGATAGTCGGTGGCCAGCAGGTCTGCGCCGAACTTGTGCAGGAAGCGGCAGATGTCCACATTACCTCGTGCCGCTGCCAGATGCAGTCCCGTGCGGCCCCTGTGATCACGGATATTGGGGTCACAGCCGGTCTCCAGCAGACGCCTAGCGAAACTCAAGTCCCCATCGATACAAGCCTGCAGTAACGGTACACTGGTCTGCGACGAGTCATTGATGAAGACATATGACATGTCCGAGTCGGTCTCCGAAAATTCCAGCGTAACTGAAAAACACAATGATAGAGTGGATCTCATTAAACTATTGCACTGTGACATTAACCACATGACACCACACCTCTGTATTACACTAATGTCCCACTTTATAGGTGTCTTTACTGTGTACTTGTGGACTATGTTATTGTTCATGTTGTCATGCAAAACACTTTTGCTGCTATTGAGGTGGGATACAGGTTGTTATGCACAGGTTTCGTTGTATGATTAAGTTTAAAGGTTGGTTAATGTGTATGGGAAGGGTCAACACTGTAATTATAGATATAACTATAGAAATGAATTACAGCTGTAATTACATCCAGGTATTTTTTTTTTTAAAGAAATACAAGAACAATGTAAAAACATGTATAAGTGAATTGAATCAAATTATTATTTTAAATATTAGTATAGTAGTTAAAGAGACACTTAATATCAAGTGGGTCCAGTGCTATATTACAGTAAAGCAAATTGTATAAAAAATAAAAAACAACATTCTCACTGAGATTAATATAAATAGGGGAAGTAACCATGATAAGACCATGTTGTACCATTTCGTTTTTCTAAAGACCTCCGATGAAAATGGCTGAGTAATTAAATAATTTTCAAATTAAGATTACCGGTAATAAATTAAATGCATCCTTGTATGATTTATTTTATCTGTATTTATTTAGGAATATTCTGTGTTTGTCATTAGGGAAAGTGACCCTTTTAAGCCCACCCAGTCTAAAATAATGAACGTCTAAAAACATCTGACACATATTAAATGATTAATGGTCTTCAACATAAAGTAGGCTTAAGTTTCTTAAAGCTAAATATAATTTCTTACTTTTCCCGTTTGAATACGAGGTGATTATGAGGTGAAATATGACCTAGTCCTAAATGATGAGGGTGACGATGGTGCAGGTCACACCCATAGACTGTAAACAAAATTAGGTCACACTCATGAAGGATTATACTCCACTGTAATAATTCAACCAGAAGGCTTTTTAACTGTTGCAACACTCTTTAACAAAGCACCTGATCATGAGCTGCAGTGCTGGAGGAGGATTCTGCATTAGCCAGCGCACTGCTGGATGATGCTGACTAATGTAAAAACATCCATCTAAACACAACAATGAGATTTATTCCTCTAAAGTCAGAAACAGAGAGGGATCTGCTAATACAGCTTCAGTGTGTCAAGTGTGGTTTTACGTTAGTGAACATGTCACTGTAAACAGTTGTATAATACACTATGTTTCCCAGCGTTTATAAGAGCACTAACGTAACGTTACTAGCATATGAGACGGGGGAAAAAACAGACTCAACAAAGAGACAGCAGCGAACTTATTCATACACACTCTTATGTACCTGTTTTGTGCAGCAGTCTTAAAGGAGAAATGTCTTGCGTTTGCTGAAGTCCCGTCCGTTATGTCTGTCTGTGTTGTTTATGAGTTACTACCATAGACAGTATAAGAAGGGTTACTACCATAGACAGTGGTTACTACAGTGGCTGAACCAGTGGGGAGTCGGGACGCTCACAGCGCCCTCTACTGCTGTGGGGCGCTGCTGCCGCGCTTCGAAACAGGCTGCACGCCGCTGCAGCGAGGGGTGTCTCCATAGGGTGTCTCACAGGGCCGCCCCGAGGCATAAGCGAACTAAGCGGCTGCTGGCCACAGGGGGTTTGAAAGTTTAGTTTAAATTTTTTTTTTTTGATGACCTAAACAAGTGACATATATGAATGAATGAAAATGCCTGAATGAATAATTCAAGACAAGAAAATTCTTATTTCATGATCAATATACCTGCCAACAACTGCTGCTGTGTCTGCCAGCGTCATGCGCATTATCTAGACACCTCGCGCGTGCATAGACAATTCGTGCGCAATTGCGCATAGTCAGGTATCGGTTTAAGTTGGAGAAAATAGCCGCAGGGGAACTTAACCTTCTAGGTGTAAGGGTAGCAGTTTGAATAAATAATAAACATAGCAGTTTGAACTCTTCTCCACTTTATTATACCACACATCAGATCACTAACTCCAAAAACCCGCGACACTCCAGTAGCTACCAAGTGCGCACGACCAGAGAGGGAGGGAGCCATAGTCTGTTTTAATCTTTTAGTATGGAAAGTTTCTCATATTCAGCTTTTGGGGCTAATAATTTTTGTTTAATTCGTATGGACTTATTTCTGGCTTCAGACAAAGTCTTGCATGGTGATTTTAATATCCTTGTAATGAAAAAGAGGCATTGGGATTGGCATTTAGACATTCTAAACTCTATTGGATTTAGACAACCATACAAACTATAATCAGATGGTTTTGATTATTATTTTTTACTAATCAAACCATAATCATACTTTAGATTTAATATTTACACATGTTGATGCCGTTGAAATTCTGCAGCAGAGTGATGACATCTCAGATCATCATCTTGTGTACATCATCTTGTGCCTAGTCCATTTAGTCAAGGTTGCCAAACTAATTCCTTGTTGCATCATGGTAGACCTAACTACGACTAAAGATTGTTTTATAAACGTACTGCCTTATCTCAACCCCTCAGCAAACAATGTAGGTATGAGAAGAAATCAATATTGCAATAACAGAAACTATCGACTCTCTCTCTCTCTCTCTCTCTCTCTCTCTCTCTCTCTCTCTCTCTCTCTCTCTCTCTCTCTCTCTCTCTCTCTCTCTCTCTCTCTCTCTCTCTCTCTCTCTCTCTCTCTCTCTCTCTCTTTTTTAACACTTTAGACACGGTTGCTCCTTTGCGCTATTCCTCTGCTCAGGTCATTTTGACCATAGACATAATAAATACATAGCCGCTTTGGAACGTTGCTGCGATACGTCAACAGGTCCGCCATTTTGCGGAGGGCAAGACTGCACTGTAATCAAATGTAAGTAAACGGGTGAGCTGCGTTTTTTCTGGATAAAAAAAACTGTTTTTACATTTATCAACCGATTTCAGTGGTTTGTATGTGGTGTACAAAAAGTTATATCTCTAGTTATTTAAAATCTCGATAGTTAGACTTTTTAAAAAAAAAAAAATTTAATAAAGAATGGTCAAAGCTCAGGCTTGTCATGTATTTGGCTTTTTATTCTTGGATAAGAATGGTGAAGACCCCCATACTGAGATATAAGTTTTCTTATTGTGGAAAAAGTGTGATTTTCTGTGATTGACCAGATTTTAGCAATAACAAAGATAACTGATGGATCCTTTATGATAATATATGTTATGGTACAACTATAGTGCAATGCAAATAGTAAATATAACATAAAGTGAGAAGTAATAGTAAATAGTCAATAAAATAAACAAATAGTATACAGCAAATAAAATTTTATTTGCTGTATACTATTTGTTTATTTTATTGACTATTTACTATTACTTCTCACTTTATGTTATATTTACTATTTGCATTGCACTATAGTTGTACCATAACATATATTATCATAAAGGATCCATCAGTTATCTTTGTTATTGCTAAAATCTGTTACTACTATTAATAGTAATGAATAGTATAATTATATAATATCATAAGTACAATAATACAATCATAAAAATATTGATAATAGCATATAGTTTATGAATAATAGCTACTATAGCAATAGAATAAGAAATATCAATTACAGAATATACACAATAAAAAAAATACGTTAAATAGTGACTTTAATATTTAACTATTTTTTGTTAAATTTCAGTTTTATTGATCAGTAAAAGCCATTATAACAGAAGTAGCTTCAGTCAAACATACAGCTGCAGGATACAACGTTAAAATAGCCTAAATATAAAGTTATGAAACTTCATTTTGCCCTCAGCCAAAACGATTTACCAGGGAACCATTTATAGATTAATGAGACCAAAGATCGCCCGTTAGATATACACAAGACGAATTATATCTCATGTTTAACCACTAGACTACAGACATCCGAGTCAGCGGCAAAACTTCAGAAGCACTGGCCGAGGTACGGCTGAACCAGGCGGGGTAGACGAGCGCTGCAGTCCCGGTGATAACATCTTACAACTCCGAAAACGTCAGATCAAATTTTTAAATAGGCGCTATCTTTATAAACAAACCACATATTTGAGCTTTAAACAACTACATTGTCGACTGAAAAACTATTTAAACTACATTTCGTGACACAATAACAGTAGGATTTTTAAATGTATCCTCTGAACGTTACTATTACTAATTAAAGTCCCCGTGAACCGGAAGTTACAAACGACTTTTCTCCAGTGTTGTGACGTATTTCCGAGAGAAACGGAATACTAAATGAGGCAAAATGGTGGGCGTGGCTTTTTTCCCAACTAGCACCTGATTGGATCTAGAAAAGTAGGTGTTTTCATTCAGCCTGTCTACTGTCAGTTGGAGGGGCGTGATTACGGATGTTAAGAAGACGCCCAAACCGTGAAACCTACGTCATCAGGCAAGGTCCTCCAACGCAGAGGGGAGGGGAAATTTCAGATTTTGATTAAAGATTACGAAGCCAAAAATTGTTTTTGTGTGGATTGACTTGCATGGATGAATTGTTCACCACAAAACGATCAATTTAGGCAAACAAAGTAAGTATGGTCAATTTTGAATTCATGGGGACTTTAAATCCTGACCAAATACAACCAAAAACAAACGCTCAGTCTTGCTTGTGAAAGGTAATTAGGCTTTATGCACAGCTTCACTACTTCCTGAACTTCAGCCAGCCCTTTGTTTCCTGTCTGTCATTATTGGACAAACTGATTAATCCAGGTGTGCCTGATTATTGCGCACAAAACAGGCATTTTTCTCAATTCCCGGTATGAGAGGTATGGGAAAGTTGCCCTCCGCAATATGGCGGCGCCGGGCGTATGTATTTATTATGTCTGTGATTTTGACACAAACTTTTAATTTTTTTAAATTGAGAGTTCATTGGAGTGGTCCAAGGCATTTTTCTCGCACTTGAACTTGGAATACAAACACACACAAAATGTGACTGGATTCATGATGAGTTTTTGTAGTTGTAATAAAAATAGTAACAAATACTTGCACAAATAACACATCTGGGAATTCCCATTAAGTGAATATAATGTCATATAACGGGGGCACTTTTTTTTTTTTTTACAAAATTAAAATACATGTTTAAAAACACATTTACAATTCAAAACAAATCATTTTGAAGTTAGGACACCAGTGGGGTTGTCCTAAAGTTAAAAAGAGTTAAAGAGTTAGGATCAATACTGATAAATCCTTATAATTTCCTTTCTCATATGAAATAATCATTATGTCATAAATCATTTAGCCTAATTCATAATTCATTCCTCGACCTGAAGACCTGACCCTCCTGCTGTGGATCAACCAAATCATTTTTTGAAATGCTGTGGGGTCATTCATGCGTTAGCCTAAAGAATAGCTCATCAAAACAATAATTTCAGGGACATTGCGAGGTACAGGCTAATGTTTATTTTCCTTTTGTGCATTAAAATGAAGGCTTTGTGAAACTGCTTAGCTTTTCCAGTTTTTTAAATGACATCCTTCCTACACCAACTACAAACACATTTTTCTATCATGTGCCTATGAGAAACCATGGAACCAATCAGGGTGACATCCCCGCCCCAGGTGCAGCCCCTCCCCGATATGCAGGCTGCAGCAAAGGTCCTTCTCGTATGTTTTGGCTGAATTTTCGTTGTATTTACACAGTTTTGACCAGCAGGCGGCACGGCACCAGCGTGTAACTGCGTATAACGTTTCGAGATTTTCGAAAAGCTTCGTTTCTCCTCTCACTACTGATCCGTTTTTGAGCACCGGTGACACTGAGCATGCGCGGAGGATCTGGCTTTCTATTCGACAAACCCTGTGACTATCTCTGCATGAAACCCATAGGGTGAAACCAGAGCCATAGGCTCTGGGTGAAACCATGGTCCGATCCCAATCATTGGTTCTCTTGATATAGGGTTGTACGGTGATTTCTCTAATTGGTCAAATACGAATTCTCGTGTTCAGCGTGACCCAATCCAAATGTTGTGTTTCATTTGCTTCCTGTTTTAAACTGTCAAGCAGTACTAGCCGGTATCCAGTGCACGTTGTATGTGTAAATCACTTTTGTTAAACCATCTGTTTGTCAGTTTTTATAAATATGATGGAAAACAGTGATCAAAATCTTGCTATGGTCACCTGCACGGCACCAGTGAACATTGCGGTCGTCAAATACTGTAAGTGTGCATGTCTTTCAAACGTAATGGATTCATTTGTGATTATTATAAGATGTTCTAAAGTTTCTTTCTATCCTGACTATGTTCTTCTTATTTTCATATTTGTTATACACAGTGGCTGCAAAGAGCTCACAATAATAATTCAAAGCAGTTTCACAATAATATAACAGAAGATAACAAAATTAATTATGCAAACATCAAATATAAGACAAGTTCCAGTTTTTGCTGTAAAGCTAAAGCAAGATAACAGGGTCGTTATTCAGCTCAATTCAGTTTAAGTTTAGTTCTCATCCGATAGTGTCAATGCAGTCTAATTAGTAATATTGCTGGATATTAAGACCACAGACAGGGTTTAGATTAAGCCAGGATTAGGCTTTAGTTCAATCAGGTAATTTAAGTATCTTTAATAAATGTTCTTTTGAAAAATACATTACTGGTGTGGTGTGCATCTTGAGACAAAACATTGGCACTGACATATTTGAAGAAATGGCAGTGCAAGTTGCTTTAATTTAAAACCGCTTAAACATGCATTTTAGTCTGGGACTAGTTTTAAGCCTTGTCTGTGAAACCGGGGGTAAGTGTCCCTAAGCCAAAGGCGACAGTGGTGAGGAAACCATAAATCTCCAAAGCTCCAGCTAATTAGAAGGCATTGAGCAAAAATTAAGAAAAAAAAATTTAGTGAAGAGAATAAATGATACATAATACTATGCAGTGACAGCCGCACATTTGTAAGTGTAAATTAAGTGACCAAATACTTAATTTTTGGGGAAACTGTATACATCTTCTGTAAATATTTATAATATTGGACATGTTCTACTCAGAGTTTTGTTGAGTTACTACTTATTGCCATTGAATCAGGGGGGAAACGCAATGAAGATCTCATTCTGCCAATCAATTCATCCCTCAGCGTGACACTGCATCAGGAACAGGTAGGTGACTGATAGTCCCCATAATATTATTAGCCCTGTCAGCATTGGTCGCTTTACCACAATGCATTTTAAGAGCTCCAGATTTTTAGCTGTAACAGCAAGGTTGCCAATCATATACTATAATTCTTTCTCAGCTCAAAACTACTACAACAATTGCATGCAGCAGAAGTTTCCAGCAAGACCGCATCTGGCTGAATGGCAAGGAGGAGGATATCAGCTGCCCCAGGTTGCAGTCATGTCTGCAGGAAAGTACGTCCCTGACTTTCAGAACATTAACATTACTAAGCACTGTATGACAGGAGCTGTCATTGTGATATTAAACTCATTTTAATTCGCCAGTTCGAAGGTTAGCTCGCAAGAGACGGAATACTGGTGATCCAACTTCTGATATCAGCGTAGTGTCCCGTAAGGTCCATATCTGCTCTGTGAATAATTTCCCCACTGCTGCTGGCTTGGCATCCTCTGCAGCAGGCTATGCCTGTTTGGGTAAGTAAAAAAAGAAACGACATAAAATGAGATTCTGTGCTCCTGATGATGATGTGAAAACTCGGGTTGTTTTAGTGTACACACTGTCACAGTTGTTCAATGTGGAGGGTGAGCTGTCTACAGTGGCACGACAGGGCTCTGGCAGTGCATGCAGGAGTTTGTACGGTGGCTTTGTCCAGTGGAAGATGGGGGAACGGTCAGATGGGGAAGACAGTATCGCTGAACAAGTGGAATCTGAGTCGTACTGGCCGGAGCTCAGAGTATTGATCCTAGTGGTGAGTGTGTGGATTTTACCCTTAGAATGGCAGCAGCATACATATAATGTGGATAAAATGTTTTATTTTTTTTATTTTTTATTATTAATTGTATCTACCAGGATGCATATCAATTGGGGTTAAAAGTAAAAAAAAAATGTTTGAACTTTTTAAATTTTTTCCCCTGACTGAGCAACTTTGACTGTTAAAGTTTAAACCTTTGTATTTGTGCAATTATTTTTTTTCTTTTACTTTATTTTTATATAACTTTTCAGAACAAAGACAAACAGTAACAAACAAGTCAACACAGCTTCATGGGTATTTGCATGGAAATTATTTCAAAATGTAACATAAAGAAAAAAAAAAAAAAAACCTCTTTCCATAATCAGCTATTACAAGAGATCCTTGAGTAAACATAAGTCAACAGGTTATCATGTAAACATATATACTTATACACGCTTATAGACACATACATTCGTAGAAATGCATACAAACACAAATACTCTCATGTCCATAGCCGTACTTTCATGCAGCTTGAAGTAATATTCTCTCATGGTGGTTACATCTTTGATAGGAATATTTATATGCATACATTTATCTCCCTTCTCTCTGTTTTGATATGTCTCTGAAAGTCTCTTCTTGTAGTCTTAACTTGAATGTCAGTCTTTCCATTTTATACATTTCTGTGACAATTTGTTCCCATTGAGTTTGCATTTGTGCAATTCATAGTTAAGCAGGCAGTTGTGCTGTCTGGGACAAATAAAAAAATCATTAGCATTTACACTATAAATGTGATGGAATCCCATGCATTTCTAAGTGTATTTACACTTGCTCAACTCACTTGTTTTTACTGGTCAAGACACAAGACATAAATGCTCTGCAAGATACATTCGAGAGGACTCACACCAAACTCCGAATGTAGTGAAAAGCTCACCGGTGACCGGTTAAAGCATTTTAAAACACACACTTTCCCTCAACAGATGTAAACAATTTACTCTGAGATCTTGGAAATTGTCTATTTGTCAGCTACTCATTTCTGTATCTGATATGAATATGTTTTCTCTCAGGTGAGTGCTGAGCAGAAGTCTGTTGGGAGCACGTCTGGAATGCACACTAGTGTGGAAACAAGTCAACTTCTGAAGGTAAAAAATGATTCATCATTTCTGTGTGTCCTTACTGGGGGGTGTATTTTAGCAATATAACACAAGCAAGAGTGTTGTTGTTCTGAATATCTGCACAGGTAATCAGCCGTCCTGATTTTCTGACGGCAAGTTAATGTTGATTAACTTACCTTTTAGACACAAGTTGCCAGTTACATTGTGTATTTTTACTCCGTCAATGAACAATTCCAAACAAACTCCAAAAATAACATTTTGTTACTGGATGAATCAGTGGGTCTGTCCCAATACCCTCACGTATTTCGTAAAACTGCTTGTGCTGTCTGTTACATACACTGTCACATTTAAACACATTTATTTTTAAAGTGCAAAGCATTGAAAAGCAAAATATGTTTTATTTTATTTATTTATATAGCGCCTTTCAAGAACCCAAGAACCTAGTTTGTAGAAAAATACTACAGTAGGTCTATTTCACAAAATGGCGACCGATACCAGAAGTAGGGAAGCGATACTTCCGGTCGCACCGCCGCCCGCTACGATCGCCATTCATTCTCAAAATAGACTGTGAACAGCTTGTTTTCTCTCTCAGTCATTAATATATCTGACAAAAGTAAGAATAGCAGATGTTGTCCGTTTTGTTGATAGTTTTCAGGAAGCTGTGAAAAGATCGAAATTGGACAAAGGTTACAAATTCTTGACGTTTGCTTACATTAAAAAAAAAGTTCCATTCATTTAAATGGCATGACACTTGATGACTAAGCTCACACTTACTATAGCTAAACAAAATAAATAAATACATTGAAACTATGTCTGACTGTAGGCTATGAGTGAAATCTAGTGGCTTTTGTTCAAATTTCATGTTAAGTGTTAGTTTTTCCAGGAGATTCCAGCAATCTTCCACTAAATTATGGCTCATTTTTCATGTTATCACCATGAAGGAAACTAAGAATTGTACATCTTTACAGTGAATTTGACCTAACTTTGCTAGTAGGTCTAATAATGAAATTAAGGCAAATAATTAAAAAATGGTTAGACTAAAAACATGAATGAAGTGAGTGATATAACCGGTACATGTTTTAAAAAAAATCATGATGTTACAAAATCACATTTTACTGTCTGGGGTCCCCTTATGAAAAGAAAATATATTTCCCTATATGTGAATGATCAATATATTAAATTTGAAAATATAGCTACATAATAATATATGGTGTTAATATTACAATATATATTGAATAACACATAAGGAATTTTCATATAGCTATTTAAAAATGTGAGACAATATATTTACTAATATATAATGTATGTAATTTTGTATTCAGTAATACACTTCATATATATTAACAGGGATTAAAGTTCTCCATCGCTACGAGAGAGTATATGACGGATTTCTGTCAATATCAGGGTTCCCCTCTGTCCTTATGTCTTAAATTTACTTTTCATAATTTTAATGCTTAATATGCTTACATTTCTCAAATAGTGTAATAAATGTCTTCATTTTAGTTTGAATGGGTCTTAAATTAAGGAAGGACGAGGTGCTCACCCTGCTTAGGGGGATGTGATCAAAGCTCTGCACTCTAAGCGTTCTGTCATCACTCCCCTCCTAATCCACTCCGGGTTTTCTAGTCCCACTCACGGGAAAAACTGCTCCGTGTTCACTCAATTTTAAAAGTTATTCTAATATGTTTATTTTTTATATCATGAACATCTGAATTTATAACACTATATGTAACGGTTAGGAAAATATTCTACGCGTTTAATAAATGTTCCAGCTGCCCTTGCTTGCACAAGTAAACAACAGGCCTGGCAAAGCGCACCCAGGTAAAAAGAAAAAAGGGAAAGAAAGTTACAGAAAACAACTTCTACAAACAATTTTAATTTGCCAACAGTTAATAATAATAAATAAAGTGCATAACGTGCAAATCAGATACCAATCAAGTGCAATATAAACATGTTTTGTCAGGGCATCACTCCCGAACCGGCATCAACACACTATTTCAACATCTGCTTCCTCCTTCACACACGTCTTTTTGCCGTCTGTGTCTGGCGTGATTTAACTTCACCCTAAGTCATTTTGTGTTTTTTCTTGTTTTCCAAAGACATTGAAATATGACTTAGGCAATTATGCTATGAGGCTAACGATATATAAGCGAGCAATTCTTTACAAAGACAACTATACATTTGTTTTTAGAAGTTGGTCATTTATAACATTGATAGTCTTGAAAGTTTGTTATGGGGAGGTGTACAACATTCGCATATAAATGTTAAACAACAAAACAACCCAGAAAATGGCTCCAATCTATTAGTTTCAGTCATACTTTCGATATGTTTACAAGACTGCAACTCTGCGGATAAAAAACAAAACACACAAATAAACCACACTCGGGTTTGATTTGGGTTGTGCTAGCCTATGTAGCTGTCTGTGTTTTACATAAACTAAAAGAACGTTTTTATATATTTTTTTTCTGGCTAGTTTACTTTAGTTTTTTTTAATATAATACACAACTTTCACCCAAACTGAATAATTAAAAACAAGTTTTTACCGGGTAGCCTAAATCTTCTATAAATATTTTTGAGTCTTTATTTTCTTTTATTTGCCTACTCAAGTTCTTGTTAAAACTCACTAGACATGCTTATTCTGTGCATTTTGGGCACTTTTTGTGTGAAATCATATTTATTTTTGTCCATCAAAAGTGTGCTTTCACTTTAATTGACCGTGAGCAGTAGCCTGGCAAGCCAGACCTACATCAAGATGTTAGGTCTGGGAACTCACAATGGCATGCCTCAATCCGAGGGGCGGGATAAACGGTTGTCTTTCAAAATCCCTCTCCACGCAATAGGACAGCGCTACAACTAACCAGAGCAACGAACGGCTTAAGCTGAGTGAGTCCCATGCATTTTTTTCCACCAGTGAACCAGCTAGTTGATATATTAAACTTTTGCCGTATCCGGTCGTCAAAACTCCGAACACATCTTTCTTTTTTAGGAATGACTTAAGTGACGTTCTCTTAACTCGCAGTACTCCAGAGTCGCTTCGAAAGACTGCTGTTCGCCAGCAGCATCTTCTTTGTTTTCAAGCAGAGGGAAATCACGCGGAACCGTCAACTCTGCCGTCATTATGTTAAGCCCGCCCACCAACTCTATACACGATCTGATTGGCCTGACCAGAGTTTGGTTTTTCCAGCTCGAATGCCAACGGAGAGTTGCTAGACCACACTTTGCTGCAAAATAATTTTTGCTGCCGCTAGGGTGCGTCTAGATTTCTAGGCTACGTGAGCAGTGCAGCAAAAACAGATTTGACGCCGAAACCCGCGCTTCACTGCTGCTCACTCGCCGCTCCTGCTCGACGCTCACGCGCTGCTCCTGCTCCCGGTGTGAATGCACTCATTGATCAACATGCACGCCGAAAAAAATACGCGCCGCTCACGCATGCGGTGTGAAACGGCCATTAGATACACGCCATCGTGTACACATAAATCTCAAACCCATCGTCTTCTTCCTCGTCTAATTTCTGTCGCTCTACATACGTCATCTGATATAATTGAAACGATTGGCTATGAGCTACGTACAGGCGCATTTGATAGACATTCTTAGCACCCAATAAATGGCTCTGGGCATTCGTAAACCACGCCTCAAATACGAGAAAATGAACGTGGTTCCCAGACCCAAGTCTCAATGAGACTTGGGTCTGACGTTAGTCAAGCTACCTAAATACGTGTTTCACATTCTTTTTGTGACAAGAAAATATCCCTACAACTTCTGGAAGTGAACAGCAGTGTTTTACTGTCGCATAAGAAGTGTTAATAACATCAGTGTAAAGCACGGGGTTCAGGGGTTCATCCTACATTAGGGTTATTTAACAACAGAAACTGAATAATCAAATGCAAAAATAAAATACTGCTTAGTTTTCACTGTATGAATTAAATATATACAGATTCTTATTAAAGCTACAAAAGTTATTCAGCCAAGAGCAGCGAGTGATTCTCTCTGTCTTTTGTTCATGACCCCAGTTTTTGCAAGCCGTTGCGATATGCATATTGCGATATATACATTTGCGATATTTCGATAATTTCAATATATTGTGCAGCCCTAATGTCCGCCCTCAACCACTGAATCAGCCAATAGTGAGCCTACAAGGGTGAGGTCACTGCAGCATGACACCAATCATTTAATCTAATTATAATAAAATCATTTTATTATGGCACGGAATCTTTAATATTTACATTTATTTAAAAAAGTTCTTTGCATTGTGCAAAATTATCACAAATTAGTATTTATGCTGTGGAATCCTTTTCTATTGATGTGTGTCTCCTCATTTACAGTTTGAGCAATTATGCAAACATGAGTTCCATCAATGGATCCAACAACTCAGGAAAGCCCGAAATTCTCATAAAAGTGGCTTTATTCTGCTGCGAGATTTGAAGATCAATTGGAAAGTCAATAAACTGCCATACAGTAGTGGCCAAAAGTGAGGCAAAGGAAAATTGACAGATTCACCCTTTATTCAAATAGTATTAAAAATATGTTAAAGGTGCATTGCGCTAGTCTCTGAGTTTTTGCAGAACTATGCCCCCTCTGGCGACAAGCGAAACTGCAACCAGAGGTGTGCATGCTCATGGACCACACGCACACGCACGCTTGCACGAGCTGTTCATAACCAAAGGAGCATCAGCCGCACAAATCTTTTGTTTACAGTCATAATGACTTCAGAGGTAATAAAGTTATAAATCTGCAAGTCATTTTAAATATATGAAAGGAAAGGCATTTGAGTAAATTACACACTTATGTGTGAGGGGAAAACGGGGGTAGTAGAAAACTTCGGTTTTTGTTTCCATCTATCTCCTTGTTGAACTGTTTTATGTGTTTACTGTATCCACTTATGATTGTATTATTTTGGAAACACGTTCATGAACCGTTTTATCAAGAAAAAAGCCAACTGAGGATCCCGTTTGAGCCCTAGAGCAGACCGGAGATCTCTCCATTTGTTGAAAGACTTCCCGATGTTGACTCTCGTCTTATTCCGACGCCTGTCTGACTCCAATTTGGCCCTTTTGGTGGCACTAGACAAAAGTTTTCTTTTCTTTGTCTTACGTGGAGTTTGCGTTGGGGTTTGAAATGAACTACAAGCCGGTCTCTTAGAATCCATCTTCTACTTTTGTCAAAAGTTGACTAAAGTTTTGTCGCTCGATTTGTCTTCGCTGATACGGAGAATGGCGGCGAATACACAAACCTGCCAGACATAGCCAGGTGAGCGTGAACGCGCATGACGTCACGCCCAGTCTCAAATTCCGTCCCGAATCCCTCTATTTACTTTACTGTACAGGATTATAGAGGCAATCGCAGTGATCAGAGAAGGGCTCATTCAGCCCATCAGGCAATTGTTTAAGCATGTATGGGTTAGAAAAACGGGTATTTTTAACATGAAATGTTGCGCAATGCACCTTTAAAGATTTTGTACGCGTATTGTGATGTGCTTAGAGTCAATTGTTTATTTGTGATAACACGAATAAAACATGCCAAATTGTACAGACATCATTTTTAGCCAGGCTGTCAAACAAATGAACAAGAGAGGACAATGAAATATTAATAACTGACTATGTTGCAAACAATGTACGTTTTTTTTTTCTCCTGTGAGCTTTTTCGTTTTTTAAAAAACCTGTAGCTTTAGTTTGCCCTTTTTTCAACAATATTATTGATCTGCCTGCTGAACGATGACATCACTGTTTTCTCCAGAGCGGCTGTATAATGAACTAAATAGATAACTAATAATTTTTTACAATGGAAATGAATCATCATCGAACTTGATGCTGTACAGCCAAAACTGACTTTGTTGCATTTTTTTCCTGTTATCACTGTAAAGCTGCTTTGAAACAATCTGTATTGTAAAAAGCGACTTGACTTGAAATAATTTTGTCAGACAAATATCTTCACTAAATTTATTGTGCAACAACACATTGTGCACAGCGTACTCTCACCGTAAGTCCTTAAAAGAAAAATGTGCAAATAAAGCTATGTAAAATCTTTACTTAAAGGTAGGGTAAGCAATTTCGGAATGCCTAGCAATAGCAAGCTAGCTTTGAAAGCATGAGATCCCATCCTCCCTTCAGAGTGCTTTCCAAAGCCACGCCTCCTTCAAAACACATAAACGCACACAGAAGAGTTTGCAAAGCGTCACAAAACGAGAGACGGCGTTAAATTACCTCATGTCTCAAAGCACATAACTAATTGTAATTTGGACCCACTTGAACACTTGGGCCAGATACAGGGAATAAGTCATGTATGTAGGCAAGTGGTCAAGTGCAAAGCCCGCACGTGTGGGTATTGGGACAATTATTGAATGGATAATTCAGTGACTCACTCAAAAAGACTGGTGTAATGATGTTAACCTGCAGAAAGAATCACTGAAAAATCACCACCAATAATGCACAAATGGTCAGTCTGTCTAGAACAAACAGAAAAGCAGAGTTATGCAAACAAGATCAAATTTAGTACTGTAACCAGCTGCTACAGTATACAACTTAAATTAGTTTGCAATCTATATTTACATCTGTTTTAATTTACAAGTTAAGGTCATTTAGGTTTGTTTTATTTGAATAGGTTAGGTATATAAGTTCACCTACTATACTCTTCCACAGTACCGAGCAGATGTTGTGGTCCCCTGTCGTATGGTGGAGATGATCAGGGTTATTCGCCAACGAGACTTCCCAGCATTTGGTGAGCTGACCATGAAAGACAGTAATCAGTTTCATGCCACCTGCCTGGATAGCTACCCACCAATATTCTACCTGAACAACGTATCCCACCGAATCATCAGCCTTGTGCACCGCTACAACCAGTTCTATGGAGAGACCAGGGTAAGCACATTACAACTCAATATTCAGATATTTAAACTTAACCTTGCCAAACTTGCAAAGATCCAGTGATTATTTCATTCTTGAAAGAGCCCATGATGTCAACCTAGTACCATGTAAACACAACTTTTGATTCCAGGCGGATGATGAAACCAATGTTCCCTTTACTTTTGAAAGTTGAGTTAAATCAGCTAAACAGATCAACGCTCACTAGAAAGTATTTCTGTGTGCAATATGCATCAGAAAGTCAGTGAATGGACTGTGGACATGACATCCGAGGTTGAGTTTACCTAAGGAGTCTTGCAACCTCTAGTAAAGACATCAAATGACCAATATAGGCTTTATATAGGCCTACACGAAGTGAATGCCGGCAATCATTTTAGTCATTAATGAATGCACAAAACGTGCAAACTAATAAAAACATTATGAACTTTATGAAATGATACACAATTGTATTTTAAGTTCGCGCTGAAACTATATTTACCTTTTTTGAAATAATCCATTAAAGGTGAACTATGCAGGTTGTTTACCTCAACCAAACAGCTTCGGAGTCATTGGAATGGTTATATTACTCTTTTCAGGTTGAATGGTGGTCGTTTCGCACCCCCCGATCGCATGTGAGCGGAAAAAACACACTTGCAACTTTGAGCCGGCGGGCCGCCGGCCGCAGCATCAGGAAGTGTCGCGTGATATCAGGTCTCGCGATGTAACGAATTGCTTTACGGCAAAAAAGATCTGATAAAATTCTGATAAAATAAGCACCAAACAGAAATAACCCGGCGCCGTATACATGTGGTGTTCGAGGCGCACATACAATACAGACTGCCGACAGTTAAACAGGGCGCGCGCAGCTCTTAAAGGGGCCACACCTTATTTCAACTCGCTACAGCGGCCGTGAGTGCAGAGCCATCTCTGCGTGAGTGCTATTTACGACAGAACAAGTACTCCACAGCAACTCTAGGGGTCGCCGTTTGACAAATACGGAATTCCTACATATTGCACCTTTAAACCTGCTGAGAAACGAGGAGCGTGAACTAGAATGAGCAGTTTGACACGTGCATGCCCGGGAAACTCATGAATATTAATGTAGGCTCCGCCCACTGCCTCTACAGTTGCACAACTCACTTTTGCCCCACATTTCACGGTGCACTTTGGTGCAAAAGGGAGAGCGCGCGAAACTTGTCACTTGAAAGCGAAAAACAGAGCTTGAGATTCGTCGCAGCAGATTCAAGCAGCTGTAGTTATGCACTTGTGTTTGTGCTAGAAAAATATACAAGACGTTTGTGAGAAAATATTCTACAAGTGTGCAACTCTCATTGGATGAATTCACATACTGATTTGCGGATGAGCAAAATTTCTCTGTGACTTCACATGTTTTTATGCAGGTGTGTAAATGCGTTTTGCACCATATTCCCTGCAGCAACTGTAGCAAAAATGTGAGCGTACGAGTTTCTTAATTTGTGATTTGTAGAATAGGATTTGTGCACCTGCAATGGAGAATTTGAGAAGGTGTAACTGTTGTGTTGTGTTTGTGGAAGAGAAAAAAAAGTTTGCAACTCTTAAAACATTTCTCTCTGTGACTTCAAATTTACTTGTGGCTATTCTCTACAACTACAAATTCCACTGTCACAGGCATTCAGTTGTTTTGCACCAAAAATACCTTCATATGATCTGTCTTTTTTCATGTAACACTAATTTGCCCTGTTTAGTAAATCTGGCCCTATGTCTAATCCACGTCTCTTTCTCTAAATCTCAGCATACTCCTTTGTTTCGATGTAAGTGGATTGATGTATTTGCACCTTTTGTCTTGTTTCAGGTGGCATATACCTTTGATGCTGGTCCTAATGCTGTTATTTACACCTTGCAAGAGCACGTACCAGAGTTTGTACAGGTGGTTCGTCATTTCTTCCCCTCAGAAGCCAATGGGTCAGAGTAAGTTGCTAAAATCCTGCATGCTGTTAATATTGATACTTTGACATTAAAACATACACTGCAGCTCTTCACAAAACAAAGCACATCAAGTTATAACTCAAGGCAGTAACTTTAATTTGCAGCTTTGTCAGAGGTCTTTCTGTATGTTCAGCTGACCTCTCTGAGGAGCTGAAGAAAGACCTTAATATGGAGCCAACTCCAAAGGGCATACACTACATAATCAGCACTAAGGTAAGTGTCTGGAAACTGCATTAACTGTAAGGCACATTCATCTAGTATCTAATAGTTCTTTAAAAAATAAATAAAATACCTTGTTTGTCTCACTATATTTATGTAACCCTTATTGAATTCTGTGTCAGTGCAAAATGGTGTTGCATGCGTGACCTGATTTATCATAATTGCTGCATAACCTGTTTTAAGGCTGGTCCTGGACCATGTGTGGTGGAGGATGATCCAAACCATCATTTGTTGGGTGTTGACGGGCTCCCCAAGAAGAGTGCAGTTTCAGATTAACCTTAAAGATCCTTTTAGATCTAAAAAAAAAAAAGATTTTGCATAAATATATACTTTACTTTGTAAATATGTTTTAATATTAATTGTTGTCTAAAGAGTACATTTACTCTAAATAGTAAACTTTTGTCTTTGTTTCTATTTAGAAGCATCCATAAATACATGTATGTCTATGGTTTCACTTGGATATATGCCATGAAATGGGGGGGGGGGAGGAAATCAACTTTCATTTCATGCTGATGGGTGTGCTTTTCAATCGCAAGGCTGCATATCTCAGCTGCCAAGTCACCACAATTCTTTGCACACATTCGGATCTCGAAAAAGAATCAGCATAAAGGCCTCCTTTATCTGAGCCTATGCACCTAAATTTTTGTCCAAACAAAAAGCATTATTTGTGGGTTATTTTGGCAATATTGAATAAAATTAAAAAATGTATCACACTAGTGTGCTTTATTGTTTAGGAAGTTTGTTTTTTGAAATGCTTTTATCTTGTACAAAATGGTACAAAGTCACACCTGTGGTGTTCCCAGTCAAAAATGTCCAGCCTAGAAAATAGCATAGCTTATAATAAATATTCAATTGAATATTTATAAATTAAATGTTGTCAGTTTTCTTGATAAATAACAGTTTTTTCTGTTTATTTTTTTTTCCACAACATTTTCAAAATTATAACTTTTCTGGGAAGATAAAAAAAAAAAAAAAAAAAAAACTTTTTCAGAAGTAATAGTTTTTGCATTTTATTTGCTTTGCCACATATTTCAAAACCACATAACTGTGACCATAACCGTGACCTTTTCAGGTATACGGTTTAATCAGAATTACATTTTTAGATTATTTTTTCACAACTCGAAAATGTGCAAACTGAATAAAAATAAATAACTACCTCACACTGGAGGTCAACATGTTGAACATGCATGTAGTGCAATAACATTGCAAAATTCTACCTTTTCGGGTATACGGTTTAACCGGAAATACATTTTTTGTTTATTTTTTCACAACTTGAAAATGTGAAAACTGAATAAAAATAATTATGGTGTTTTGTACCATATGTTGCATACCTGTTTTAGTTACAGTTATGCAAAATATTTTCAAAATACATTTCATTAAAGGGTAAACCCTAAACCAACTTTTTTTTAGTTCATGATCGGTAACACTTTACTTGAAGGGGTGTGCATAAGACTGACATGACACCTTCATAACCATGACATGACATATGTCATGAATATGAAGTAGGGTTTATGCATGTTTATGACAACTGTCATTAAGTGTCTTTCGCTCAATGATGACATTTTGAATGCAAATATGACATTGTTTAAGATGTCTTTGTTATGACACCTTGACATAAACCATAACATCATAACCTGTCAGTGTCTTTGTCATGACAACTTGACATTAAATTAAGTTAAACTGGCATGTGGTTGGTTTTGACATTGGTTGTCATGAGGCCATTATAACTGTGTCATGAATATTTTTCTTGACCTCAACTACAGTGGTACACATTGAATTTGTCATTAAACAGTTATAATGGCTTCATGACAGCCAATGTCAAAACCAACCACCTGACAGTTTAATGTAATGTTAACCAATAAAGCTAAGTGGTTTCTTAAGTTTGATAATTAATCTGCTATGTCATGTTTATGACAGGTTGTGTTGTCTTAGTAATGTCAAGTTGTCATGACAAAGACACTGACAGGTTATGATGTATTTGTTTATGTCAAGTTGTCATAACAAAGACATTTCAAACAATGTCATATGTGCATTAAAAATGTCATAACTGAGCGAATGACACTTAATGACAGTTGTCATAAACATGCATACAACTTCCTTCATATGCATAACATGTGTCATGTCATGATTATGAAGGTGTCATGTTAGTCTTATGCACACCCCTTCAAGTAAAGTGTCACCAGTGTGTTAATTCTACAATATATGGTGTAAAAACGTCTGAGTGCTGCCCTCTTCAGGTTGAACTACTGCAGTAGAATGTTCCTATTGGAAGTTGTGGTGCCCTGTGACGTAAGCAGGCACAAGCTAACCACACCCTTGCCTACAGAGAGACCTGTCTCAATTTTTATTTCAGGCTCTTCGAAAAATTGGCTTTGGCGACTCCTTTTGCAGGATGGTCCAAATGCTTTACATAAACGGAAACAGCTCAATTAAGCTGAGTAATGGTACTTCACCTGGATTCTTTTTAAAACGAGGAGTTAGGCAAGGATGTCCAGTTTCCCCTTACCTATTCCTAATTGCAACACAATTCCTTAGCATACATATCAATGGTAGTTATTTAAAGGGTATCACAATGGTAACACCAAAATAAAAACCAATTAGCAGATGATACAGCTTTATTCTTGAATGATTCTTCACATGTTCCAGTGGCTTTGGGTATTCTTCAGTCCTTTTCTGAAGCCTCTGGATTAAATCTAAATATTAATACATGTGAATTGCTTCCCATTAAAAATTGCTCTCTTACCTCTATTGAGAATATTACTGTTAAAAATAGGGTAACATATTTAGGTATACAAATGACTAAAGATGAATGTAGGTGCTCAGCAAACTTCAAACCTATTATTACCAAGACTCAAAAAAGATGCAATTGCTGGTTACAAAGGGATCTGTCCTTAAAAGGCAGAACACTGCTCACTAAGGCAGAGGGTCTGTCCCGTTTGGCCTATGCAGCTCAGTCTCTTTTTGTGGATAAGCCCACTTCTAAATTAATGAATGAGGTTTTAATAAAATTCTTATGGAAAAATAAGCCTCATTATATGAGAAAATCAGTCACATTAAACTCTTATAATAATGGTGGTCTGAATTTTATTGATTTTGATTCCCTCAACAATACATTTCAAATGAATTGGCTGAATCAGTACCTACCAAACCATCTTCTATTTGGAATGTTTTTCCTCAACTTGTTTTTTCACAACTTGGTGGCATTCATTTTCTCTTAATGTGTAATTATGATATTTCCAAACTTCCTATCAAACTGTCCAACTTTCATCGTCAGGTTCTCTTAGCATGGGCTCTAATTTATAAACACAACTTTTCACCACAGAGATGTTATATTTGGAACAATAAGAACATCTTATTCAAGAATAAATCTCCATTTTTATGATAATTGGTTCAGTAATGGTTTATTTTTAGTGGAGCAGTTGTTTGATAAGCAAGGTTTTTTGTTCAGATATTCAGAATTTCTTTCCGAATACCAAATACCAATAACCCCAAAAGAATTTGCTACAGTAATGGGAGCTATTCCCTCTGGTTTATGTATGCTTTTTAAAAACTGTAATTACTCCTCCGCAGTATCTACTCCATCCTTTCCTAAACCTTGTGATACTTCTGTTGGTCAAATCTGTTTCTCTGAGTCGAAAGCTAAAAACTATAAAATAATAGGTTTATTTCTTAAGGATTTGATTTCTGTTCCACCTGTTATTTCCTTTTGGAATAATTTGTTTGTTAACCTTAATTGGAAAAAAATCTGGTCTTTACAGCAGAAATTCTTTCTCACAAATAAAGTGAAAGAAATGTCCTTCAAGCTCATACACAGGTTCTATTCAAAGATTTAAATCTGACATTGAGCTCACATGCTCTTTTTGTTTGAATTCTGAAGAAACAGTGGTTCACTTATTTTGGTCGTGTCATTACACTCAGAAGCTTTGGAATGATATTGATGTATTTATCAAGTGTAAAATTTGGCCAGGCTTTTCAATACATATGAGAAATATTATATTTGGGTATTTTGACCCGGACCCCACAAATGTAAATGTCTGCTTTATTGTTAATTTAATTATTTTCCTAAGCAAATTTTACATTCACAAATGCAAATTCTCAAACTGTAAACTTGTCTTCTTAAAAGAGATAGAACATTATTTAAATGTGATTTCAGTATCTACTAATATGAAAGCCATAAGGACTGTTAGAATCTGCACTGCCTTTGATCTCTTCATGTGAAAATGTTTTTATGTGATGTAATGGCCCTACCTTTCTTTTTCTTTTCTTTTTTTCGCTATTGTCTCCTTTATTGTTTTGGTTGATATTATGTGATGTAGGTATGCTTTCTCTTTTGTATGTTCCCGTTCTCAGCATTAATAATAAATAAATAATAATAAATAAATAAATAATATAATAGTGTTGATCTGGATCTGGTGAACCCATAACCAAGGGTCTAATCATTGTCTGTCTGTCTGTGTGTGTGTCTGTCTGTACGTCTGTCTGTCTGTTCATCGAATATCTCTCAAACCGTTAGTCCGATGGATTTCAAACTTGACAAGTGTCTTGCTACCGGCACGAATAAGTGCAGTGCCGAGTTTGACGTTGTTTGGATTAGAAATGATATAGTTAAATATATCGGTAAAAGAAGCACACATTGAAGTTGTGGTTTAAAAATAAACATTCTGTCAGCTAAACATTAAGTCAGCTACACTGTTTACTTCTGAATGTTGTAGTTATTCAGACGTAGTTAGTTGTAGTTATGTAGTTCAATTTTCCATATTTATTGTATGTCATTATGTCAGTATCAGTATTTGCTTTCAACCATGCACAAATAAAAATGTCACTGACCTTTATTGTGTACTGTAACTGTAATTGTAACAATAAGCACTCAAACACACCAAACCAACAATTACAAAAAACACACAAAAACTGATTTTGAACGGGCATATCTGTTATTCGCATATCTCTCAAACCGTTAGTCTGATGGATTTCAAACTTGACAGGTGTCTTGCTACGGGCACGATTAAGTGCAGTGTCGAGTTTGACGTTGTTTGGATTAGAAATGCAAAAGATATCATAAAATATATCGGTAAAAGAAGCATACATTTGGCTTTTGCCGCTCTAGCCACTGGCCACTCTGGCTCACACTCCACACTGAGTGGCCACTCCCCCTCTCACACTGCACACTGAGTGGCCACTCCCCCTCCACACTGCACACTGAGTGGCCACTCCCCCTCTCACACTGCACACTGAGTGGCCACTCCCCCACTCACACTGCACCCTGAGTGGCCACTCCCCTTCTCACACTGCACACTGAGTGGCCACTCCCCCTCCACACTGCACACTGAGTGGCCACTCCCCCTCTCACACTCCACACTGAGTGGCCACTCCCCCTCTCACACTGCACCCTGAGTGGCCACTCCCCTTCTCACACTGCACACTGAGTGGCCACTCCCCCTCTCACACTGCACCCTGAGTGGCCACTCCCCCTCTCACACTGCACCCTGAGTGGCCACTCCCCCTCTCACACTGCACCCTGAGTGGCCACTCCCCCTCCACACTGCACACTGAGTGGCCACTCCCCCTCTCTCACTGCACCCTGAGTGGCCACTCCCCTTCTCACACTGCACCCTGAGTGGCCACTCCCCCTCCACACTGCACACTGAGTGGCCACTCCCCCTCTCTCACTGCACCCTGAGTGGCCACTCCCCTTCTCACACTACACACTGAGTGGCCGAGTTCACTGTGTAGCTCCAGCCAAGGTCTGAACCTCCCCTTATTCATTTGTGGATGTTAACTGAATCTGTAAGTCAGCTACACGGTTTAATTCTGAATATTAAATTTTATTCTGGTGCGCTTAACGTTATCGTTTTCTCAGAGTTTAGGCTCCTGTGTAATAGTAGCCTAGGCTATTCAGCAACTCAAACAGACCAAACCAACAATTACTAAAAATACACAAAAACAGATTTTGCACGGGCATTGCACTAGTGGTTTATAATAACTGATCTAATGTAGGTTCATTTTTTTTTTTTTCTTAAAGGGGTCATATAATGCCATTTCTGTACAAGCTAGTATGATTCTTTAGGGTCTAAATTAAAAGTTTGTAATATACTTTAATTAAAAATTCTCATTAGTATTGTAAGAAAACACTTATTTTACTTGGTCAAAAACAGCTCTGTTTTCAGCACGCCGTTTCAGTGCATATGACTTTAAATGATCATGAGCTTTGCTCACCCCGCCTCTCTGTTCTGTGCGTACACCGTTTGTAACACAATAACCATAATGCGTTGTTCAGTATAAACGTGGGATTATTAATTATATTGAGAACATCATACATAGAAAACATGCCGTAATGTACCCTGAGTGTAAACCTTAGACGCATTCATTGTGAAGCGTGGAGCTAGCGATTTGCAAAGATTAATATAAATATTAATATAAAGTTTAATAAAACGTTACACTCACTTCAGTTGTTCTAGAGGTTCAGCAGGAACAGGAATAGCTGGTACCGATCCTTTTTTCATGAGCAGCTTCTTAGCAAATCCAGCTTTATACTGACCCTCGTTTATAAAGCAGTCTGCTGAGAAATGATTCGCGCAAACATGAAAGCATTGACGTTGCTCGTGGGGAATATTCCCTTCGAAAACAAACTCAGCCACTGCGTCTTCAGCGGTTCGGATTTAGGATCATTAAAATGACTGCTGTGTTCGTTATTACACCCAAGAACAGAACACCACAATCGCTCAGACGCCATTCTGCTCATAGACAGTGCTCCAGCATATCAACAATGACCGCGCCGCGCAGACTATGATTGACAGCTCCCTCATGAGCGAGGGCGGGTCTGTGTTGAAACGCTGCTGTCAATCAACAATCGTGGGAGGGGCTTCCGAGCGTGTGACGTCACACGGTCGAACGGCTCGATTTGAGGCAGGGGAAAACATATAAGGAGATTAAAACAAAAACACTGGATGGATTTTTATCATTTTATGATGGTTGTGTACAGACACTGCCAACACACATTTCAGTACAATCAACTTGTAAAAGTGCATGTACCATTATATGACCCCTTTAATAGGCTGCTTCCACCACCTTTAATTATTTTAGCCAGTAGCCTATGGTCTGGCACCAGTAGTAGACAACACACCACTACTACAACTTCAATCAAAATATGCAGTTTTATTAACAGAGGGGACAACAAGGACAGGCTAAACACAATCTGGAAAGCCGTAGAACTACACATAGCACTATGTGAATTCACTCATTTCATGGTGACAAACCCCAGAATCAATTACATATAGTGGCACTTTAAACTTTTTAAAACCTCAACCTCATGCATGTGCAACATGGTTGGTAGGCCTACCTACTATGGCTGTTCCCTAAACCCTCCCAGTTTCAGTTCCTCCCAGCCTTACTATGCACCCTCTATTATAGGCTAAGTACAACTTTATTTAACATATCAGTTTAAATTAAAAACTGAAACAATCTTTTAAAAAAACCACTTAACTCGCCCACGGCAATGTTGCAAAAAAATAGTGAATCATTTTGCGCAGCAATTGGTTCAATTTCGAAAAGCTTCGTTCCTCCCATTTCATCATCACTACTAAAAACATGTAGGCTACTGATATAAACTCAAACCGGAGTTCCAAACGGAGTGGATATTTTAACAGTTTAATTATCAAGTCTGCTTTCCTTACAGAGTTCTGCTTTTCCCTGGTTACTAACCTGCTAGTACTGTGGAAGTGCAGATGTGGCATTGTGGTTATGGGTCACTTCTGGTAACCAGAAAGTTGCTGGTTTGATCCCTGTAAGAAGCATCACCATTGTGCCCTTAATCAAGGCACATAACTTGATGTTCTTCCAAAAGGTATTTTCCTGTGTTTATGTCCATGGTTCCATTCTGAGGCAACATCACAAGAAAGTAACAATACATATAACATTTTGTACACAATAAAAGGAACTTCATATAAGACAACGTTTAGAAGTTTGAATACTTTTATTTGACAGGTTTCATATACTGTACTCACTGTGAGCATTCAGATTAAACATTTACATCACTATATGAAATACTGGAAAATGTCATCCTCTCATATTTACCGTCTGAATGAATTAAAATAAATGTTTACTGCGGGTTCTGAAATGATACATCTCTTTTTTAGTCTCACAGCAGTAAAAATATAATAAAGCAAATTGCCCACTTGTGATGGCCAATCTTCACAAATGTACATCATTTTATTTCAGAAAAAAAACATGAATGTGGAAATATTGTTAAATCTTTCCCTATTGTTAAATGTACAATCAATTTAATGTATGTCTTTCATCAAGAGGATGAAATGAATAAATCCACTTACAGACACATAATGAAATGTAACACGAATAGAAGAAAATGTATTCTCAGGGCTACCAATGAGAGACTGAAAGGCTAAATGGTCATAGTGGTTATGTTTCAACCAATCTCTCTGAGAGACTGGGTAACTCAAAATTACTCTATTTATCACCTCCAATGCACACAGTAAATTAGATATTTTAAAATTAAAAATGACATTATGAGTATAAAACATATTATACACATTTTTGGTGCGAATTATTGAGGATGAAAACTTATACCTTAAGGTATTAATCATCCTCATCATTTATGTTTGAGGAATTTCGGAATGTTCTCATCAATAAAATAATAGAAGAATCATTGAGCACACTAGGGAACTAGATGAATTTAGATCAGCTGCATGCGATCTAGTAAAAGAAGAACATATTTTTTTAACTTCAGTGCAATTCATGTAAGATATTTATGGGGTTAGACCAATCATTTCAAGTGACAACCATGAGGCACAATCTTACTTGGTTATGTAGATTGCAAAGTGCTGGTTTGTCCGTTATTGCCGAATGGTGAACAAGAAGATCTGGTTAACATTATTGTCAAGAAAGCACCAATATAGACTACTGAAGCCAAAACATATCATCCATACAATGCAGTAGAACCGGTTAATGAAAAGACTGCATCGTTTTTATCGTTGCATGGCTTCATCTGAAAAATAAAGGGTGTATTATTCCGTGCCATCCACTGGGAGTCTGGGATGCACTCTCTGAGGTAGCCGTGAATATGACTAAAAACTTAAGGAAAAGGCTTTAACACAAAAATACAACATCATATTTTCAACATAGCACCACTGTTGATAATAAACAGATAAAGAGTACAAATCTCTTCCTCCACTTCTTTTCATTCCAACCCCGATATTCTCCAAATTGACCAAGGCCACACCTCAGCCCTTCATATTACCACTGTCAAGGGCATGAAATCAAATCAGTCAGTTGACGTTTGTTTCCTTTATCTTCTTCTACTCATCTCATCTCTTCTGCCATTCTTTTAGTTAAAGTCTCCTGCCATGCATCTACACAAGCTACAAGATCTTCATGCAGACTTGACAGCGACTGATGCGTGAGCGGTACAGATCTCCCTTCAGCGTCTCCTGGGCAGGACCCTGGACGAACTGTTCGCCCCGCTCTACCGTGGTCAACCAGAAACTGTACTTGTTGACAAAGTAGTGGCAGGTTCCGCTGGCACCATTGCACTCGATGAAGGGAGTGGCGCGGAAATCCTCAAGACAAGAACCGGGAGACACCAATGACTGACCGCCTCCTCCTGCACCTGCGGCTGTGTGCTGAAGGACAGACACAAAAATGATTAAGTTATATGTAGGTAGTTTGACATTGTAAAAAACGTTGTTCATTGAGGAGGATCTTTGAGTAAGACCTTGATCAAAAATAATTGAGATAAATATTCACTACTGTTCAAACGTTTTGAGTTTTTTTTGTTGAGTCTTTTAAGTCCGAAATTTTCATATGCGTTTTTTCGTATCCGTCATTCGGTGGCTCTGAATTGTCAAAACACCTCTCAAAACGCTTGCTACAGATGCGAAAAACGCAGAAAATTTAACCCGATCCGAATTTTTGTATGATGGACGAAAGTTTCGGAGGCAGTGCTTATGTAAACGTGATTGACACAACGTGAGGTCATATTTATTTTTTAACATGCGAAAATTTCGGACTCAGTGTGCAAGGACCTTTATGCTCACCAAGGCTGCATTTATTTGATAAAATATAAAGTAAAAACAATAATATTATAAAATATTAATAATAACATTTTAAATAACTAATGTATACATTTGAATATATTTTAAAATGTAATTTATTCCTGTGATCCTTCAGAAATCATTCTAAAATGCTGATTTGATGCTCAAGAAACTATTTATTATTATCAATATTGAAAAAAGGGTTTTTTCATATTAAACTGTTATTCCCTTTAAGGGTTAGTTCACCCAAAAATGAAAATTATGTCATTAATGACTCACCCTCATGTCGTTCCAAGACCGTAAGACCTCCGTTCATCTTCGGAACACAGTTTAAGATATTTTAGATTTAGTCCGAGATCTTTCTGTCCCTCCATTGAAAATGTGTGTACGGTATACTGTTCTTGTCCAGAAAGGAAATAGAGACATCATCAAAGTAGTCCATGTGACATCAGTGGGTTAGTTAGAATGTTTTGAAGCATCGAAAATACATTTTGGTCCAAAAATTACAAAAACTACGACTTTATTCAGCATTGTATTGTCTTCCGGTTCTGTTGTCAATCCGCGTTGAGTGACGCTGCTGACGTGTAAAGGCCAATTTATACTTCTGCGTCGAGTGTACGCCGTAGTGTACGACGTAGGCTACGCACGTAGGCGACGGCGTGATGAGCATTTATACTTCTGCGTTTAGGTCTGCGTTGCTGTGCAGTACAGCGCCGAAACGCTAGTTGGCGGCGGAGGGTTTTAATGTTCCACTGTGTTTAGATTCCTCGCGGCAAGAAGAAGAAGATTCCTCGCGGCTGTTTTGAGTTTAGGTTACTACAAGCAATGGCGACTGAAAGAGAGCAGATCATGTTGGAGTTGGAGCTTATCGAGGTGGAAAAGGTAAATTTTTAGTTTTTTTTTAACAGTTTCGCTGTACTTAGAATTTAAAAATGGCGGGCGGTGCAGAAGAACACGCCGGAAATGCATAGGAGGAAACGCGATGCTACCAAGCCGACCAATCACAGATCTTGCGGTCCGCGTCGTCGCGACGTGTAGTTACATTTTTGAGGAGGTGCGCGTCAGGTTACGGCGAAGGGTACGGCGTATGGTACGCGTCTGTGCGTATGCTACGCCGTACCTACTGCGCGCACCCGACGCAGAAGTATAAATTGGCCTTAAAGCCTTGTTTATACTCGACGCGTCCGCAAGAGCGCGAAGTGCGCGCGGCAAAAATGACGTCATTGCGGTGTGGGCGGTCGTGCGCGTTGGGTGCGCAAGACCCCATTTCGCCTGGCGGTGTGCACGGCACTTTTTGTAACATCGCGCGCGGCGCCGCATCCGAAGATGAACGACTTCGAGCCGAATCTGGCCGAACTGGTGCGTCTGTATCAGCATGTTTATGATCCTTCTATACACAGAGACATTTGCATTGATGGGCGACCATAAAAGCCTCTCATTTTTTGAATAGGAACACATTTACATTAAGCACCCAGTTTGCACTCTAAAGTAACTGCTTATATTTACAAAATAAGCCTACAATAGCAGAAGTAAGCCCTGCTGATGAAATTAAGGTTTAAACACTCTTCAATAAGGCTTCAGTTGTTTACTAGTTTACATGCAGTGAAAGTACAATAAACCTACTGCATTTATTACTCTTTTTATATGAATCAGAAATTAATAAACTACTAATAAATGGCAAACTACTTCTTCACTGCTGATTCCTGGTGGTTTAGAGGAGAATTACTCCGAGTCGCCCCCTGTCGTTTCACAGAATAGCACAACGGCGAGCGCGTCAAGTATAAACGCCTCGTCCATATGGAGAGGTCCGCGCGCAGTCAGCGGAGACTCGCGCTCGTGCGGACGCGTCGAGTATAAACAAGGCTTTATCTGGTGCGAAAGAGCTTCGTTCACAGTCTGGGGGAGACGTAGCCTGGTTCTACCAGACTCTCGTACATTTCATTTGTACAGAGAGTCTGGCCTCGCTCCATTGAGAAACGTTTACTTCCTTGTAGGCGGGTTCTCTGTTAAAGTTCAAAACTATTGGATCTGCCCAGAGTCACTCAGGATCTGCCATAGCCAATCACTAACGTGTGGTCGTGACGTATGTCATGCGCCGAAACCGGCTGGAAACAAGTCCGAATTCCATATTCATAAATCTAAATATCTAAATGCTAAACCTCTCTTTCTTATATTTGTGAAAGAATTGTAAAAATACCTCTTTTCAATTAAGTTGTCTGAGAACAAAAAAAGCCTTAAAAACATTATCTGTTTGTAATTATTTTCCTTTTTTCAGTGTCATGTAATTCTCTTAAAGGTATTGTAGGTAGAAATTTTATAAAAAAACTTTTTTTCCAAATTTGTTTAAACTTTCTATATATATCAATGCATAATTAAAATGTAAGTACTCTGATAAAAAGAGTATAAAAATCGAATGTCTGTAGACCTCTCACGACTGTTTTAAAGACAGCTCATTATTTCCATTCACTCTATGAGAAATTTTATAAAAAACTTTTTTCCAAATTTGTTTAAACTTTCTATATATATCAATGCATAATTAAAATGTAAGTACTCTGATAAAAAGAGTATAAAAATCGAATGTCTGTAGACCTCTCACGACTGTTTTAAAGACAGCTCATTATTTCCATTCACTCTATGAGAAATTTTATAAAAAACTTCTTTCCAAATTTGTTTAAACTTTCTATATATATCAATGCATAATTAAAATGTAAGTACTCTGATAAAAAGAGTATAAAAATCGAGTGACTCTAGACCAGGGGTCTCCAACCTTTTTTCATTTGAGAGCTACTTTTTAAAAATGAAAGTGGCCGAGAGCTACTCATGTAATACAATACTTAAATCTAATTACTCATATTAACAGCTATCCAAACTGTTTTAGACCTAAAAGGCCTAAAAATGTCACCCTTAAATGTCAGAGAAAAGAACAGAATCAGAGATTAATTTTTTTATAGAAAATTGTACTTTGCATATTATTATATTATATTATTATACTGTAATAGTTGATTTTATAGTGCATCATAACTAGAGATGAAATGGCATGAAAATGTCATTTCATACGACTAAATAAAATCAATTCACCAAGTTATATGTCGAAAACCAGCAAATAACAAAAAATAGCATCAATATGCACTTTTTGTTTAAATAAACATTAAAATAATAACATTAAAAATGATGGCCAGATTTTAAAGGAGTGTCTTGCAACATGTTATCTACTAACATGTACAAGTTCAAATAAAGTTTTGACAAATAAGGTTTTATAAAAAGATAAACCTCACGTATTTCAGCCTTTAAATCATTTTAATAAAAAGAATGAGTCAAAAAAGATAAATTACGGACACTTACAATGCACATTGGCTTATCTTTTATAAAATTCGGTCCGATTTTCCCGTGCCGTCTGTCGTTGCTATGCAACCATATGCTCTCCACAACAACAAAGAAGTTTTAGTAGCTAATGGATTTCCTCTACCGAAAACGCTTGCTGTAGCTCTGCTACAAGATTTATTTACGGAGAAGAGAAAAACAGCCGTAGTGTTTGGGTGCACCCCCATCCTTCATGTTGACTGAGCTTTCAATGTTGTTACGGAAAGGGTGAAGCTGATGGTTGGTTCTTGTCACATGACCTGCGGTGCGCTCGCTGCATTCTGAAAAGTTGAGGCGTTTTCATCTCGCTGCGCCTGGGAAAAATGAGCACGTTGCTTCAATTATGAGCGCGCTTGCCCAAGCGCCTACATTTGAAATAACGAATTTGACCGGGCAAAAGACACGTTATGTGAACGGCCCCTTGGAGAGCTACCTCCAATCAGGCCACGAGCTACTGGTAGCTCGCGAGCGACGTGTTGGAGACCCCTGCTCTAGACCGTTTAATCTGCACTAAACACAGCTCATTATTTCCTTCCGGGACGAAACAAAGGATTTGCTTAGGCGACTGTCACTCTCTCGCAACCATGGCAACCACCCTTTTGCTACACAGGACCTGCCCACTTGCGCGTACCCGCTTGATTTGAGGAATTCAAGAGGCACGGAACCTAGGAATAGCAAAACAATGGCAGAGAAAGACCAATCAAAATTCACATATGCAGTTCGCGAAGGCAAACCAGCCAAAAAAGGAAGACAGTAACGTTACTAGAAAAGGTAATGAACAAAAAGTCTTTGGATAAACAACGAGCTGACGATGCGGTAGGCTAACTTACTTGTCTCTGGAGAGTGATTATCAGATAGTCCTCATCGGAGTCAACAATGCTTTCATTATGGAAACTCTTACATGCAGAACACCATATATGTTATGAATGTTACACGAAATTCATCTTCATCACAGTGTAAATGATGGCAATGGAAAAACGTGTATCATGCAACCTGTTTTTAGCTTTGCCTTATAGATAACTAACTCGTTAGCGAATCAATAAATATATTGTAACGTGTTCAAAATGCTGTTCTGTTACTGTAACGTATGGACAGAGGCGGTCGGATCCAAGTGCAGCACTTTATTATAACTTGAACATAAACGAGGCACACAAATAAACAAGGGCAATCCCATAACTCGTGGTGTAAACAGGCATAGGTCGAGGCAGGCCGCACAGGTTCGCAAACAGTCCAGGATACAGGCAGAGGTCGAGAGTCCAGGGAAACACGGAGAAACAGAACAGGGAATAACGCTCAGAAATGCACGCTTACAGTGTAACAAGACTTCGCAAAGGACACAGGCAAAACTCAGGCTTAAATCAGGAACTCAATAACCAATAATGAAACACAGCTGAACATAATCAAACATAATGAGTCCATGAGGAAAACATAACACAATGAGAGAGTGCCCTCCAGTGGCTCTTGAGGGCACTACAGCTGCCGATCGTCACAGTTACAAAATAAGGATGCATTTAATATAATGTTTTACTTTATTCGTTTTATGTGATTCGATTGATTCGTTGTCAAGTTGAATATGGAAAGAGGCTCCACCCCTTGTGAGAGTGATGGGGAAATCTGGGGAGGAGGAGGGGAGAAGAGCGAGTCGCTGGTTCAAGTGCGGTTCTCTTATAAGTCGGGTGTGTATGGCGTGGGGTGTGGCCGACAACAGCCTCTAATAAACACCCTTTGTTATCAAAACCGTCTCGTCCTTGCCTGAGAACGTTACAATATATTTTAAACTTTACCGATATCAATATGCTAGCTTGATAGTGAGTACAAAAATACATCTTATTTGTTTATCTTCATAATGATAAAGTTAGATTTTTTTTCTATTATTTACATGTGATTCTGACATGATGTCACTACATGCACTGCGCTCCTTCCTCTCCGCTCGTCTCAGGTAAATAATGTAAATAATGCGTCTTCAGCTCAGCGGTCGGAGTCGCGAGTTCATGTGTTTTTGGGGCGTGACTTTGGAAGGAGCCCAGAAGGGAGGGGGTGGAGTGAATGGAAATAATGAGCTGTCTTTAAAACAGTCGTGAGAGGTCTACAGACATTCGATTTTTAAACTCTTTTTATCAGAGTACTTACATTTTAATTATGCATTGATATATATAGAAAGTTTAAACAAATTTGGAAAAAAGGTTTTTATAAAATTTCTACCTACAATACCTTTAACTTGTTAATGTTTATTTTATATTATCCCCCTATTGTTTTATTTTTGTTTTGTTTTTTTATTATTTTTTGTATTATGTTTTCTGTTATTACTTGTGTTTTGTTTTAAGCAATAAAAAAAAACAAGTCCGAATGATCAGAGGATTATGTTTAGAATAAGATGTCTGTCAACGAGAGCTGCATGTTTTGTTCATCGAATTTAAGAGTTCAAGGAACAATTCTAAATTCTAAATGTATATTTGACACTAAGAACAGTGATGTATTCAGTCAACTGTCGAAGCTGGGTGTAATCATTAACAATACGCCGCTGCGGTCGTTTCGGATCTGCCGCAAATGCTGTACAGTGATCATCGTGCACGCCGAGCTGCCCAGCACGAACTCCTTACCTTTCTGCCTCCCTAACTTGGTCCTCCATTAGTGCAACAAGAAGAGACGACAACAACTATAGGCTTTGCATCCCTATCGTTCGCCTTAGCTAACTCATTCACCACTAGCGGAGTGAGCTGGAAAATTAAACTTTTCCCGAACCCCGTGGGGAGGAGGGCCACAACATCATGGCCACCAACAACACTTAGCAAACATTGATCTTGCTCCGGCTTTAACTTCTGTATATTCGGAAGTTTTGCAACAACGGACCGAATAGATTTTCTCACGTCTTTCTCCGCTGCCGTTACTGAACTCCAACTCAAACTGACGCGCTACATCAACGTCATCGTTCTCAGCCACTCCCTCTATTCGCTGATTGGTCCTACAAAAAATTGATTTCTGGAAACCTAAGAATACACAGCAGTCCCAGACGTAGTACTGAAGGAAAATGAAATTGAGCGGAAGTGCGTAGGAGGGCGGAGCCAGGCTAGGGGAGACACACACTGTAAACAAAACAATCTTCGCAAACATGTCTAAGGATTTCGACACAGAGGAAGACTTGCATTTTTTTGCCCAGCCATATTTATTTGAACCCGAATACACGGACGCACCAGATACACGTCAGCAGCGTCTTACGTCAGCAGCGTCACTGCGGACTCGTGAAGGCGGATTGACAACAGAACCGGAAGACAATACAATGCTGAATAAAGTCATAGTTTTTGTAATTTTTGGACCAAAATGTATTTTCGATGCTTCAAAACATTCTAACCAACCCACTGATGTCACATGGACTGCTTTGATGATGTCACTATTTCCTTTCTGGACAAGGACAGTATACCGTACATACATTTTCAATGGAGGGACAGAAATCTCTTGGACTAAATCTAAAATATCTTAAACTGTGTTCCGAAGATGAACGGAGGTCTTACGGTCTTGGAACGACATGAGGGTGAGTCATTAATGACATAATTTTCATTTTTGGGTGAACTAACCCTTTAACTAAGACGAGTTGATACATACCTCTCTCGTCTCAGTGCGTTCACTAAATCGCTCTGTCTTGCGGCGAAACTTTGTTAGCACTTAGCTTAGCCCAGTTCATTCATTAGGATCCAAGCAGAGAAGCGACCAAACACCTCCACGTTTTCCCTATTTAAATACAGTTACACAAGTAGTGTAACTCGACCAAGAATGGTGACACAAAATAAAACGCTGCGCTTTTCGAAGCGTGTAAAGTGGATAACTATAATGTATGGCGGAATACCATAGCAAGTGCTTGGGAGCACTTCGACTGCGCTGCGCAGCCTTAAAGCAAGAACCACAAGACTAACGTGCAGCTTCTTTCCAGAGGCTGTGAGGCTTATGAACTCCTTGGTTTAGAGCTCCTCCTGCCCTCTGTTCGCTCATTGCTGCTACTGCACAAGGCACTTTAATGATGTCTATGGGTTAATTGTGGTTTTATGGTTTTTGATTTGTTTATTATGGTTAAGACTATTTAAATGTTTTATATAGGTTTATGTTTTATATGTTTTATATAGGGTCTATCTTAGAATTGTAATTGTTATTTATTCTGTATTTACGCTGCTGGACCTGGGAAACGAATTTCGTTCCTTCATGTTTAACATGTTTGAATGAGAACTGAACTGAACTGAACTGAATTGTACACAAGCACATTTAATAAAGTCATATTTTTGGATAGACGATCACTAGTGTTTATCACAACATTAAGGAAAATTTCGTCATTCCAAATTTATGAACATTTAAAAATAAAGTATTACATTTATTTACAGTAAACAGCTTATATGAAAACATTATTAAGTGTAACATGTATTAACTGTCAACATGTCTTATTTTGTTGACTGTAAAGTGTTTAAACACTATCTCACACATATATGTGTATTAGGGATGCACGATATAGGATTTTGGCCGATATTCGATATGGCGATATTTTCAAACAAATTTTGCCCGATGCCGATACCGATATCGATATATTTGTATTTTTTTTTAAGTGCAAAAAAAGCTTATTAAAGCTTCTATTAATGTTCTCAGTCAAGAGCAGTGAGTGATTTCCTCTGTGTTTTGTTGTTTCATTAACATTAACGGGATAGTTCTCCCAAAAATTTAAATTGTCATCATTTACTCTCTCAAGTTTCTTTCTTCTGTTGAAATTATAAAAGTTATTTGGAAGAATGTGGCTAACCAAACAGTTGCTGTACTCCAGTGACTTCCATGGTATATTTAAGCACAAGAAAGAAATGAATCCAGGTTTGAAACAACATTAGATAGACCGAATTTTTATTTCTGGGTGCAGTATCTCTTTAAAGACAAGCGGCAGAATATTATTACTGTCTCTTTAAGAACTGCACGCGAGTAACGCGACGCGTCTAATATACACGCATTTGACAAGCAGATTTTCTCTGTTTGCTTTCACTTTAGACATAACCAACTTTGTTTATGTAAACCTTGTGTGTATTTGACAGTATCAGCGCAATAAGACTCGAAAGATTAGTCCAGTATGCAGGCGCTGTGACAGGCTTTTAGTTCCTGTGAGCGTTGCGTGTACGCGCTCAGAAAAGCGGATGTTAGAACAGCGCATCAGCACGTGAATGACATGTTTAACTAGCAAGACTTTGACGCACATGCAAACAATGAACTTTTGTGAATTGCAGTGTCCCGTGAGTGTAACTCTACCTCTGCGTTTACATGTGATGTGAATGTACGTCGCGTTGTACAGTATGTTGAGATGAAGGCGCCAGAATTGAACTGATAGAATGCACAATACTATGATTTTTCTTCAAAAGCAGATCGTGGAGACATTTTAATCGTCCACCATCAAAAACCGTGAGACGCACGGCACACCCCTAGTTGGAAGTTTAAGTTGCTGGCGCTCATGCTTCGTTCACGGTCGTCACGTGCGCATAGGAAACACGCCACCCTATCGGCAAGACTCATCGGCAGAAATATTCATATCGGCCGATGCCGATGATGGTCATTTTAAGCTTTTATCGGACGATACCGATGTTGTCCCGATATCATCGTGCATCCCTAATGTGTATGTGTACTACACTGTAAGTTCTGTTTATTTGAATATGCAGTGATGTGTGATTGTGCATGTGGGCTGAGGTATAACTGAATTTTACCATAAGGAAGGAGTAACCAATCCACAGACTTCTCCAGCCCTGAGGGCAGGTCGGTATGCTGAGATCTTGGCTGTGGACAGCGATTGCTTGAGATGGAGCCTCACACACTGAGCAGCGGCTAATGTACTGAGATATCTGCTGATCTGCCACAGGCATCATGGGAATGGGCGCAGAGGTGGACAGCCAATAGGATTTGTCATTCCGGCTAGCGTAGTGGCAGATTTCATTGACTGTGCAGTACAGGAAGGGGATGGTGCTGAAATGTGGCAGACATGAGCCGGGCAATCCTGTGAGGAAGAGAAAATTTGAATTCAATGATCTTTCAGAGCGTCAGGCAAATCAACTCATCAGTTCATACATGTAAAATTGTCTATATTACACAGTGCACAATAAACTTATCTACAACAATATAATTCCAAACATTCTATTCCAAAACAGAATTTTCAAAATGGTATGATCCTTTTAAACAATTGAAAGCCCTTATAATAGCAACCCTAGTGTCTCACCCAGGTCCTGGTTGTGTGCTTTCTCCTGCCCCTCCACATACAGCAAACTGTATCCCTCCCATAGCTTGGTCATGCCTTGAGGACACATGGGCATCTGGATGGATTGACTGTGTTTCACCAAAGTATAACCAATACCACTACTGCGCACCAGTGGAGCAGGAAGACCTGGCAACCCTGGCTTGCCAGGGGGTCCTGTGGAGTGAGCGAATTTGGCAGACAATTACAGAAGGGAGGAGAAGAAATGTGTGAACGCTATAGTGAAATCTACTGTTGCCCTACACACTTGAAACTGTCGTTAATGAAATTTATACCTTAAAAATATGCAGAAATTTATACCTTAAAAATATGCAGTTACTGAAATGTCTACCTGAACTGACCGTTAAAACTTTTTTTTTCTTTTTTTCTATGATTGAGTCATTAAATAACATGACTTGATTGGAATAAAACAAATTATTATAGATTTGACCACATAAAGAACATTTTAGGTTACCTGACAAAAAGTATTTTTCAGTGCAGAGTAAACAGGCAAAAGAAATACACTGGATCAGTGGTTCTCATCTGGTTTTGCACCAGAATCCAAATTTTACACACAAGGCCAAAATTGTCTATTGCACAAAACTGTTTATTGCTAAGAAATATCTAAATATAAATGCAGTACACTACCGTTCAAAGGATTAGGCTCTGTAAGATTTTTTCATATTTTTGAAATAAGTCTCTTATAGGTCTCCAAGGCTGCATTTATTTGATAAAAAATACAGTAAAAACAAATATTATTAAATATTATTACAATTTAAAATATGTTTTATATTTTAATATATTATAAAATGTAATGTATTCCTGTGATGGCGAAGCTGAATTCTCAGCATCATTTCTCCAGTCTTCAGTGTCACATGATTCTTCAGAAATCATTTTTTGCTGCTCAAGAAACATTTACTATTTTTATCAATGTTGAAAATAGTTGTGTTGCTTAATATTTTTTCTGGAAACCATCATGGATTATTTTCAGGATTTTTTGATTAATAGAATGTTCAAATAAAATAATTTATTTTAAATAATATATAAATAATTTATTATTTATTTTAAATTTATTTAAAATGGAAAACTTTTGTAACATTGTAAATGTCTTTAGGGATGTAAATTTTCACAAATTCCCATGATCGATCGGCGTTTAAATTAACGATCAATTAATCGATTAATCGTTAGCCTTAATACTGCAATATGCGTCTGCTGCAGTGCATATGGCCAACAGCATGACAGCGTCTGCAAATGCTGCTCAAACCGCTATGTTCCTCACCAAATTAATGAGAATGGTTTTAATCTAAATAAAGGGCTAGTAGGATTGTAAAATGTTTCGATGTGATTGATAATTAAATTACAGGGCTCGAATTTCGGCGCGGGATTGCGGTATTGCGCATAATTCTAATAATTCCCACAGGTCTCCCATTTATAATGCAGGAAATTCCCGCAATCGTAATCCACACAGATTATAAAATCAAATAATTCTTTTAACAACTATCTGCCAGGCGCAATTTCACAAACAGCGTGGGTGTTCAGCGGTGCCGCGTCTTCTATCTCTTCTCTCAAAATGTGTTGTGCAAGGCAAGCATCCAACGCTGCGGCGACACACTCGCGTTTAGGAGTCGGGACATGACGGAATATTCACTTGCACAATCGGGCCAGCAGTGCATCGTGACTGAAGTTTACCATTTGCACGTCTTTTTAAGTCTTACCAGTTTAAACATTCAAGCGATTTTAAACTAATCAGTGCTTGTGCGCTCTCTGAGATGATTTTCTATGCGCACATTCATAGAGAATCCGCCTCAAAAACAGCTGGCCAGTAACAAAAGTTATTTTTCGCGGATTATATTGCTTTAACACGCAAAATTGTGTCAATTTCGGTCTTCGTGAGTATACTCTAAACATTGTCGGTTTTGTCTTTTAATAAGCATAAAACGCATGCCATAATGAAGACAGGATCCGTGCACTAGCTCATTAATTTAGTTGTCAAAACAACAAAATATAGCTTTAAGTTAAAGGAATCAGGATTAATAGCCTATATTTAATTTATTCAGGACTAAAATACTACCCAGTGTTATTTTCCATTTGATTACTTTATTCAGTTTCTGTAGGCCTATATGAAGTTAGACCCATTGAAAAACTTTTCTCTTTATTTGTATCTTTATTCTATTGTATTTATTTGTGCTACTTTTTTCAATTTAATTAAACAATTTAAATCAAACTTCCTTGTGTTGTGTAAACTCTTAACAACAATATTACCCCATTGTAAAAATGCAATGAGTGCAAACATTTCGGCAAGATAAATGTAATTTTTGTTTGGAAAAAATGCCCCCCGCCCTTCTCCCCCTCAAACCCCCCCCCCCCCCCCCCCATGAGAATCATCTAAGGGGGGATTTCCCCCCCATTTTCCAAAACGAAATTCAGGCCCTGAATTAAATTAAATATTTAATAATCAAATATAACGACTAATACAACGTGTCACCAACGCCGCCTCAGATGCGCTTGTTAGAATGTGTGACTTGTGGACGCGTGCTCTTCCTGGAACAACGCACTTAAAACGGCAACTAAACCCAATGAATTCACACCGATTTAATAAAATAGTGTTCTCATGTTATGTAATATGACAGTCCCAAATTAATCCTCGTTATTAGTCGTGCATTCTGCTTGAGCGGCGCGCGCTGAATGAATAACTTAACCGTTGAGCACTTTGCTAGCACGTTATTTAACTCAAAGAAACGCATCCTATGAGATTAATCAGATATATACAAAATAAACATAATATTACAAATTATATCTGCACAAAATGACGTGAATGCAAAAGTGAACTTGAACTAAGTTACGTGCCATTCAGAATGACTCATGTTGTGGACGCGCTCTTCCTGGAACAACGCGACACGGCAACTAAACCCAAATAATTCCCAATGTTTTATTACAATATTGTTCTCTTTATAATGTTATATAATATGAATGACAGTCCCAATAGTCGTTATTAGTCGTGCATTGCCATTTGAGCTGCGCGCGCTAAAGATCACGCTGCGTCAATTCTTAACCAAATGCATCCAATATGAGATAAATCAGATATAGATAGGCGCACACAAAATAAACTATTACAACTTACATTTGCACAAAACAAAAGGCAGCGAATGCACACGCAAACTTATAGTCATGATGAAGGTGTAAAATAGTCCCAAACATAACTCCGGCGCGCTCGCTTACATGTTTCGCGGTTGAGCAGCACGCACGCGCATGAACCTGCTTAATCGATGATCGATAAGGTTTATCGATTAAACGTGTTATCGACAATTAATCGATCGTCGATTAATCAATATTGATCAATTTAATGCAATAACATGGATAAAAGAATAATCTTAATAAAGTGTGAACAGACAAACAACCTTTTCTATATGGTTAGTTATATTTTATTATTGTAATTGTGATCTGTTTTTGTTATTTTCCCTTTTGTCCATGATAAAAATAAAACCTGTGACCTGTGAACCACCATGTGAAAACCACTGTTCCAAAATGTATATAAAACATGTAAAGGACATTCTTTGTACCTTGGTTTCCTGTGGGTCCTTGGGTTCCTGGAGTTCCAGGGTCACCTAAAGTTCCTGGAGATCCAGCTGGACCAACTGGACCGGGTCTACCCAATGGCCCTCTGAGTCCCTTGGGACCTAAATGAATTTCAGAGGAATTGAAGTTAAAAGGTATAATTGATCAGACTTTCAGTTTAATATTTTTTTCTTATCTTATGTTAAGACAGGAAAAAAGCACTCACCTGGGAACCCTGGAGTGCCTGGCAGGCCTGGTATTCCCGCCTGACCAAAAAACCCATCAAGACCTGGTGGGCCTGGATCCCCAAATGGTATTCTTTGGTTTGTATTAGGTGGGAACAAAACAGGACCTGGAGCTCCCTTAGGACCAGAATCGCCTGAGAGGACGATAAGAAAATGTTTCAAGAATGCTTATGATTTACATTATTACTGTTGTGCAAAACGATTTTCAAGATATATAAAATGCACTGTAATCTACTGACCATTTAATCCTTTGGGTCCATTCCTGCCATTATCTCCTGGTTCTCCCGGGAACCCTGGTCGTCCACGTACACCACTAAAGCCAGGGTCACCTCTTTGCCCTTGTAAATCCAGATGAAAAAGAGAGCACAAAAATGAATGAATTCCCAAAGCCTAGGGAGGGCACTGCACGAGAGGCAGGCCCGGTTCTACGGGGTGCTAAGTACCCTTAAACGAAAGCAAGAGCACCCTCAGTTGATACTGTAATAATATCATATTGGCGAAACTGAACCAGTATGTATTTGTGTTTGTGCTCAAAGGGTTTCTATTTACGTGTTTTTGCAGCGTTGAGCAATAAAGCCAATCACATACATGCCTGTTGATTTCTTGAACGCAGTGGCCAATCAGAGTTGTTTAATTTAGCCACAATACACTTACCGCTCAAAAACACCAGAGTTCTTCTTCAGTGCTGACTCATAAGTTCTGCACGCTTGTGAATCCTCTCATTATAACAAACGAAGTGTAGACATGATGCAAGTAAGAGTTTCATTGTGCAGTGTAGACAGCTTCATTGATTATAACAAAACTTTGTCAGATTGCAATGAACTGAGATGATTGACAGCTTTTTATTGATTTTAAATGGAGCGCTCTCTGCACGCGTTTAGATTACAATAAGTTTACAATAACAAAGTTGACATCAATGAATAGTTGACAACATGTTATGTTGGATTAATTTAAACACTGCCTGCATCATGGCATGATTATAATACATCACCATAAAGCGTTAATTAGCACAGCTACCATAGGTATTCATTTTGCCATTAGCATTCTCCACTTAATCTATGCTTTGGAAAAAAAAATAGAAATGTCTTCATGACATTGATGTTTGTGTACTATTCTGAAATAGTTTTTTTAAAACCTCTTTACTGGCAACACTAACTCTGTAGGCCTATTTCTCAGACTGATCTCATGAAATGGCGTATGTATGACATGCCAATTCGTATTTCCTTTTTTGGCGTGCTATTAACATGCATAATCGCTTTTCAGCGTGTTTATCAACGCCTTTGACTAAACGTTATATTACTGTATTATGTATATATAAATATATGACCTACCCCAACCCCGTCCCTAAACCTACCCGTCTGGGGTTAATACCATTTATGAGTCTTCTCCTACCATCCTAGGAAAAGAAATATCGCTCCACAGATGTAGATATAGATTTTGCTTCGTTTCGCTCGGACATTTAACGGCGTACACATACACGCGGAATCACTCGGACATTTAATGGCGTAGACATACACGCAAAAGATTTTGGCGTGGACATACACGCGGATAGCTCAAAATGCGTATAGATAACACGCCACTTGAATTGAAAGTGGCGTGTATGTTTACGCAAAGTCATGATGTCATGTTGCTATTTCTATATAACACACTGTATATTTCAGTTACATTGCTTCTTGTTTTTACTTGACCAAAAAACTCCTTAGCGTCTTCTTTTAAAAGAATTTATGAACTTTAGTCTAAAGTATTCATGAATTGCAATCATTTAAGTTTAAAGGGGTCATATAATGGTACATGCACTTTTAAAAGTTGATTGTACTGAAATGTGTGTTGGCAGTGTCTGTACACAACCATCATATAATGATAAAAATCCATCCAGTGGTTTTGTTTTAATCTCCTTATATGTTTTCCCCTGCCTCAAATCGAGCCGTTCGAGTCTGTGACGTCACAAGCTCGCACGCCCCTCCCACGATTGTTGATTGACAGGAGCGTTTCAACACAGACCCGCCCTCGCTCATGAGGGAGCTGTCAATCATAGTCTGCGCGGCGCGGACCGGCGCGGTCATTGTTGATATGCTCGAGCACTGTCTATGAGCATAATGGCGTCTGAGCGATTGTGGTGTTCTGTTCTTGGGTGTAATAACGAACACAGCAGTCATTTTAATGTTTTTAAATCCGAACCGCCGAAGACGCAGTGGCTGAGTTTGTTTTCGAAGGGAATATTCCCCACGAGCAACGTCAATGCTTTCATGTTTGCGCGAATCATTTCTCACACCAGACTGCTTTATAAACGAGGATCAGTATAAAGCTGGATTTGCTAAGAAGCTGCTCATGAAAAAAGGATCGGCACCAGATATTTGTGTTCCTGCTGAACCTCTAGAACAACTGAAGTGAGTGTAACGTTTTATTAAACTTTATATTAATATATTAATCTTTGCAAATCGCTAGCTGCACGCTTCACAATGAATGCGTCTAAGGTTTACACTCAGGGTACTTTACGGCATGTTTTCTATGTATGATGTTCTCAATATAATTCATAATCCCACGTTTATACTGAACAATGCGTTATGGTTATTGTGTTATTGAGTTACAAACGGTGTACACACAGAACAGAGAGGCGGGGTGAGCAAAGCTCATGATCATTTAAAGTCATATGCACTGAAACGGCGTGCTGAAAACAGAGCTGTTTTTGACCAGGTAAAATAAGTGTTTTCTTACAATACTAATGAGAATTTTTAATTAAAGTATATTACAAACTTTTAATTTAGACCCTAAAGAATCATATTAGCTTGTACAAAAATGGCATTATATGACCCCTTTAAGTATGTCATTTTCCAGTGAATTATCAAACATTGGGATGACAGGTAAGAGGCTAATTTATTGCACTTTTTGCCCATTTGTAATTTGTTAAATTCTTGTGTGCTTCTTTTTTATCTTCCAGATTTGTTAGTTGTTGTTTATCACCACCATTTATTTACTTCATATTTATTTTAATGTTTATCACTATTCATGTTATACTATAGGAAATTGCAGTTCATATGAAAGATGAGCACTAACAGGGCCGGCCCTGTGAATTCCTATAAATAAAATACAACAACAGAGTATGAGGCTGGAAATTTTTTTAGAAACTTCACATCAAAATAATAACAAAAGAATACCTTTAAAACCAGGGTTGCCTGGTAATCCAGGGGCTCCAAAAGCACCAGGGTCTCCACGTGCTCCTGGTATTCCTGGTAGCCCTGGAAATCCAGGATTTCCTCTGTCTCCTTGGACTGTTCCAGGGCCTGGTGGTCCAGGCAGGCCAGGAGGGCCAAAGGGACCTACAAATGATCCAGTTCAACTGATTTCACAGTATCACAAACACTATGGGCAACCGCCATTACAAAAGGTGAGTTAACGGTCAAAGAGAAACAGATCAAAGTGGATATAACTGTTAGCCCTCTAGATCAAATATATTTTAGTTTTAGATATATACAGCCTAAGGTTCAGCTTAATCTTAGAGAAGCAACAAAAAGTAATCAGAAAAAAGAAAACAGAGATGTCCTGTACCTTCTCGTCCATCTAATCCTGGAAGTCCAGGGTCTCCAGGAGGACCTGGGATATTAGAAGGACTAGGTGGCCCAGGGGGGCCAGGGTTACCAGGGTAGCCTCTAAAACCAGAAGGACCTGAAAGCCAAAATTTCACAATCATCAAATACATATGAAAATAAAACAGCAAAATAATGACCCCATGATTGCCCCTTTTCTTGTTAGAACACACCTCAGTGGCCTTGTGGAAAGTGTGATTCCCAATCCAATCTTCAAAGAAATGGCTAAATGTCTCAAATTGTCTTTATATTTATATTTTATAATAGTTGTTTGTATTTATGGAATGTTTTTTGTATACTCCTAATTTTGCTGGTGGACAATAGAGATTCTTGAGTATTGTTGAGTACGGACTGTCTCTTTCTCTCTCACACATACTATGTCGCCCATGTAAGTATTTTCAGCTTTAGTTTCTTATCTGTTGTATTCATACATCTACTGTTAAAGTGCAGAACTGCCACTGACACATGAGTGGCAGGTAGACTCCACTATATAGACAGGTAAAATGCTTCTACAAAAACTATATGCATTAACCAATTTCATCTACAAAATCAATAGGATAGTGCTGTGAATTTTCTGAAGCTACACTGAAGTCTATACAGGTAATTTTTGACCTGAACATAACGGGTTTATTTTTTATTTAAACAGTCCATTAGGTACATTCATTTTTACATCATTTTTAATTTATTTTATTTTAGTTCAGTTATTCAGACTTTCCTTTTCATTCAAATTACTAATTTTCTTTCCTTTATTTTCCTTTTATACAAGATATTCAGAAATGTTTGGTCGTCCATCCACATGATGAGTCTCACCAGTGTCTCCTTTGATTCCTTTCTCTCCAGGGCGACCAGGTCCACCGGGTTGTGATGAGCCTCTCTCTCCCTTCCGGCCATTCACACCAGGAGCTCCAGGCCGACCACCTTCAATCACACCTGAGGATATATGGTAAATAAATAAGCAGTCACCAGGGTGTTTGTTCAGTTTTACAGCTTAATGTAGAATTTTATAATCAAAGGATCGTCCAATTAATTTACCTGGAACTCCACGTGGCCCCTTGGATCCTGGAAGACCATTGAGTCCGTCTAAACCAGGTGAGCCTGGAAAACCTAAAGTAACATTTGCGGTAGAGTATTTCAGAAATGGATTCATTTTGCTTTCTTTTAGTTTGTAGAGAGATGAAAAACTACAACTGAAAAAAAAAAAAATACATTTGGTTTTGGCAATATCTAACAATAAAATGGTACTAGTTCTTCATTAACCTTTCTCTCCTGGTAAGCCTGGAGTTCCAGGACGGGCTGCATCTCCATCACGCCCATTCTGTCCTGGATAACCAGGAAGCCCCCTAATGCCTGGGAGGCCTGGTGAGCCTATGAATAAATACAACAATAAAAACCAATGACATTAGGGGAAAAAACAGCTTTTGAAGTAAAAACTGGAATCATTACTCCAGAATTATAAGGGTGGCAGCAAATGTCCACATACCAGCAAATCCTGGTGCTCCTGGCTCTCCAGGAAATCCTTTCTGGCCTTGAAATCCTACGACTCCTGGGTAACCTGAATCACCTGGTTCACCAGGAAAGCCTGGACCACCTGAAGGTAAAATAGAAAAATCTATTTATAAAACCAGACTGGAGTATAAAATACCAAATTAAATACAAAAAATATATAAGAGCTGATAAATAAATATTTGATATCCATAGCCTGAAAAAAGTGTCTTTCTCACCTGGGAATCCAGGATTTCCAATCGCACCCTTTGGTCCAGGGGGTCCAGATGATGCATATGAGTCACCTTTCTCACCTTAAACATATCATTTTTAGGGATATCAGTGATGGCTGCCTTTAGCCTACTATTCAACTACCTGCATTTGCAATATGTAGTGCAGGTCGGAAATAAAGATCTTAAATGATTATTCTAAAAAAAGGCACTGACAGAATTACACAGATCTCACCTTTGCCACCAGGTTGTCCTGCAGTGCCCGGGAACCCTTGAACCCCAGGTACACCATCATCACCCTGCAGTGGAGAACACCACATATTGTAAAACACAACTTCCTCGGTTAATCTCAGTCTGAGAAGAACTCGTCCAGGTCATTTGACCAGGAAAAAAATTGTAATAAAGAAAAACAAAAAGAAATAATTTTTAAAGAAAAATTAAGACAGATTTTTTTGCATTTGCATTGCGTTGAAAAGATTTCACTTTTTAAATTGTGCCACAATAGGTCTACACATAACACATTTTAGCAAATGCTGATACCAATATAAGTTTTGGTGGATCCCTAAGTCAACTGTAACATATTTAGACCTGTGCCTGATTACAGAATGCTTACCCTCAGGCCTGTTGTGCCAGGGAAGCCCATAACTCCAGGAGAACCTTTAGACCCAGGGAAGCCTGGGGAGCCAGGAATACCTGGGTTTCCAGGCTGGCCAGTAAAACCTTTTACTTGGCTTGTAACACCAGGTGATCCAGGAAAGCCTTCACGTCCAGGTCGCCCTGAAAAACCCTTATCACCTGTTGAAAAGAGAAACACGATTCTTTTTACTGAAATTCTAATGGCTGAATGACATTGAGTCATCCACCCAAAACATTTATCACAAACTGAAAAGATACCTTTGCTTGTGATGTTAAGATGTTATGAAGAGTCATTTAATTAAGTTGTGGTATAATAAATGACAAGTCCATGAACATGTCAATGCCACTAAATATCATGTATTGACTATTATAAACAAAGGAAATGAGGCCTAACTGGATGGTCTGTCCACTTTTTGTACCTCTTGGTCCTGGGAAACCAGGCAGTCCATCAGCTCCTGGGTCACCCATTTCACCATTTTCCAGCCCCTCTAGCGTAAACAGAGGAGGAGAGGGACCTGGAAGACCAGGATCTCCACGATCCCCTTTAACACACAAATATATGCAATTACTACAAACAATTTCATATCTGGCTTCTTTCTGAAGTATTGATTCTTTATTGAGTGCCTTCTATGGTTTCACTTAACCAGAAAAAAAATGATATAACAAGATGTCCTGCAAATGACATCAATATACCTTTGAGTCCTGTTGATCCAGTGTCCCCAGGAAAGCCATCCTGCCCAGTGAAACCAGGTAAACCTTTAACACCTGGCCCACCTGGGACTCCAGAAGAACCAGGTAATCCTTGGAACCCCGACACCCCAAAAGACCCCTTCACTCCTTGGGCACAGACAAAAAATATCTACATTATGGTAAAAAAACACATGATAACGGCACAATAAAGTAGTAGAAGTAAAATTGGCACATTTTCAATAGAATCACACATGGGGCATTTGAAACAATCTCAGATTCGTGTTGTCTTTCTAATAATGCACAGCATAACAAATTCCTATAGTGTGTTTTTAGGGACAGTAGAAGCAAGTTAAAAATGAATTAAGAAGTGAATCTCGAGTAGCTTCAAACAACAATAAAACTCAAATAAATTTAGAACAAGTTCTTTCTGCAATCTTCATACCCTTGATTCCTGGTCTTCCTGGTATGCCTGGACGTGTTCCAATGCCAGGTGGTCCAGGAGGTCCCCTAAATCCCTGTTGCCCTGGGATACCAGGAAATCCTGGTATACCCTTTATTCCACCAGGCCCTGGAAGCCCCGGATCTCCTCTCACACCCTTCAACCCAGGGAAACCTGTGGAGGAAAAATTAGTTAAAACATAATATTGAAATATTTTATATATATATATATTGGAAAGATCCTCGAAATTTATAATAAATAATTTCAGGGTTTTTTTAATATAATTTTTTATATGGGATAGTAAATGAACTTTACAGACAGTATACTTTAAACAACATGTAATTACCCAAAACAAGCAAATGCTAATGGATGCAATGTTGTAGAATAACGCATTTAGTAAAAGATGCAATAAATGTTAACAAAAAAACATTTATTTATACAGTGGGGGAAATAATGATTTGATCCCCAGCTGATTTTGGAGGTTCGCCCACTTACAAAGAAATGGTCTATAATTTTTTTTATGGTAGGTTTATTTTAACGGATAGAGAGAGAATATCAACCAAAAAAATCCAGAAAAAAACACATTGTATAAAGGTTATAAATTGATCTGCATTTCAGTGAGTGAAATAAGTATTTCATCCCCAAGCAAAACATGCCTTAGTACTTGGTAGAGAAACCTTTGTTAGCAAGCACAGAGGTAAGACGTTTCTTGTAGTTGGTCACCAGGTTTGCACATCTCAAGAGGGATTTTGGTCCACTCCTCTTTTTACAGATACTCTCTAAAACCTTAAGGTTTCTTGGCTGTCGCTTGGCAATTCGAAGTTCCCTCCACAGATTTTCAGTAGGATTAAGGTCTGGAGACTGGCTAGGCCACTCCATGACCTTAATGGTCTTGTTCTTGAGCCAATCCTTTGTTGCCTGGGCGGTATGTTTTGGGTCATTGTCATGCTGGAAGACCCATCCACGACCCATCTTAAGTGTTGTGGCTGAAGGAGGGAGGTTCTCGTCCAAGATTTGACAGTACATGGCCCCGTCCATTGGCCCCTCAATACAGTGAAGTCGTCCTGTACCCTTAGCAGAGAAACAGCCCAAAACCATAATGTTTCCACCTGTTCTTGACTGTAGGGATGGTGTTATTGGGGTCATAGTCAGCATTTCTCTGACCTCAGTCACATCTGACCACAGCACTTTCTCCCAAGACATCTCTAAATCATTAGATGTTCATTGGCAAACTTTAGACGGGCATGTACATGTGCCTTCTTGAGCAGGGGGACCTTGCGGGCGCTGCAGGATTTCAATCCATTGCGGCATAGTGTGTTACCAATGGTTTGCTTGGTGACTGTGGTCCCAACTGCCTTGAGATCATTAACAAGCTCCTCCCGTGTAGTTCTGGGCTGATCCCTCACCTTTCTCATGATCATCCGTACCCCATGAGGCCAGATCTTGAATGGAGCTCCAGACCGAGGGCAATTGATGCTTATTTTGTATTTCTTCTATTTCCTAATAATGGCACCAACAGTTGTCTCCTTCTCACCAAGCTTCTTGCTGATGGTGTTGTAGCCCATTCCAGCCTTGTGCAGGTCTACAATCTGGTGCCTGATGTCCTTTGACAGCTCTCTGGTCTTGTTCATGGTGGATGAGAGGTTGGAATGGAAGATACAGATTCTGTGGACATGTTTCTTTTATACACATTATGAATTGACATTAGGAGTACTTTCTTAAAGTGACAGGACTAATCTGTTTTCCACATGGGCACATAACCAATCTGTGGGAGGCAAAATTCTTGCTGGTTAGTAGGGGATCAAATACTTATTTCATTAGTTCAAATGGTAATCAATTTACAACCTTTATATAATGTGTTTTTCTGTTTTTTTGTTGTTGATATTATGTTTCTATCCATTGAAATAAACCTACCATAAAAATGATAGACCCTTCATTTCTGTGTAAGTGGGCGAACTTTCAAAATCAGCAGGGGATCAAATAATTATTTCCCCCACTGTATTTGTTGTACTGGTTGAACATAATATATTTCACAGTTTTGGAAATGTCAGTTCAAAGTAAAGGCTAATTCTAGACAGTACTACCAGCTGAAACATGAAACATTACTTTCATGACTAACTAAAGATGCTGTTGTTATATCAGAAGGTGTGTTTGTGGTTAAAGGCACACAAGCACATCAGAGTTATAGCAGCGTAACAAGTTCTGAGGCTAGATTGTTAGGTGGTGTTGCTCAAATTCAGTGAACCTGAAGATTAGTACTTAAACACACAAGTTTAAGGCCATCTTTTAAGTGTGAGCGTACTATGTGATGCCAGCTGGTACACAAACACACAAAAAGATGTACAAGTGCAGTTTAAAACATTCCATTGATAAAAGACCATGGATAAACTTTCTTGTTCAATCTAAGAAATTAGAAAATGAATTCTACATTATTACTATAAACAAACAAATCTCTTAGCTTGACATAGAGGCTTAAAGATCTGTAACCCTAAAGGGATAGATAGTTCACCCCAAAACTCTGTCATATACTCAAGATTCATTAGTTTGAATCATCTTCAAACACAAATGTAGATATTTTCAATGGAACCTGAGAGATTTCAGTCCCTCTATTGAAAGTCTATTAACTTTGAATCAAGAAGTTTAATCCAAGACTTCTGAAGAGACAAGATCACTTTATATGATGAACAGATTTAAATTAGACTTTTATTCGCATATAAACAATGATCAACGCACATACATAGAGCACATCCAATAAACGGAAGCTCGACCATACTTTTTTGATGTGCGATAACAAACGTCATTGATCAACGTTATTATCTGAATAAAAGTCTAAATTAAATCATAAAGTGATCATGTCTCTTCAAAGTTTTAGTGTCTTGGACTTGGAGAGACATGGAGAAATCTCTCAGGTTCGATTAAAAATTTCTTAATTTGTCTTTCGAAGATGAATATAATCCTTATGGGTTTGGAACGAAATGAGGAAGAGTGAATAATGATAGAATTTTATTTTTTGGCTGAAAAAAAAAGTTAATGCATGCTCCCCTGCACTCATTGCCTTAATTGGGAGGACTGAAAACACAAGGAAAGACAAGTGCGTTATAAGGTAGCAAGGCAAGAGTGCGAATTGTGTGTTAGATAAACATCAACACTATATTACAGGGCATCAGGGAGGACAATATTTCTCACCTTGGCAGCCTAGTGAGGTGACCCAACACCAATAATAGAAGAGGGTGACACCACAAATGGAAGGACGGGAGGGTGGAAATGATGGTGACGGAAAAAGAGAAAGAGTGGAGGATGACCATAAAGAAAAGAATAATGAAAACAGATATTTTTGAGAAGAAGATCAGTAAACACAGGCTGACGTAGACTGATAAGAAAAGAACGAGCCAACAGTGAAATATTTTACCACAACTGAAATCTCCAGTAGTTCACACAATGCTCCCAAGAAAACAAGTTATCCAAACCATAACTTCCCAAGTTATTAGTGGTGTATAATATAGATTGTAGAAGAGATTCCTCAGGATTAAGTCTGGGTAGAACTTCCAAAAATGTAAATGTGAAAGGTCCTAGTGACATAATCGCTTATTATGGAGCTCAAGGTAGAGTTTACGCTAGGATCTGAGCAGCTCTTGTTGAACAAATACTCACTCATATTATTAGACAAAACACCAAAATGTATGTTTCATGACAATTAATTTTCTTACCTGGAGGTCCATTAAATCCTTTAGCTCCAGCTGGCCCTCTGGGACCAGGGATACCCCCGGGAGGTATTTCTCCTGGTGGACCTATGGGACCTACTGGACCAGGTTTTCCATCCACACCTCGCTCACCCTTTACGCCAAGAATACCACTGCGTCCATCATTACCTAAGGAGGAATGTATTAGTACTAATGCTTGATATCCATATGACTGGTGATAATGATGTTGAGAGTAGCTTTGTGAAAACTACCTAAAAACATCTCATCAAACTTACCAGGCCTCCCAGGTAAACCAGGTGTCCCAGGTGGACCCTTGTCTCCTGGCTCTCCTGGTCTCCCTGGAGAACCTGGACCTCCAGGGGTGGCCCCAAGCACCACACCGGGTTCTCCCTTAGCTCCTGGCACACCTGGAAAACCATTTCTTCCTGGAGATCCTGGTAAGCCAGCATTTGTTGTTCCTGGTAAACCTGTATCTCCTCTGATTCCGGTGAAACCTAACCATAAGTTAGAGTTAGACAACTATAATGCAATTATACCTTGAAATGTATGGCTAAGCAAGTTGACTAATTATGATGTGTAAGATTTGTGGTTAAATGAAGCACCCATTCACATTTAAGGGTGTAATCTTACCCTGAGGTCCTGGTTGACCTCCAGAACCTGGTTCTCCTCTATCACCTTTAGACCCATCAAACCCTGGGCGCCCACTTCCTCCTGGGGAACCAGGCTGACCCTTTGGCCCTTACATATACATGAGCACAGACGTGCAAAAGAACATGTTAAAACATGTTCGAACAATGTGAAATAACTCTTTATAATTAAAATACTACCATTTTTTAACTTTCATATACTTTTAGAAATTCAATTACCTGGCACCCCGGGACGTCCAGAGAATCCTGGATCTCCTTGTTCACCAGGAATCCTACAGGGCAGTGGTGTTCCTGTTGACATCCATTTCATTGTCAAAATCATATAAAACTGTCAATGATGACCCATTCCACACATACACACACGCCGCCTTACATCTAACCCTGACAAACTGTATAAAGGTATTCTGCTCTAAAAAGCCAGTATTAAAGGTGAGTGTTTGTGTTAATTGTTAGTTTAAAAAAATGTCTCTGAATATCTAAGATCATTGAATGTTGGCAGACAAGAAAAAGGACAGGAGGGAATGTATTTTAACTATGCAATTACATTACAATCCAGCATTACAATTTTATGAACTGTACAGACAATGAGATCAAAAACATGTATAACTGACTGACAAATAGGAGCACACTTTAATATTGTGGAGGGCATTTCAATTTACTTGCAGGTTTGGAGAAAATGATTTCAATTTTAAAAACAGAAATTTTCTTGTTAAAACGCTTATATTAATTCTTCTGTAAAAACTAAATGTTATTTTAGCTGTTAAGTTATCCAAATCATGATTACCAACATAATACCTGTTGGTGGATGTGTCTCTTTGTGTGTAGGATGTAAAAGTGTTTATTGGCTTTACATGGTCATAACAGGAAATCTTGTAAATAACTTTACACGGTAAGTGACAAGGTTTTATTTAATTTTATTCCTCAAGGGTCCTATCAGTTAACAGTGTGTATTTTAGTGTTCCAATGCATTGCTGCATAGACTTTTATTGTTTTATATAAGTGGATGTACAGTAAAGGCAATTTTTTATTGTTTTTTTTTTTTACAAACTGAGGGATAAGTCAAAAATCTTTTAATAGTAATTGATAGTATGTCATGGGTGTCTTTGATAAAGGTGAACTAGTATCTGGACTAATGTCACTACAGTGAGTATGCAATGTGAATTTGAGTAATACGCCTTTGATGGTGTATCAGGCTCTTCGAAATATAAGAAATGTTTATTATCATAACTAAAAAAATAAATAACCCCACCCTCCCCACAGTATAGCCAGCATATTAGGGCTAATAACATGCACAAAGACTGTTAAATGACTGGCAAAAGAGGGCTGTTATATGGCAACTACTACTTTTCCAGAATGGCAAGCGTCTAACTGAATTAGACACCTCAAGCTATAGGAAAGTCATAATGAAAGTATGGTCAGATTTGGTGGACACTACAGTTAAGCTGTCTGATACAGTCAGGCCATTGGAAAATGATTTATTTTATACTGGCTGCAGCTCTGGGCTTCGCATCTCACCTCCCTCTTCCAAAGAGGCATCATTAAGCCCCGCCTGCCCACAGCTGTCACCTAGTCAGACAACATGCAAGGGCAAGAGAGATTGCAAGAGAAGCTGTCAATCAATCGATTGATGAATGAGTTCATTCGGGAAGCATCAACAAGAAATCAAATGCACAAGCATGAAAATTATTGTACCTTTAGTAGAGAAATATAAAGCTCATTCAAATATTCCAGCACATTCGGTTAAAGCAGTGCAAATAAAGAAATCAAAAGGGAACATGTGCATGGCTGTGTCAAAGCCATTCCATTGGTAAGAGAGAGAGAGATGGAGAGCATGCAAAGAGGTGAAAGGATTTGGGGATTCAGACATGGATGTTAAGACTTATGATTTAATTGCATCTACTCAATTTCTCTCCGAATGGAATGGCTTGCAAAGAGGTCAAAAGTTCTGTTAGGCACAGGCAAAATGTCAAGATTTATTTGCACACCCATTCACACTCGCGCACATCCAATGCTTGACAAGATGAATGCTTGTCAAGATGAAATGTAGCAACCTCTAAACTGAAGCTCTTTCAACCTAGCTCATCGTATACTGTTCAATTATGCAATTCAGGATACCTACAGGAAAAAAAACACTGAATATTTCTCAATCAACTGAAATGAGGAAAGATCATGGCAATCTAACTAAATTAACTGTAAGACTGTTCTCTGGGTTAAAAATGAGCAAATGTGCCGTTTTAAACCACTGTACTGAATAAACTAAGCAACGTAAACCCACAAAACAAGCTAAATATGCCAAATTTATTTTAAAAGTGATAAAAACGAGGAGGTCTTATAGAATCTTGGGATGCATTTCTATTGTATTGCTAATACATACTCAATATGAAACAGTATTTCTGCATCATCAATAACTACATAGGTTTAATTAGCCTATTTATATATATATATTTAAAAAAAATTGTATGTGAAGTCGTAACACTCTTTTATGCCTGTATTCAATATATAACTGTTTATATTAAAGGAGAACTCCGGCGCAAAATGAACCTTTGGTCTAATTAGTCAACCGTTATCTGAGATTTGTTTTCATGATTATCGAATGTAAATAGTTTTATCTTTAAAAACAGTTTAGCCTATAAAGCTAGTATAACGCTAGTATATTGGGCATAGTGTAATGACAAATAAAAATCGCTTGTTAATACCACTAACAAGGCTCAAAATAGCCCCACACTAGCACAGTAGCATAATGAGGGTCCCTACCTTCAAACCGAAGCATTGAGAACTTTGTCAGTGTCCAGACAGTTTAATAAGAAGATATTGTATACATACAGTCAACTTCGCGTATACAGGCAGAAGCCATCTTTGAAAAACAGTCTCTACCAGTTGATCTACGAACGCCGATCCAAGCCTACTGTTCGCGCTCACCTTATCACAACTTATAGCTCGTTCACAAACGAGCCATAAGTTGTGATAAGGTGAGCGCGAACAGTAGGCTTGGATCGGCGTTCGTAGATCGACTGGTAGAGACTGTTTTTCAAAGATGGCTTCTGCCTGTATACGCGAAGTTGACTGTATGTATACAATATCTTCTTATTAAACTGTCTGGACACTGACAAAGTTCTCAATGCTTCGGTTTGAAGGTAGGGACCCTCATTATGCTACTGTGCTAGTGTGGGGCTATTTTGAGCCTTGTTAGTGGTATTAACAAGCGATTTTTATTTGTCATTACACTATGCCCAATATACTAGCGTTATACTAGCTTTATAGGCTAAACTGTTTTTAGAGATAAAACTATTTACATTCGATAATCATGAAAACAAATCTCAGATAACGGTTGACTAGGTAACAATGTGTAATTAGACCAAAGGTTCATTTTGCGTCTGAGTTCTCCTTTAACTGCTTATATTGACAATTTGTGTGTATCCAATTCACTATATGTGAATATTTAAGCTATAAAGTACATACTTTAATAAATGTATCACATACATTTTATGTGATCTTATTATTCAACAATAATAATAATAATGACATAAAAATGTAGAAATAATGTCATGTAAGCTGAATAATTTATTTTGTATATAACAAAATATTTCATGCTGTGTAGTTATTGTAAAGTGTTACTAAATTGTTTTTTCTACTTACCTGGAGAACCTGGAAGTCCAGGTGTTCCAGGAAGACCATTGAATCCAGGATCACCTTGTGACCCTTTGAACCCAGCTACACCAGGATAGCCAATACCAGGATCGCCACTGGAACCGGGCCGACCTTTGGACCCTGGGATACCAGGAAAACCTTTATCTCCAGTCACCCCAAAACCAGAGTCCCCCTGTAGAGAAAGAACTTAGAAATTTAGATATGTTTAAAAATGTAGATGTCAATGGTTAAATGTTGTACTAGAAGCATAATTACAATAAGCAATCATTTTATAAGCAGTTGCTGGTGTTGAGTAGGGCCACAAATCTTCTTTGACAGTAACAACAGAGCTGATTAAAATAAATGATAGAAAGGAAAAGGAAAATTTGCCTATCTACTCACAGGTGGACCTGGTTTTCCAGGGAAGCCAGGAGATCCATCCCTTCCGGGGTTGCCGCTTGCTCCAGGTGGCCCAGAAAGACCCTGTTGACCCAAATCACCTTTTTGTCCTCTACCTTGGGGGAAGAAAGAATTACCTTTCTCTCCTTTACGCCCATAAAAGCCTCTCTCACCCGCACGACCCTAAAACAAAGCAAGACTCAATTAAAATTAAGCAATATTTTGGATGTTTCCTGATAACCCTAATTTTACTCACAGGGATCAATAAGACAGTAAAAACCTCAAAGCAGTCTCTCCTGTTTTTTTGCGATTCCATGATCGATGAATACAGAGCAAACTCAAGAAAATGTCACTTTTTTTTGTTTAGCAAAATTTTTTTTTTTTTTTTTTTTATCAGTCTCTTACATCAAGACCCTGTGGTCCACGGGATCCGGAGAAACCTTGGTCACCAATTTCTCCCTTCACACCATTAGCTCCAGAGAAACCTGAGGGCCCTGGAGGCCCTTGACGTCCCTGTGCACCCGTCGTTCCTCCACCCAAACAGTTGCAGTCACCATTTTCTCCTGCAGGGGCACAGGGTCAAGTAGGGAAGAAGTCCATGTGTGCCATTATTATTATTATTTTCTAATTTAAACTCAATACTTATCATTTCAGTTCTACAACAGAGTTCCTTACCTTTAAACCCTCCATAGCCTCTTTCTCCAGCAGGTCCTCTTGGACCAGGCTGACCCGGAAAACCAGCTAGTGCAGCAGAGAACGTGTTTACTAGAAAAAAATAAATAAGAAGCAACCATTAGCTTATCTCATGATCAACATCTATCAAGTTCTGTTACTATAAAAAAAAAGTGGTAACCTGCAACTGCTAACTCAAGGGAAGTGTTTCTAGATCTACTTGATCTAAACAACACAAATGACTTTTGCTGGTGTGATCTAATTTGTCAAATCTTGATTTCATTTTCACTTGAATGAAACCAGTAAAGTTAGATGTTACGAACCGAAGCATATTTTTAGGCTACTTGCAATTAAAAAGATGATGACCATCATATGCAAAAGCTTACATGAACTTCCCGGTGGTCCAGGGAGACCAGGAACTCCAGGAAGGCCCTGATTTCCGGGACGACCTTCAGGACCATAAGAATCCCGACCTGGGTTTCCCCTCTGTCCTTTGGGTCCACGACTACCAGGGAACCCAGGGATGCCAGGACGACCTGAATAGACAACACAGATTAACAGTTAAAATAATATTAACATACAGTAAATTCTGCAAAACTCACTGCCATGACATAAGAGTGTTGTGGATGGTTGCCAGGGTATTGCTATGTGGTTGCTAGTGAATGATTGTTAGCATGCTGCTATGAAGTCAATACGGTAGGGTTATTTTTTAATGAATTGAGACCATACAGTATGATTAGTGTAGTAAAACTGATTCCTGAACAAATGACTCTCATGAGTCAGCTCTGAAAAAAGCCATTAAAAAGTCTGCCTAAACACCTTAAGTATTGATTTAAATTTATTATCGAATTTGTCATTATTTTACAGTGTAATTGCATTTATTTTCCCCCCAAATATTTCTTCCTCAAAAATACTAAAATAATTGTTACATTTCTCTTAATTCCCATCCCTTGTGATTGAACGGGTGTTCAGATAATATGGTAATTGGATATGACTCGGATCCCTCCTGTACTGTAATTCTTTGAGATTGTTTTTGTCCATTTTTTGTCCTAAAGACAAAAAATTTAGGTCTGATCACTTAGAAAAGTCATAGCACATTCTCCTCAACAAGCTGCATGATTGCAGTCATAAAGCATTACAATGAATGTCAATAGTACCTGTGTTAAAAGCAGGTGCTCCAGGAGGACCTGGCTGACCAGGAAAACCTGGAAAACCTGTATCTCCAGTTAGCCCCGGATAACCAGGAAAGCCGGGATCCCCTCGAGGACCTAGGTACAAGCAAATTAAATAATCACTGAAGACAGTACATCAGCACACATAGGAGTGTGTGTGTGTGTGTGTGTGTGCATGAGAGATTACAAGATGCAAGTACAGTACCTCACACAAGATCATGAAAGTGAAACATATTTCCTGATACCTTTAATTCCATCTGCTGGTCCAAAAATCGGTCCAGGTGGACCTGGGTCTCCTCTGTCACCCTAAAAATAAATTACAAATATGCTGTTGTGAAACATATTTCTGTTTGTGACATATTTGTTGTATTTTTCTGGTTTTGCGTTCTTACTTTTGGGCCAGTAAAGCCTTGTTGGCCTGTAAAACCTGAATCCCCATTGAAGCCCTACAGAAGAAACAGGAGATGGTTGGTATATAATAATCATATATATATATATATATATATAAAATCGGAAATTGTTTAGATTGAAGAATTTCATATCTTACTTTTCTTCCTGGGAGCCCAGGAGGACCATTCAGACCAGGTGCACCCTGCCATAAATAAATAACACAGAAGAAGAAATTCAGGTAGATTCAAAACAAAAACAGGATTTTACATTTGATGTAAATATAAATGAACACATAACACAAAAATACAACTATGAGATGTAGTGTAAAATGACAAAGAGCCATCTAAAATATTGTACCCAATGGTGAATCACAAAATGTAGCAGTAACGGGACCTACCCTCGAGCCTGGCAAGCCCAGGATTCCCTTTTCGCCAGTCTCACCTCTAAAACCAACTGGGCCCTGCATATGCACAAAAAATTACGGAATTTGTGAGCCAGTTTCTAATAACAACATATAAAGCTGTCTTTGATTACTCACTGGTGGTCCTGGTATCCCAGGAAGACCTGGATTACCGGCATAGCCTTTCTCACCCTGAGATAGAGAGAGAGAGAAAGAGAAGAAAGAAGACTGAGCATTCGCAATGTCACTTTGTGCCTTTTAAAAAAAATGTATATCATATTTATGTACCATGTGACTGGGCTGGGCATTAAGTAGCTGTTTTTTTCTCTCCAGGTATTTTAGTGAGAAAATACCATAATTTTTTTTTAATGAATATGATAAAATATGTACTGTGAATGTAAAAAAGTTAACAAGAGCAGACTGCCTGTTAATGGAACATCAGTGATACTGATATTTAAAATGAGGGTTGCATTTCTTATTATTCTTATTATCATCAATGTTGTGCTGCTTAATATTTTTGGAGGAAACATTTATAAAAAAAAATCTGGATTTTTTTTGATGAAAAGAAAGTTCAAAAGAAAAACATTTATTTTGAAATACAAATCTGTTGAAACAGTATAAATGTTTTTACCGTCACTTTTGATCAATTTAATTCATTCTGGCAGAATAAAATCATCAATTTGTTAAAAAAATAAATAAATATATATATATATATATATATAAATAAATACTGTATATATATATATATATAGAGAGAGAGTGTTCAAAGCTGTAAGTTCAAAAGCTTAAGCAGAATTGTTGCCTGCCACGCTGCTTTATCAGGCAATCACTTAGCAGGCAGCAGACTTTGCGCACGAAGGTACCTCACAGAAGTGATTTCAGACAGACTTCTGAGGCAGCATAACGGTTAGGGTTGGGTATCGTTTGAATTTTAACGATTCCGATTTTGATTCTGCTTATCGATTCCGATTCTTAACGATTCCTAATTTCGATTCCAATAAGGCACAAAAAAAAAACCTTAGATATCATTCACATTCATATAATTTAGTCTTATTGCAAAACATTTAATTGTAGCTGAATATCATGAACAAAAATCAACAGGGTAAAGAACACTTTTACACAAGGAACGTTTGCCTGTGGTTTAAAAATACCACAGAAAAACAACTAGCCTTACTAATATAAATGTAAAGCATTATTAAAGGCAATAAACACTCAGTAATAAAAAAAAGAACAAATAAAAAATTAGCAATCGCAACAAATAGATACAACTGAACAAAGATACGACTGAAATAAATAGTGTTTTAAGATTTTCAGGTATTCAAGTACAGAAACTGTAATCAAATGTAAAATAACACTGCACTTTATAAATAAAATATACATTACAAATATAGTTACAAAAGTTATTCAGTCAAGAACATGTGAATTTTCTCTTTGTCTTTTGTTGTTTGATTAGTGTTAGTATAGAGAATGCAGCTGCTGTCACTTTAAGAGTTGCCCAATATAGTTACATCCATAGTCACACAAGCCTGCAGCACAGAAAACAGCGCACGAGTCCTCTCGCGCTTGCAAAGTCATATTGAAATGCTCACAAAGGAATCGATAAGAGGAATCGAAATATAGATTTTATAACTAGTATCCGATTTCGATTCCCAACCCTATTAACGGTTTAATGATCTACAACTAAATAGAGAGATCTTTAGTTTATAACTAAGCGAATATATAATTAATAAATATGAATTTATTGCTAGAAATAACAGCAAAAGTGGAAAATGTTGGTCAGGCGCCATTTTTATTTTTAGCTCAACTGTCACTGAACATACTGTAGCAGCCTATAGGATTGTGAGATATCAAAGGCAGCGAAGGAAATATCTCTGCTGCTTTCAAAAACCACTCAGATGACAGTATCTCAGGAGACGAGAAGTAAAGCCAATATTGGATTTGGATGTGTCTTGATGCCTTCCTACCTTGGAATGCATCCTCCGAAGGCAGCATTTTTAAGCTTTCGTACACAGGCAATGTTTCAGAAATCTAATTTGAAACTTGAGCCACACTTCAAATGATTTTCATTGTTCGGACCATTATCTTCATTAGATAATGATATTCATACATTTGTGTGGCTGAAGTGTCCTCTTTATGGCCACTGCAAATATGCACACGTAATTTAAGAAAGAACCTTTGGAAATATTAGACTTAAAATCATTTGTCACATGTGACTGAAATCACCACCAAATATGAAGAATTTACAAACACCACCCTCAAAGTTCACCACAGGGTGAAGCATGAGATTTATACAGTAAGCACGAGGTGGACGTCACCCTCCTGGATAGCAGGCCTGAGGTACAGAGTAGGCCTAAGTGGACAAAAAACTGTAGAAAAGAAGTTGACGAGGACGGCGTCGATTGACGGCATCCTAGTTCTAGATCCTCGCAGCTGCATTTTCCTCACAAACCTTAGTTCCTTTGTCTCCTTTTGGAAAGCCAACAAGTTCCACCACTCCATTGACCAGTGGGAGGCCTGGGTCACCGGGCTGGCCCACATCTCCCTGGATACGGTAACCAAGGAAGAGAGATTTTTTTTTTATATGGGCAAGATGAGGTGTGATGGGGAGGCTGTTTGGAGACGGTAGCGGCGGAGCATTTTGAAGAGGTGGCATGTGGTGAGAAGTTTTTTGGGGTTTTGAAGAAGGACGTTAAGTGGACTGTGACCACTGCCGGAGCAGCGGGGAGATCAGGGTGAGAAGGAGATGAATGGACACAGGAAGAATGAAGGAGCTTTGGTAATGAACCACACATTCAACACAATGAATGTGTCTGTATCTCTCCCCATTCAATCATTATGCAACTAACCATCCCCCCTTTGTACTGTCAAGGTCTCTATGATGTGTATTCTTTGTGAAAACATTTTAATAATTGGTGTTGGTGTGGGGGGGTGTTACAAATGTCAACTGCGTAATTGTGTGAATCTTCCAGACCAATTTCCTTGGAGCAATTTCCCCGGATGTGGTTCAGTGCCCTCCAACGCTCCTCTCTCCCCCACCATTCATTTCTCTCACCCTAGATCTGCCTCTCCCTAGGTTGGCATCACCGCTCCCCTGTGTGTTACCTTTTCTCCTTTGTTGATAGTGCTTATTGCTGGTGCGTTAAACTGAACAGCCGGATTGCCCCTGAGTCCCGGTAGACCAACTTCCCCCTGAGATCCACAACACAGACATTTGACACATTAGAGCCCAGGACTTTATCAGAGAGAGAGAGAGAGAGAGTGTGTATGTGTGGGTGTGTGTGTGTGTGTGTGAGAGAGAGATAAGGAGTCAAGGTCAGTTAAAGAAAGAGCATAAAAGTCTCAAGAAAGTTGAGAAAGCAAAGGGTATTGAAAGAGTGTGAGAACAACAAATTCTTTTTTTTCCCAGTAAAAATGTCTCAACATCCTTAAAACAATATATATCCTAAGGTCATATTTCTCACCCCATTAGCACATTTTGTTTAGTTTTAGTTTTAACATATTTAATGTTAATACCCCCATTTATTTCAAAACTATTGTGATAAAGAAATTAAATATAGTTCTCTTACGAGAGGTTCTCTCGTATTGCGTAAGCTAGCTTACGCTACGGGAAAGATTAATCTTTTCTGAAATATTGAAGCCAAAAAATTATCCTTGATTTTGTATCCATTGTCAACGCAGTGCAGCAGCTGCAGACCTTGAGCGGGCTAGCTAGTGAGCTCATTGGTTGCTCTGCGGCAACTGCTGCAGCCTATAGATGAACTGAATGAACTCGCGTCCAATGAGAGGCGCTCGTGCCTTCATCGCGTCACAGCCCGCCAAACTGGGCGTGGCTAGAGTGTATATAAGCGAGGTTCTTAGGCTGCTTCCCTGATTTTCATCTCTTCAGCGAAGCTCTTCGCATCTGATCCACAGAAGCCGGGTCGCCGTCTGAGGGGCATTTTAGCGAGCTTGGACAGCGCTTGAAGAAGCCGGCCGTCTTCGCCACCTTCAGCCATCCGGCAAGCTACGCCATCCGGTGACGTATCCTTTTTAGAGCTAAGCTAGTTCCTCAGCGAACTTCACAAAAGAGCACGAGCATCTTTGTAAAGATGCCTCGCACCACCTGCGGCTCATGCCGCGCCCCTCTCAGCGCCGGAGACCACCACCTCATCTGCGCTCTCTGCCTGGGACTGGAGCATGCAGAGCTCGCTCTCGCTGACGGCGGATGCGACCTCTGCGAGGAGCTTCCGATGTCGACCCTGCGGGCTCGACTCGAAGCGTTCAAAGCCGAAGCCGCCGCGCCGCCTTTTGTCTCGCCGCGCAAGAAGCGCCGCTCCCAAAGGCCGCCGGAACCGGTGCTGGAAGCGACTGTCTCGCCGGAGCCTCTCCCTCGAGCCTCGCTTTCATCCCCCCCCGCCCTCCCCGGACGCGCAGTTGCCGCCGAGCGGCCGCACTGCGGCCATCTCGGATGACGAGGTGGAGGTAAAGGACTGCTGTTCCGTCATGGCTTCGGACAGCGAGGAGTGGTCAGGCTCCCTCGCCTCCTCCTCGGCCCACGAATCCAGCAGGACCCGCGGCGGAGTCGAAGAGGAATTAATGCGCCTCCTCACACAGGCCGTCGACCGCCTCGGGCTCGAGTGGTCACCGCCCCCTGAGCAGGCCCCCAACAGACTCGACGGCTGCTTTCTCCAGAGCCGTTGCCGCGCGACGCCCGCGGCCCGGGCCGCCCCCTTCCTGCCGGAACTCCACGCTGAGCTCACTAAGTCGTGGAGCGCGCCTCTCTCGGCCAGGATCCGCTCCCATGCCTCCACCTCTCTCTCTTCGGTGGATGGCGCCGCCGAGAAGGGCTATTCTTCCATCTCCCCGGTCGAGGATTCGGTTGCAGCGCACCTTTGCCCGCCCTCTGCGAGATGGTGGTCTAAGCCCACGCTCCCGTCTAAGGCCTGCAGAACTACTTCCGCTTGTGTTGGCCGCGCCTATGCCGCCGCCGGCCAAGCCGCATCCGCTCTGCATTCCATGGCCGTCTTGCAGATCCTCCAAGCGGACCTTCTTCGGGAGTGGGATGAGAAAAACAGGCACCCAGAGGCTGTGTCAGACCTAAGGAGCGCGACGGATCTCTCCCTTCGTGCCACAAAATCTGCAGCTCAAGACCTGGGAAAGTGCATGGCCTCGCTGACTGTGACCGAGAGACATCTGTGGCTAACGCTTGCCGACATGGGAGAAACTGAACGCGCCACGTTCCTCAATGTGCCGCTCTCTCATTCCGGTCTCTTTGGTTCCGCGGTGAGTGGCATTATTGACCGCTTCTCGGAAGTCCAGAAAGCCACCCAAGCCATGAACCTTTTCCTGCCTCGTCGCGCTAGCTCCTCTGCAGGCCGCCCTTGTGACCAGCCTCCTGCACGAGCCCCTTCACAGCGCCCAGCTCAGCACAGCCAGACTTCTTAGCGTCAACAGGGCGGCCGCCCTAGATCGCGCTCAGACAGCCGCCGCAGACCGCCGCCCCCCCCGCGGGCCTCGGCCTCGGATCGCGCTGAAACCTGAGAAACCGAAGTCCTCCTAGCTACGTTGAGAAAACGACGGCTCAGTCCCGCCGCGGCCGGACCACCGTCAAAGCTTCGCCCCCTGTCAGTCCCCTTCTCTCAGGCTACTGCAGTGGTGTATACAGCAGCCAACAAGCCGGTGATACTACCCGCTTGCCTGCACCCAAACACCGTTTTTACGGCGACCCAGAGCTCTGTCACACGGCCAGCCATCACCTCTCTGTATGTAAGTCCCGTGCCCGTGACTATGCTCGCGCATCACATTAACAGATGTGACTCTTTCCCCATTCACCTCAATCGGGAAGTCACTCACAGAACAGCCTGTTCCTGCTGTTTGCGAGCCGTCATGCATAAGCACAGTAAGCGCGCTCACACATTCTGTTCAGCTCGCTGTGTGCGGCAATCAGGGCGATTTGGCCATTCACCCCCTGGCGCTACGCTTCAAAGCGTGGGAAGCTATCCCAGGAATATACAAATGGGTGTTAAGCACGATAAAACAAGGTTATTTGCTACAGTTCGATCACCGCCCTCCCCGCTTCCGAGCGCGGCTCGAAACGACTGTGAACACGGCAGCAGCCTGCATGCTTCGTTCAGAAATAGCAAACCTTCTGTGCAAAAGGGCCATAGAGAGAGTGCCGCCTTCTCTGAGCGAGTCGGGGTTTTACAGCCGTTATTTTCTTGTTCCCAAGAAAGACGGCGGCCTCAGACCGATTTTGGATCTCAGATTTTTGAACAAGGTGCTTGCGAAAAGACCGTTCAAAATGCTTACAGTCAGGAAACTCCTCGCGCACGTGCGCCAGGGGGACTGGTTTATTTCTCTCGATCTGAAAGATGCCTACTTTGAGATTCAGATAAATCCCTGTCACAGGCCATTCTTGAGATTCGCCTTCGACGGTCAGGTTTATCAATACACCGGTTTATCAATACACCGTCCTTCTGTTCGGCCTGTCCCTAGCACCCCGTACTTTCACGAAGTGCATGGATGCGGCCCTCGCACCCCTGCGGAGCCAGGGCTTGCGAATATTGAACTATTTCAGGAAAAGCTCCTTCACATAAATTGTCTGGAAATGATAGCAGTCGAGTACGCGGTCGAGTACGCGCTCGTGCGCTTCCTCCCAATCATTCAGGGTCACCACGTCCTGGTCCGCTCGGACAACAGATCTGTGGTATCCTATCTAAACCGTCAAGGCGGTGTCAGATCCAGGAACCTCTTCCATCTGACAGAACGCATACTGAGTTGGTCCCGGTGCCACCTGCGCTCGCTGAGAGCGACGCATGTGCCAGGCCACCTGAACGACGGCCCAGACAGACTGTCCAGAGACAATATTCCCCCAGGGGAATGGTCCCTGCACGCTCTAACAGTCCAGATGTTATGGCGCCTATTCGGCAGAGCAGAGATAGACCTCTTTGCGTCAGAGGAGAACTCTCACTGCCCAGTATTTTTCTCGAAAAGTGAGGACGCGCTGGCCCAGGACTGGCCCAACCGCCCGCTTTACGCCTTCCCTCCCGTCTTGCTATTGCCACAGGTAATGCAGAGGATCAGGGAAACACGCTGCTCGGTGCTCCTCATAGCCCCGCGCTGGGAGAATCAGACATGGTTTCCGGAGCTTACCCAGCTGTCACTGACAGCCCCGTGGCCCATTCCAGTGAGAACAGATCTCCTCTCTCAAGCTCGCGGCACGATCTGGCATCCCCACCCAGAGCGCTGGGTGCTGCACGCGTGGGTGATCAACGACTACCCGTCGCTTTGCCAGAGGAAGTAATAAACACTATCATACACGCTAGAGCTCCTTCCACAAGAAGACTCTACACGTCCAAATGGTGCATTTTTAAAATGGTGCACCGACAGAGATCTGGACCCACGGACATGTGGGGTTTCGTCGCTGCTCGTGTTTTTACAAGAGCTGTTGGATAAGGGCAGGTCCCCATCCATTCTCAAAGTATACGTGGCGGCCGTCGCGGCATTCGATGAATCCGTGCACAGCCAGTCACTGGGAAAAAACGAGCTGGTCATCCGCTTCCTCAGGGGAGCTAGAAGGATGAACCCCCCGCGCCCCCCATTGGTTCCTATCTGGGATCTTTCTATAGTTCTCGAAGCTATGAAAGCCCCTCCTTTCGAACCGCTTCAATCCGTGGATGTGAAATACCTTTCACTCAAAACCGTTTTTCTGACTGCCTTGTCATCAGTTAAACGTGTGGGAGACCTTCATGCGCTGTCTGTCAGCGCCGCGTGTCTTGAGTTTGGACCAAATGACTCCAAGGTCATTTTAAAGCCTAGACACGGCTATGTCCCCAACGTGATCGGTACCCCGTTCAGAGCGCAGATCATTTCCCTATCGGCTCTGCCAACATCCGATATGAATGTGACGCCAATCTCCTCTGCCCTGTGAGAGCACTGAGATTGTATACTGCGCGCTCTGCCTCTTTCAGACGCTCTGAGCAGCTTTTCGTTTCGTTCGGAGGGCGCACCAAGGGTCTCGCCGCCTCGAAAACAACACTGTCTAGATGGATAGTGGACGCTATTGCTGCTGCGTACGCGTCAAAAGACCTGCCATGCCTGTTAGGCATTAGGGCTCACTCCACTAGAGGCATGGCCTCCTCGTGGGCGTGGTCCAGCGGGATTTCCATTCACGACATATGTGTGGCAGCGGGCTGGGGTTCCCCCTCCACCTTTGTCAGATTTTACAATCTGGAAGTGCCCGCCCCGCAGGCAAAATTACTAGCGGTCTAATACGCTACAGCTCTCCTGGTGAGCTGCACTGATGGGAAACTTTCCACAGACCGGCACCGCCGCTCTGTCTTCCTTCCCACTACGTGCTTATGTATTACATACACTGGCCCGCACTCTTGCTGGCCAAAATGCTTTTCCCCACTCATAGGGCTCCCCGGGGTTCTCCCCCTGGGCTCATGCTGTGGATGGTTGGCGCGCACGGCGTTGACAATGGGTTCCCGTAGCGTAAGCTAGCTTACGCAATACTAGAGAACCTCTCGTAAGAGAATGAATCGGTTACCTAACGTAACCTCGGTTCTCTCTAGATGAGGGAACGAGTACTGTGTAGCCGGCCGTGCTCGCGCCATGAGCGTTTTTCGCTTCATTCTATGAAAACCAGGGAAGCAGCCTACGAACCTCGCTAATATACACTCTAGGCACGCCCAGTTTGGCGGGCTGTGACGCGATTAAGGCGCGAGCGCCTCTCATTGGACGCGAGTTCATTCAGTTCGTCTATAGTCTGCAGCAGTTGCCGCAGAGCAACCAATGAGCTCGCTAGCTAGCCCGCTCAAGGTCTGCAGCTGCTGCACTGCGTTGACAATGGATACAAAATTAAAGATAATTTTTTGGCTTCAATATTTCAGAAAAGATGATGAATCTTTCCCGTAGCGTAAGCTAGCTTATGCAATACTCGTTCCCTCATCTAGAGAGAACCGAGGTTACGTTAGGTAACCGATTCGTTATCTTTGAAAAATCTTCATCTGATGCAATTTTGCTTCCTAAGTAAATTGATCTTGTTTGAAAGACCCCATTTCAATCATTGATGAACATAGTTTTCTGTTTTTCTGTATTGGTGTTTTCCTATTAAAACAAGAAGTCTGTGATATTGAAGTGTTTAAAAAACAGGCTTCAGTTACATAAAAACAATGAATCATAATTTGCTATTTGCTGGTCAGTAGTCAGTTAAACAAATTCTTCAAGAATTTAAGCATTTAAAGGGATAGTCCACCCAAAAATGAACATTGGGTCATCATCTACTCACCCTCATGTCATTCCAAACCTGTATGACTGACTTTCTTCTGCAGAACACATATTTTGAAGAATGTTGGAAATTTTACAGTACCAGTTCCCTTTGACTAAAAAATACAATGGAAGTCAAAGGGAACCAAAACTGGTTTATCAACATTCTTCAAAATATCTTCTTCATACAGCTTTGGAACGACATGAGGGTGAGTAAATGATGACAGAATGTTCATGTTTGGGTGGACTATAGCTTCAAGTTGACAACACTTTTTTTTCTTTTCTTTTTTTGTAGTGCAGAATAAGGTCATTTTTGTTAATTTTTCCCTAAAAGAGTAAGACTGTAAATATGTAGTGTATATTTGCTAGATGTGAACTTTATTTTTCCTTTTAATGATTAGCGTAATCTAGCATAGAGGGTGCCAAAGCTAACACACATAAACTAAAATTAACAAAACTATAATTTAATTTTTGCATTTACATTTTTACTGGAAAACCAGTTAAAGAAAGAGAATGATAAGAAAAAGATTTTTTTTACAGAGAATAAACAGGAAAGCAAGATAATGAAGTGATGACAGAAATGAAAAGTGAGAGAAGCAGGACTAAGGGCTCCTTTTATTATAGTTACTGCTACAAACGCATGCATATTATTGGTGAACTCCTATATTTATTTATTTATTTATTTTATAGATCTATCTGACAATTTCAATTGATTGCATATAAAACTAACTGGTCCTTGTTTTCTCGTGTTCTGTGGGTTAAGTGTCCCAACCAAAGGAAACAAAGGCACACAGAAGATTGGAGCAGGTGATTCCAGCACCAGAACAGATCACTCAAAAACAGCTATTTGAATAGCAGCTCAGAGATTTCAAGTAATATATGACAATACTCTTACATTGACTTTACAAGTTATGAAGAAACTGCTGGTACTGTTCTTTAACCTATGCAATCTGTGAACTGCCATTCAAAAATAAAGGAAATTACATTCCAAACTTTGTAGTGTTACCATGGTTATTAGTAAGATTCAACTGTGTTTTCCGCATTGAACATACCATAGGGATATATTCCTTTATATTGCAGGAAAAGGCTTTTACTATGTGTAGTGAGTGTTGAGATGAGTGAAAACATACTGAAGTTGGGTTAAAACATAAATGAAACAAGATAGGCATGCTGGCAGTACAGAACTATTTGGAAAAGAGGGAAGACAAGAAAATCTAGAGGGAGATGATACGAATGAAAGAGTGATGCAGAGTTATTGTGCAAAAGACAAAAGCAGTATAATCTTTTAATGTCCAATCCAAAAGGCAGAAAGAACTTCTTAGCTAGCTTGTTATTAACCAGTTCCCGAGCGGACTAAAATAATATTTGAACTGAATGTTACACTATAAACATTCTCTGAGTGTGCCAGTCTAGTTACAGAGAGTGGTGTCTTAATGTACAGATATGTGGAAAAACGTTTAGTACTTGAATGTAAGGATTGTAAGACCCCATGAAATCAAAATGATAGTTTTGGGGGTTTTAGTCCGTGTCTGTTAGCTTTCAGGGCATCTACAGTCGTGCTCAAAAGTTTACATACCCCTTGCAGAATCTGTGAAAATGTTAATAATTTTAACAAAAATAAGAGGGATCATACAAAATGCATGTTATTTTTTATTTAGTACTGTCCTGAATAATATATTTTACATAAAAGATGTTTACATGTAGTCCACAAGACAAAAAAAATAGCTGAATTAAAAACATTTACCCCCTTCTGGAGCATCAGTGTAAAAAGATGGATCTCAAAATCATACAGTCACTGCTGGAAAGGGTTCAAATATGCAAAAGATGCTGGAAAACTGAAGAATTTGCAGGACCTGCAGGATTTTTCTGAAGAACATTGGGCAGTTTAACTGCTCAGGAGGACAAACAAGGGACTCAAGAACAACCATCACAAAACAACAAAACAGTCGTGGATCATCCAGATAATGACACACAGTATTAAGAATCAAGGGTATGTAAACTTTTGAATTCATTTTTGATAAATTCAGCTATTTCTTTTGTCTTGTGGACTATATGTAAACATATTTTATGTAAAATTTCACATTCAGGACAGTACTAAATAAAAAAATAACATGCATTTTGTATGATGATATTTTGCAGATTCTGCAAGGAGTATGAATGTAAACTTTTGAGCACGACTGTATATGCTAGTGTACTACTAAATGTTGACGAATTTTCACATTTAAAAAAATATAAGCATTTAGATTTACAGTCTAAGAAAGAGAGCTAAGATATTGATGAATTATCTTGCACTACACAGACTCTCTGCTGCAACCAACCAGCAAGTACAACATTAAGGTTCTTGACTGTGAAATAATTAAACCCAAATTACCATTTAAATAACAAGGCTGCGAGCCATTCGATATGATCTGTTTCTACTAGTAATATGTCATCACAAGACAGAAAACTGTGGTCATAAAGCAATTTTTGGGGGGTCTTTAATGTCAGAGACACTCAGAGAAGTGTTTGTTTATGGTGTTGTTAGGCCAATTAACCACCAACAAATCATATCAGCATAAAAGCATTCAAACAAACATTAACAAACACACAGGACTCAGCTAGAGATCTAAATCTAAAATGCATCTTAAGTGTTTATGGAACAAATATGTTGACACTATTGGTTGAAATTAGCACAACACCTGAACCTAATGATGCTAATGGGGAAAACTACAAGCAATTGTGTGTGGACAACTGCTTAGTTGTTGGCAAGTTGATGAAACCCATACCTTTTCTCCTGGCTCCCCTTTGTATCCTTGACCTCGACTTCCCTGTAGAATAAGCAGAGACATTCAGCAAAATTTATGTACGGTTATTTTAGCCATTCTGGAGTCAGAGGTCACTTTCACTAAATAAAATGTGTTGATACTTACAATTTAAATCAAACAACTATAAAGCTATGTAATGATTGCATTGTTTACTTTAATTCCAAGGCAAGCTCTCAAAAGTACATAAATGTTTGCACACTGCCCCCTGTCTGACAGGAGGATAAAGTGTTAAAGATGATAGGATCATGTAACATAAAACATGCAATTTCAAAATTGTCCCTTAGACATCTGAACTTACTGCAGGTCCAGGAGGACCAGGCGGACCAGGTAGACCCTGTGGAGGGAGGCAACGGTGAAATTACAGTCTTTATACAGTAGGTAGATAGTGCAAGATAGATAGATGGATAGATAGATAGATGTAATACATACAGGATAGCCATCTGGACCTTGGGGCCCCATTGGACCTGCAAATCCTGCTGGACCTGGAGGGCCGTCGGTGAAAAATTGCTAAGGATTTTACAAAAATTTGTAGTTACAAAAAGGCAACATTTGGTTTTTAGTCAAAATCAGCTGTACTCAAAGTTTTCTGAAGCCATGTGATATCTTTGTGTGACAAACAGTCATAAGGCTATTCACAGATAATCTTCACCTCTAGTATGCCATATTACAACCAGATCAATGATTCAGTTGAACTTGAGAAGCGGATTGGTCTGAATCATTAATGAATCATTCAAACAGCTTTGTGAACTGGATCAACTGATTCATTGAAAATATTCAATCGCTCATGAATTGGACATAGCTTCTTTTCTCATAAACACATCATAAAGAGCTACAACGGATGTCAAGATTTTCAGTAAAAAATTACATTTTAAAATGACTATAATCTCAGCTATAAATCTGCTCTACAGAAGACGGTACTGTCATTATTCACCTCAAATCAGTTCAATGGTGATTCTATTAAGCTCGATAACAGTGTAAATGTAGCAAAGGTTATTAATTATGATCAAATTATAATCAGTTTCAGCTATAAGGCAGTTCTACTTAAGGTGATGGTGTCATTATTCAGCTCAATTCAGATTGAATGTTGATTCAGGTTAGTTCAATAACTGTCAATGTTGCAAAGTTCATAAATTTTAAAAACGACTTTAAAAAGTTTTTGTTTTCTCATCCAATATATTGTTAATATAATAATATTTTCTGAACATTAATAGACCCTTTTAACTCATGTGTAAAGAGACTATTTAATGATAGTTTTATGGGGGGGTTTGTTGTTATTTTGAAGCTAGAAAACTCCAGTCCTCATTCATTAAAGGTACACTATGTAACTTTTTTTTTTTAAATTAACACAATTAGTCAATGCATAATCAATACTTCTTCCAAAACATGTTTTTGTCTTAACCTGATTCACTATGCTTATTATAAGTGTTTATATTTTAAACCTGACAGGGTGGTTTTCACAGGAAATTGAAAGTGGGTATCTCAACATATCTGTACATAGAGAAAAGAGCAGGACAGAGCTCCTAATAAAACGAGAATTAACATTGGCTTGGCTTTTTAGAGATGGCGAGAATATTTGAAATGATGTAAAAGCAACACAGAGATGGTGGTTTTATTACTCAACAGGTGAGTAAGTACAACCCCAATTTCCAGAAAAGTTGGGACATTTTGTAAAATGCAATAAAATTCACAATCTGTGATTTATTAATTCTCTTGAACCCTTTTTTAACTGTCAAAAGTACAAAGAAAAGTTTTCCACTGTTTTCACGGACCAACATAATTGTATTTTGAAAAATATAAACACATTTTGATATTGATGGCTGCAACACACTAGGGGTGGAACGGTACATGTATTCGTATCGAACCGAAACGGTACGGGCGTCACGGTTCGGTGCACGAATTTGCACGGAGAATACACGGTACAAAAAAACCCTCTTAAATAGCGATAAATTTCGCTTTATTCGCTTTTGGTGTGACTGTGAACGCAGCAATGAACAGGCTGCGATCAAGATTGCAATGCTGGAGTGTGTGTGTGTGTATGTGTGTGTGTGCGAGAGAGAGAGAGAGAGAGAGAGAGAGAGAGAGAGAGAGAGAGAGAGAGAGAGAGAGAGAGAGAGAGAGAGAGAGAGCGCAATAAACAGTATGTGTGTGTGTGTGTGTGTGTGTGTGTGTGTGTGTGTGCGAGAGAGAGAGAGGCGCGGGCGCGAATCGCGCGATCGAACAGTGTGTGTGTGTGTGTGTGTGTGTGTGTGCGCGCGCGTGCGAGAGAGAGAATGATCTCTCCTGCGCGATCGAACAGTGGAAACATAAAAACATACTCCGTCATTTTTTTTATACAGGACATCATTAAAACTGCAAATTGTTACTTATTTTTGTGTACACTCGCAATAAAACACTACATTGTGCTTTTGTCAGACTCTAAACTCTTGTCGAACTGTAACCTACAACTGTTAACAAAAGTTTTGAATGCTAGTATTATTTTATACGGAAATCAACTATTTATAATTCAGATGAGAATAAAGTTAGGGTTAACTAAAATGAAGGAAAACAAATATATTGATCTGAAATAGCAAATTAATTTTAAATTCATTCAGGTACAATTACCAAACATATCTCAAAGTCTTTTCATCTTTTTAATAATTTAATTAATAAACTAATTATATAAAACTATTGTCAGTGCACTACAAATAAACTGGTTCTATGCCTTTATTAATAAAACTTATTTAAAAAATACAAGGCTTAAGACATTTATAAAAATGCCTTCTGCATTTTTGTTTTGCTTTTCACTCCATTGTACCGAAATCATACCGAACCGTGATGTCTGAACCGAGGTATGAACCGAACCGTAACTTCTGTGTACCGTTCCACCCCTACAACACACTACAAAAAAGTTGGGACAGAGGCAAAATAAAAGTGAAACGATTATAAAGGTTAGATTATCCAACTCTTTTGAAACAGTCCACAATGAGTAGGTGAATTGGTAATAGGTGAGGGTATCATGTTTGGGTGAAAAATGAGCTTCTCAGTCTTTGCGAGCAAAGATGGGTCAGTCTGTGTTGGGCATAGCAGGAGACCACTGTTGAATGTGCGTGACCTTTGAGCCCTCAGACGGCATTGCATGAGAAACCATCATGCTATGCTACTCTGTTAAATACAGCCACGTGTGCTCAGGAGTACTTTATAAAACCATTTTCACTTAACACAGTCTGACGCTGCATCAAGAAATGCCACTTGAATCTCTGTTACGCAAGGAGAAAGCAATACATCAGTTCTATGTGGAGATGCCGGCGAGTTCCACTGACATGGAGGCATATTATACTTGGATTGTACACAGACATATAATGACATCAAGATGACATCTTTCCTGGGAAGCAAGACAATGTCAGGCCTCATTCTGCACGTGCAACAACTGAGTGGTTTCTAGACACTACACCATAGAAGGGATGTGCCTGCCTGCAGACCAGATCTATCTTTTATTGAAAATGTATGACCCATCATGAAAAGGAGAATCAGGCAACGATGACCACAGACTGTTGAGCAGCTGTCTTGTATCAGACGAGATTGGGGAAATATTCCACTTGCAAAACTGCAACAATTAGTATCCTCAATTCCCAAATGATTAAAAAGTGTAATTAAAAGGAAAGGTGATGTTAAACAGTGGTAAACATGCCTCTGTCCCAACTTTTGTAAAGTGTGTTGGAGCCATCAAAATCAAAACTTGTTTATATTTACAAAATAAAATTAAGTTGGTCAGTGAAAACATTGGAAATATTTTCTTTGTACATTTGTCAGTTAAATAAAGGTTCAAGAGAATTAACAAATCACAAATTCTTGATTTTATTGCATTTTACAAAATGTCCCAACTATTCTGGAAATGGGGTTGTATTTTATTGAACAGATAAACTGCCATATGCAGCTCTCTTAAAGAGTTCATTGTAAAAAAATATCTAATGTAAAGGGTCATACATTCACAAAGGCTCACACAGAGCTGAAGCACAACCAAAACAATATTCTTCCACAAAATGCATGCAGTTTAACCACTAGAGGGCCACAAGTTACATAGTGTACCTTTAAACATGTTGGTGAGTAAATAATGATTTAGATTATTCGGATAACTACACCTCTTTAACACAGCTCTCAAATATTAGTGATCAATGCCCATATCAGCCCCTCTTTTTAATAAAACAGCAGAAAAAGGTGTTAACCTTCTTACATGCGCTACACACACCTGAGAAGATTTAAAACCCTCAGGTAATATAAAAGATGCATGAGGTGTTGAAAATGACGGAGGGATTTTCCCAGACAGATCTGCATTCCACACCCAGATTTACAGCGAACTCACAACACATTATTAACAGGGTTGTCAGTAAATGCCACATGTGGATGTGTATATGAGTGTGTACATATAAAATGTTGGCATGTGTGATTTGCTTGGGTTTCATAAAGAATGATTGTAACTTACTGGTCTTGGAATACTTATATAATACGGTTCTCCTTTTTGACCTTTTTGACCATTGTATCCCTATAATCAAGTTAAAAAAAACAATTAAAAAAAACATGTGAATATGAAAACTATAGATATATATTTTTATATTATTAAAAATACAGATATATATTGTTATAAACAAACAATCAGTAATGACATAATTTTCACAGCTATTAAATAGACTAAAAAGCAAGTATTACACTAATAGGCAACAGAGCATGCAACTTGAGTAAAAAAATTGTTATAGACACTGCAGTTAGCACTTGATAAGATGATTTCTTCATTTAGTAAGTGAAACTGCTGTATATATTTAAAACTTCTTGAAATGCACATAAAGCCCTTAAACTTACAGGAACTCCAGGATTACCAGGAAATCCATCACGGGCTCTGTCACCTGGGTCACCTCGTGTACCATTACAGCCGTCGAGACCTGGGGGTCCCTGGGGCCCCACTTGACCAGGGTGTCCCTGTACAACATGGTAAAAACAGCTTAGTCAACCATTTTCAGAGAAAGGTGAAATTATGGTAGACAAGAAGTGTATACTCACAGGAACACCATCATTTCCAGAAAACCCAGGAACACCCATTGGGCCCTGTCAAAAGATAAATAAAAGGCACAAAAATGGCATTTTGAGACCTGCACTCCCTCGGCACCCGATTTGCAGCGTGGGACAAGATTTGATGGGTTAGTGCGGGTTACGGGAGAATAAAATGATTTGCAGGACTCCCGCAAAATAGAAATATCTAAAGATAAAATATCTAAAAACAAATAAATTGTTATTCATCTATTGCACAAAAGCAACAAAGTTTTAGATGTGTAAGCTTGCCTGCCCCTGTCTGCTGCAGCTTCTGATTGCTTTTAGAAGGAAAAGCTGCCCGTAACTACTGGTCTAGGATCAGTTTTGTCTGTAATAATGACACATTGGCGAAACATTTGGCAAGCGATCCAGTGCGTATCTGTGTTTGCACTCTGGAGAGCGTCAAAGGTTTCTGTTTACAACGTGTTTTTGCAGCGTTGAGCAACTTAGCCAATCAAAAACATATCTTGATTTCTTGAACACAATGGCCAATCAGAGTAAAGTTAGAAGATCTCTATTTTGTACCACCATGTGCGCTACACATTGATAATTAAAGGGTTAGTTCACCCAAAAATGAAAATTCTGTCAGTAATTAATTACTCACCCTCAGGTTGTTCCAACCCTGTAACCCTGAACACAAATTAAGATATTTTTGATTAAATCTGAGAGCTGGATCACTCCTCCATAGGCTTTCAACTATTCATTTCCTTCTCTGTGGGCCTCGAGATTTCACGTAGTGAAACTACGCAAAGCTTCTGTGTTGCACGTCATACGTAGGCTCACTACTGGCCGACGCTGGTCATGTGTGTGATGCGTGTGACGTACAACCTAGAAGCTTTGCGTAGTTTCACAACGTGAAATCTCGAGGCCCACATACAGGGAAGGAAATGAATAGTTGAATAAAGTCGTTATTTTTGTTTGTTTTTTTGCGCACAAAAAGTATTCTCGTCACTTGATAAACTTAAGATTGAGCCACTGTAGTCACTCAGACTATTTTAACAATGTCTTTCTTAACTTTTGGGCCGGCCAGTTTCGATCCCTTAAAAAAGCCTATGGAGTGAGACAGCTCTCAGATTTAATCAAAAATATCTTAATTTGTGTTCCGAAGATGAACGAAAGTCTTATGGGGTTGGAACAACATGAGGGAGAGTAATTATTAGAATTTTAATTTTTGGGTGAACTAACCCTTTAATATCCAGTACGTATTTTAGTAAAGCAGAAACGGATATTTGTTATAAATTATAATCCCCCTACATAAACCATATGGAGATCTGACCTTATCTCCATTTAGTCCAGAGGGCCCTTTGCGTCCTACATGGCCCTTTTCTCCTTTGGGCCCAACTGGCCCCGGGCCCCCAATGAAACCCTCAGGACCACTGATGCCCAGGTTCCCATGTTCCCCCGGTCGCCCCTAAATGGAGACAAAAATGGATGTAGCAGTTACAAATACAGATACCTCCTTAAAATTAATTGCTATGTTGTATTCATCATTTGTAAGTCGCTTTGGATAAAAGTGTCTGCTAGAAGAATACATGAAAATGTAGCATTATGTTTGTGCATAAGGGAATACACAAACAAAAAATCTACAATTGTATCAAGTTGTTACTTTAACCATGCACTTTTTATGGCAGAAAAAAGTTCTAAATAATCAGTAGTATTTCATTATTGTGTGTCTTAGTAGAACACATTTTAAATGTCAAGATATAATAAAAATGACTTGTAATTACCACTAGTAATACTCACTGCTGACCAAATGGTGGCGACACAATCCAGCATTTTAACTCAATGCAGCTGGTCTCACTACATAGAGTACATAATATTTATTGATAGAAGTATTTAGGGAATTGCTTATAAAAGGGCAAGTAAGAAATGAGTAAGTCGAAAAGGAGTAAGTTTATCTGATATCAGCCCCTTAAATGCAGCACAGAAGAGCCCAGCTGTGACTGCAGGTAGTAGAATAAAATATATTTATATCTAAAGAGTTAAAAATGATCATTAGAGCTGTGGCACAGTGGTTAGTTCACATGATATGAAGAGTCTGCAGGATTGTCCCGATTCTGGTCCTCACTACCTCCTTTAACTTCCTGTCTCATCTACACTGTCCAGTCCCGTAAAGGCAAAAAATAAATAAATAAATAAATAAAAATTATTCCTGCTCTATAATGGTGACCCATTAGGTGATTGAACAGCTGAGCATAAGCCCTTTAATTGATGTTTCCAGATTTTACTCCTTTAGTTAAACTATAGTTATTTCATAGCATGAAGGAAGATGAGGACAAAGGAGAGCTCACTTACTGTATGCATCAATCCTCTAAATTTTCTTGTATCTGTCTCTTAATATTCTACAATGCATGATTCATTTAGTGCAATGTTAGATCTGTGAAGAATGTTGAGTGTAAATGTTTCTGTGTAAAATACATTATACTGTAGCAATAAATTTGTGAAGCGTGTTGTCAAATGGCCACGGGAAATTGCATGTCTTGAAAGCAAACACTTCAAACAAACCTTAAATTCAAAACACAATGTCTAAATATAATGCAACTGCTGGTGTGAGAAGCAGTTTTTTTATGTTGCTGGAACTAGAGTATCAAGATTTTGCTCACCACATGGTACAATATTACAAACAAACAAAAAAACAAGTTCTGAGATATGCCATCTTAACAGGATAACAGCCACAAAAATCCCATAATCCTTTAGGGGTGTATGCATGCATGTGCCATTATAGGGTGTGTGTTTTTTTCAATGAACTTCTGCCATAGGAAAGAATTATAGTAGCCTGGTTAAAACCAGACCATTCTCAGTTGTAACTGAGTTATGGTCTAGCAAAGCGTCATAGACAAATCATTTCCAGAGGGGCATCACCAATGGACGTCGCAGATAGACCTAAAACCAATCAGAGCGATGAAGGAGATGACGTATGCAGAGCGGAGGAGAAACATCTCCAAGTGTTGTTCTTTGCTCGGTTTATAACAAAAAGGAAACGTTCAAATCGCTTAAAACAGACGCGATAGCTGATTCGAACGAGTGATGTTCGACGGCGGCATCCATCTTTGTAATGTAGGCTACAAAATCTGCTTCAAAATCCCAGCGCTGTCGTCATCGTGTAAAGCCCGCCATCAGAGGTGGGTAGAGTATCCAAAAACTGTACTCAAGTAAAAGTACAAGTACTTATAGAAATATTTACTCAAAGTAAAAGTAAAAGTAATAATCTTAAAAGTTACTTGAGTAAGAGTAAAAAAGTATCCAATGAAAAAACTACTCAAGTAGTTAGTTACTAGTTACTTTGTATCACATAGGCCTATATATATATATACTGTATATATAACATGATATTATTTAGATATTTTTTTCATTTAAATTATTATCATAATTAGATAAGCTATATTTGCAACAAAAACAGAAGAGACAAACATTATTTCTGTATATTATATCTGTAGCCTGAAAACCATTGCCTGTCCTTTGGTTTGTATAATAGTATAGTAACTTATACAACTACATTTGGATTATTAGACAATGTCGGAATAAAGTGACTCTATGGAGTTTTGCATTCATATGTAAAGGGGTGGGAACCATTGACACAGATTAGAAAGTGTTAAAACTCTTCACATGTGCTCGCAGTCATGTCATGCCCAACACAAACAACGATCATCAAATACACGATCTTCTTCTGTCTGTTCTCCAAAATGTATTTAATTGTAGGCTATATTTATGAAAGCATCTTTAAACTGGTTAACTGAGTCTAATAAGGCAGGCAAAGGCATTCGCTTTCAAGTCGAGTTCGCACGCCACTGCGCAATACACATTGTGTGTGTACAAACATTCATAAACTGCACGATGATAGCTTATTTATTGTATAACTATAAAGTAATGTATATGTCCAAAAAAAGGGTAATGTCATACTTTGTAGTAGTAATAATCTGTTTGGTTGTAAAATGTATTACCCGAATGAAATCGAATGTATCGTCGTGTGGAATAATTCATTCACAGACAGCTTACGAAGTAACATACGAAGATGTTCAACTAATAAAGATCTTCATCGCTGGCAAAAAATATGATGCATTTGCAGATTTACTTTCTAGACTGTGTAGCCTACTGTAGACTGTGGACCGCCACTTCATACAACGCTCTTGATGTTCTTAAATCTTCCTGTTACGACTCCGAGACGATTCAGTGCCTGCAGGAAACTGAACAGATCATTCAAACTGATTCGCGAACCGATTTAGACAGATCTGCCCAACTTGTTTGATGAAGTCTTTGAACAGAATCGACTCAAAAGAGTGATTCATTTGTGAATTGAGCATCGCTCATGCCCAGAAAAAAGAGAGAGTGCGCGCTTAGAATAACGCTTTTAACAACATATTGCATTAAAATAAAGTAACGAGAGGAACGTCGCCCAACGTAACGAAGTAAAAGTACAGTTTTTTCATTAGAAATGTACTTGAGTTAAAGTAAAAGTACCCACAATTAAATCTACTATTAAAAGTAAAAAATTTCCAAAAAAATACTCAAGTAAATGTAACGAAGTAAATGTACTTCGTTACTACCCACCTCTGCCCGCCATAACGTTTCTGATTGGTGCCTCGATTTCGGCGGATTGGAAATGAGCTTGAATGAGCTCTTTGCCATATACTAACTTTCAGAGCAAATCTAAATTTGCCAGAAGTTGTCTGTGTTTTCCCAGGCTAGAATTATAGAGCATTAGTGTGGAAAAATACAGAACAAGATAATAGAAAGTGTAATGTTTAAAAGCAACTAGGTTTGTAGAAAGTCTCTTTTTAAACACTTTAATGTGGTTTCATTTTATCCTTCAAGCTATTCCTCTAAACAGTGATGGAGGGGGAAGGAAGGAATGTGTCACTTCTTGCCCACAAAAGCCATCAGAGGCTTAACATTTTATCTGAGGCTAAACCAGACCACCAGTCTTGGTTTGAGACAACCTAGAATTAAACAAAATCTGTGTGCAGTTGAGCAATATAATAGAGTCTCTCGTCAAACATTGAATGCTATCCGTCTGGTGAAAAGAGTTTATGTAAAGGCCACGTATTTTCAGCCGAAGACTGAAAAATATGTTTAAATATAGAGCAATGTTTCTTAACTAGGGAGCTGGGCCCGCAGCAAAGTTCTGAGGGTAGTGCAGGATGACTTCAAATAATATAAATTGATTAATTATTAATATATATAAAAAAAAAATCAAACTCTAATCTAAATTAAAATGCCAAAAAGAACATAAAATAAAGATAAACTCAAATCATATCAATAACCCCCAATATCTGTTGTTTTTATTCAAAACCATACCGTTTTTAAAACTTTTGGAATCACAAAATGAATCTTGGTTAATCTGCCCTTTTGGTTGCATTGAGCTACCACCCAAAACACTCTAGCACGTTAGCAATTGCCTATTAATGTGCTAATAACCATTCAGTACACCTTTGCAACTATGCAGTAATACCCTGGTAACCATCCACAACAACACCCTAGCACATGTGTGTCCAATCATTCTCCTTGGAGGTGTTTAGCTCTCGAATTAAAGGGATAGTTCACCCAAAAATGATCCCATTATTTGCTGACCCTCAAGTCATTCTAGGTATATATGACATTCTGCTTTCAGACGAATACAATCAGATATTTAAAAACCGGAAGCTAGTTATTTTACTTTATAAAGTTTTAAATATGGATATTTTTCTTACAAAAACTCATCGCTTCACTTCAGAAGGCCCTTAATAACCCCCCGGAGCCGTGTGGAGTTCGTATATGATGGATAGATTCACTTTTATGGACTTCAAAACAAAAACAGCAATTCAATGCCATTATAAAGCTTGGAAGAGCCAGGACAAGAATGTCATATACACCTAGGATGACTTGAGGGTACGTAAATCATGGGCTAATTTTCATTTTTGGGTGAACTATCCCTTTAAGCTGCAGTCGTGCTAAACTTTGAGCACACAAATGTATCGCATACCTATGAATGAAAGTCAATGGAATGAAAAGTGTAGCGTCACTGTCCCTTTAGAAATTGCTTGTAATCCCGAAGACCTTTATTAGCTGGTACAGGTGTGTTTAATAGAGTGCTGCAGGGATGATGTATTTTAGTAGGGTAAAACCCGGAAATGAATTAGCATTTTAGCACTTCCATCGTCCTGAAGTCAATGAGGTTTTTAATAGGTTTTGGATAGATATTTTCACGTTTTATCCGACGTCATTAAATACATCCCTCTTTATGATTTTTTTTGTTGTTGTTGTAGTGTTTACTTGTCTTGAAAAAGGTGGTTGCTCACAACTAGCTAAATGGGAATACACATTAAATATGATCACACCGAACAGGAAAACTCATCTACACACTATAGTCTGCTTTCACAGCCTCATTGTGTCTATATTCATGCTCTTGCAAACTATTATAACTTGATCTTTCAC